TGTTTTGTCATGACTTCTTCGTAATGAGTGTAAAGGACCAAAAAATATAATTTATGTTAGAATGTTAGATCTAACATGTTTTCTAACACGTTTTCTAACATGGTCTAAAACTCTCGAAAATCATGAAATTTACAGCAAAAATATAATTTATGTTAGCATGTTAGATCTAACACGTTTTCTAACCTCTTGAATTTGTCATGACTTCTTCGTAAATGTTTTGTCATGACTTCTTCATCGTAATGAGCGTAAATGTTTTGTGAAGAATATAGCAACCGTCTGAATTCAGACGGTTGGTTTTTATATAAAATTCATGCAGGAAATTCTTGAGTTTTGGTTGAAAGAATACGGTGGAGCCAAAAGTGGCTCGACCTCAAAACAAGCATTTTATGAGCTTACAAAGGGTGTTATGAATGAATTCAAATGTATTTACATACATCCTGACCTCGTTCATTTTGTTGCTGAATTCAGTAAAAATAAAGTTTAGGGTAGAAGGTTAGATCTAACCTCTTTTCTACCCTCTTGAATTTTCATGAATTTTCATGAATGTTTTGTCAAGACTTCTTCGTAAATGTTTTGTCAAGACTTCTTCGTAAATGTTTTGTCAAACATGAACGTAAATGTTTTGTCAAGACTTCTTCATGAATGTTTTGTCAAGACTTCTTCGTAAATGTTTTGTCATGATTTCATCGTAAATGTTTTGTCATGACTTCTTCGTAAATGTTTTGTCATGACTTCTTCGTAAATGTTTTGTCAAACATGAACGTAAATGTTTTGTCAAGACTTCTTCATCGTAATGAGTGTAAAGGACCCAAAAATATAATTTAGGTGAAGTGGTGCGATCTCACCTCCTTTTTCACCTCTTTTCTAACCTCTTGAATTTTCATGAATTTTCCCGAAATAAAAAATAAAGTTAGTTTTATTTTTTTTATTTTTTTTATTTTGTATAAAAAAATAAAAATGTCAACAATCGGCACAACAACACTTCAAACAACAACAGCACCAAACTCGTTAGTCATGAATCCAACATCTATGTTAGTAGAGATGAAAAGCTTCATTCCTTCTTCATATACTTTCGAAACAAAAATCCAGAAGATAAAGCAAGAACTTTTAACATGTAATTTAGACTGTACCGCACAGGATGAAACAAATGAACAGTATCTTTATGAAATGGAGGACATTATTGACCATTTGCCTAAACTACCTGAAATTCAGCAGCAAAAGCTCACTATTCCTGAATTCGATGAAATAGAAGTCAAAGCAACTGACTCAGTAGAAATAAAGAAGTTCATACGAAAGGTAAACTATGAGTTTCTAGGATTTCATTGCAACCATAAAGTTATGGACAAAGATTGCGACATGGTATATAAGAACATCTCTGACATATATAAATCTGAAGAATTTAAGACCTACGACAACTTTGTTTCGTTAGTTGCTGAATGTGTATGGCAGATAAGAGATAAAGATAGAAGAGGTAAGGTATGGAACAAACAGATAAAACCAGCAACTTTTGAGATGAAGAGAGCAATTGACGCTTTAGTTGTTTTAGCAGGTAAGGTTTCAGAATATAACGCAAAAATGAACCCGCAATGTTCAAAATGTAAAGCAGCAATGAGGAGATATAACTACTCCGTCAAAGAGATAGAAAGAATGAGAAACGACTATGCAGACTTAAAGAAAGAAGCAGAGAAACCAGCAGAAAATAAAATGGACATGTTAGCATTTCTGAACAAAAACTATCCAACTGCTGACGATTTCCTTCTATCTGACGTCAAGAAGAAGTATAAAGAAACTTTCGGCATAGTTAAAACATTCGATGTACTAAAAGAAGAAATAGAGGCTACAAAACTGTTTAGGATTTCAAATATACATCGTACAATTCATGTAAAACGCTTGTGAGAAAAGAGGTGAAAAAACAGGTGAGATCGCACCTCTTCACCTAAACTTTATTTTTGCTGAAAAATGACCAAATTTCATTATATAACTGTTATTTTTGACGAAGTGAACTTTGACACTTCGTAAAAAAATCCCTGAAATCATATCTTTTATACAAAATAAATGAAGAATACGAGTACATACAGTTTAACAAACAACTCCGTCTCATTCGTTCGGTCAAAGACGATATGTACCAAATGCAAAGTATTTTGACAGCATGTTTTGCTCCAGAAACCAAACATACAGACATTGGTTCAAAAACCAAAGCACACAAGAACTTTTGAGTGAAATTTCTCTAGACCGACTTTTTTCGGTCTAGCATAAAACTCATGAAAATCGTAAAAAAATGACCAAATTTCATTATATAACTGTTATTTTTGACGAAGTGAACTTTGACACTTCGTAAAAAAAATCCCTGAAATCATATCTTTTATACAAGATAGAAAATCTTACTCGCCTAAAACTCATGAAAATCGTAAAAAATTGCGAGTAGGGAAAAAAACCTGGTCGCCTAAAACTCATGAAAATCGTGAAAAAATGACCAAATTTCATTATATAACTGTTATTTTTTGACGAAGTGAACTTTGACACTTCGTAAAAAAAATCCCTGAAATCATATCTTTTATACAAGATAGAAAAAATAAAGTTAGTTTTTTGTAAAATATTTTTTTTATCTTGTATGTAAGAACATATATGACAAACAATGAGTTTGAAACAGTTAAAAAGATAGACAATGACACCAAATTGGTTAGAATAGGTGATTTAAACGTAAGATACTCAAAGAAATACAACAAATATTCTTTGTCAGACATTATATCTCCATCTGGAAAGAAAACAAAGGACTGGGTTGGAATTGCTTCTACTCAGAAAATTTTGACAAGAAATCCTGAGCTTATGATATCGGTAAGATTCTATGGAACTACAGCATATCTTATAGACAAAAGTCTTATACCAATAGTTTGTTATGGTTAGACCCAGTTGTTGGATATAACTTCATAACATATGGTTCATTCGATACGGAACGTTGCAGTGAAGGCTTACTTTACATCGTTCAGAAACCGAAGGACTTCAATACAAAGAGATATAAGATAGGAAGAACATATAATATAACTCAAAGATATGACAGTACAGTCAATATAGTCAAGGTTGTGTTTGCTAATGATATGAGAGCTGCAGAAACAGAACTACTCGAAAAGTTTGAGAAAATGTATGGTGCTCCCATAAAAGGTAAAGAAACGTTTGAAGTAGATGAGATAGATAAAGCTATAAAATTATTTGACGAAGTTGCTGAAAAATACATGTAAAGCGTTTATTTTTGGTCTTTTGTGAAAGATAGAAAAAATAAAGTTAGTTTTATTTTTTGTATTTTTTTGTATAAAAGATATGATTTCAGGGATTTTTTTGACGAAGTGTCAACCTTCACTTCGTCAAAAAATAACGCTTACCATGTAAAACGGTTGTGAAATAACTGGGGTAGAAAAGAGGTTAGATCTAACCTTCTACCCTAAATTATATTTGTGCTGAATTCAGCAAAAATAATGTTTAGGTGAAGTGGTGCGATCTCACCTGTTTTTTCACCTGTTTTCTCACAAGCGTTTATTTTTGGTCTTTTGTGAAAGTCAGAAAATAAAGTTAGTTTTATTTTTTTATTTTGTATGTAAGATATGATTTCAGGGATTTTTTTGACGAAGTGTCAATGTTCACTTCGTCAAAAAATAACAGTTATCTAATGAAAAAGTGTCATTTTATTTTTTTGTATTTTTTTGTATAAAAGATATGATTTCAGGGATTTTTTTGACGAAGTGTCAATGTTCACTTCGTCAAAAAATAACAGTTATCTAATGAAAAAGTGTCATTTTTTCATTTTTTTGTATGTAAGATATGATTTCAGGGATTTTTTTGACGAAGTGTCAATGTTCACTTCGTCAAAAAATAACGCTTACCATGTAAAACGCTTGTGAAAAAAACAGGTTAGAAAGGAGGTTAGATCTAACCTTCTACCCTAAACATTATTTTTGCTGAATTCAGCACAAATTTCATGAGTTTTGTATGTTTTAGACCATGTGAGAAAACAGGTGAAAAAACAGGTGAGATCGCACCTCTTCACCTAAACATTATTTTTGTCTGATTTACGCTCATTACGATGAAGAAGTCTTGACAAAACATTTACGCTCATTACGATGAAGAAGTCTTGACAAAGCATGTACGAAGAAGTCATGACAAAACATTTACGAAGAAGTTTTGACAAAACATGTACGTTCATGTTTGACAAAACATTTACGAAGAAGTCTTGACAAAACATATACGTTCATGTTTGACAAAACATATACGTTCATGTTTGACAAAACATTTACGAAGAAATCATGAAAATTCACGAGGGTAGAAAACGTGTTAGATCTAACCTTCTACCCTAAAATATATTTTTGCTGAAAAATGACCAAAAATCTGAGTAAAATGGCATATGCTTGCTACCCTCGGAGAACCGAGAGAAGAGATTCCGTATGAAAACAGTGAAGAACAGCGAGTACGTAAGAAAACGTAGTCGCCAAAACTCTATGAAAACAGTGAAATTTCTCTAGACCGACTTTTTTCGGTCTTGCATAAAACTCTATGAAAACAGTGAATTTCCTTAAGATAGAAAAAATAAAGTTAGTTTTATTTTTATTTATTTTTTTATTTTGTATGTAAAGACAGATATGTCAACATCAGAGAACACAACAACTGCTATCGTTCATGAAGCTATAAATGAAGAATATGAGTGGGTTCAGTTTAACAAACAACTCCGTCTCATTCGTTCGGTCAAAGACGATATGTACCAAATGCAAAGTATTTTGAATGCTCTTCGTTCTACAAAGCAAGCACATCATTGGTTTGAAAACCAACAGACAAAAGAACTTTTAGAAGAATTTCCTCATATGTTTGCGACCCGAGGAAAACCACGAGTCGAGATTCCGTACGAAAATCGTAAAAATTTGCTAAATGGTTTGAGAGGCTGGTATGTACATAGACTTCTTGTAAATGCTGTTGCAATGTGGGCTTCACCTCGTTACGCTTGTTATATTTTCATGATGTTAGATGAAATTCATAGACAAGAACGTGAAGAGCTAGAGAACAAGCTTGAAGCAAAAGACAAAAACATTCAGAAAAGAATACCACGTTCGGTACCAAAAGGAAAGGAAAAGAACTATAAGTATATGATTTATACTGAAGAGATGGAAAATGAAGAAGATAAAGATATGGTTATGTTGCATTTAGTCAGAAGAAACAACAAAAGCTTTTACGACCTTGCTAAGATTTACAAATCTGACAGAAATTGGTTCTATCGCGAAAACTTACCGATTTCAATGACCCCAAATGAAGATGTGAAACAAATAGTTCAAGATACGTTACCTCAAACACACTATGATATGAAAGGTTGTACAATACTTACATTCAAAGAAGATTTGCCATTGTTAAAGGAAAAAATAACAGAGTATTTTGACAACTTCAAACAAGTAGAGTAGATGAACCATTTATTTTTCAAGCTTGACTTCAGATGGCTCAGGTAGCTCTATAAAGTAAATTGCCTCGTCAAATCCTTCTGGCATTCCGAGTCCTTCCTTCCGACAGAAAAAGTTTTTCCTTCCAACAGAAAAAAAATTTCCTTCCGACAGGAAAAATTTTTCCCGACGACAAGAAAAAATTTTCCAGTTGTCCGTCCGTAAACCATTCAAATTTTCGAAAATTGAGAACTTTTTGGTCGAACTTCAGGAAAAGTTTTTCCTTCCAACAGAAAAAATTTTTCCTTCCGACAGGAAAAGTTTTTCCCGACAACTGGAAAAGTTCTTCCTTCCGACAGGACACAAACGGATGACTGACGTTCCTCTTCCTGAATGCCTTCCAAAGCCAGAAGAACCGAAAGCTGCAGCACCACAACAGACTTACTAAGACTAAACACTTACATTTTTCAAGCTTGACTTTTTACAATTTGAACTTTGTTCGCGTAGATATGAATTCTGAAAGAAGTATGAGGGTCTTGTATGACTTTGTACTTCTCCCATAGTTCATGTCTGTCAAACTTACCTGCCATGGACTCTTTCATAAGTTCCATGAAATCGTCTTCGGACAATCCGGGGAAAAGTACAATGTCAGTAAGTATTCTTTTAACATCCTTACTTAAACTCTTTGCTGTCTGTACACAAATGACAACTGAGATGTTAAAGTGCCTAAGTTTCTTAAGAATTCGACACATATCTTGTTCTCTATTCTTAAGCAAAGGATGAGAAGCAAAGTCATCTAAGATAAGAAGACATCTGTGAGGGTATGTCTTCCAATCGTAAGATTGCAATTTCTTCGAAATGTATTCTATCTCTTTCTGTTTGTTTCTGAAGTGGTGTTTGTCTAATATTCTCTGCATTTCCTCATTTGGGTCTTTAAACTTCGAATTTATATACTCATTTATAGCATTATACTTCAAAACTCTTCTTTGGTACTTCTTTATCCAATCTAACAACTCAGTATCCTTTATACATACTAACTTAGACTTCTTTATAATATCTTTGAACGAATTGACGGTTTGGTCAAATTGACCAGAAGTACTACAAATAACAACTAACTCATAGAATGGGTTCTTCTCATCTAGTTCTTGTTGTTGTGCAGCCATTTTAAGATAAGTGAAAGTCTTACCCGACCCAGGTGGTGCAATTAGACCTGTTATACCATTCTGAGCAAATAAGAACTTGTCATGTATAGGCTTTATCTGAGCATTTTCTAACTTCCTCTTGTTCTTGTTTAAAACATTCTCAAATTTCTTGTCAATGTCAGCAAACTTTTTTTCTAACATATTTTTAGAAAAATTAAAATTTTTATCTTTTAGAAAATGTCTAGCGATTTCGCTATCTATATTCGAGACAAGCTTTTCGACAGCAAAACATCTGTCGACCATAAAATCTTACATAGTGTAAACAAGAAAGGTGAATTTGTTCTAAAGTTCTGTTTCTGGGAATATGACAAGAACCATAAAACATTAAGCAGAGCAGTCTTAAAATTTGTCAATGACAGACTTGTTGACAGAGATGACGCCTCTTGGAGAGATGAAGTCCAACAAAACTTCTTAGAATGCAAAGAAGACACATGCGCTGTTCTTGAAGATGAAATAGAAAACAAAATAGAAGAGCTATTAAAGGACAAAGAACTTTTACAGAAATATGGTTCGGAGAAATTTGACATAACTCCACCAGAAAAGAAGAAGAAAGAAAAGAAAGAAAAGAAAGTAGAAGAAGAGAAGAAAGAACCTGAACCAGTTCCAGAGAAAAAGAAATTTGACATGTAAAAATAAAATTTTATTTTTAGAACATTTCTGGGTCAATGTCAATGTTCTCTTCCTCTTTAGGAGCAAACACTGGCTTAGACTCTAAAATCTTTTTACCCAATTTACCTTGAACTTCAACTATCTTAGACTCATAATATTCATAGTCGTCTGCTTTCTTTGGTTCATAAGGTATAACAAGTTTGTATGCTTTGCCTTCTTTAAGGTTTGAAAACCTTCTGTCAAAACTTTCTTTGACTGCTAACAAACCTTCTATGTCTAAGTCTTCAAATTTCGCACCATTTTTAGTCACAATAGCAAACTTAACTGGTTCGATGTTCCAAACTTTGCTGAATGAAGACTTTTCAAAATGGTAGAAGTAAACATTCAAATATGTGAATGGGTCTAGTTCTTCTTTAAGTCCTGACATGTACTTGTTTACTGAAATATATTTCGTCATCTTTTCTATCGGATAAAAAAATATTTTTTTTTAAATTTACTCATAAAAATTTTTCTTTGTATATACACCATTCTGTACGTCTAAAAGACTTTTGACATTTGCCAAGAATGTTCGTTTAGACGCTGTCATATAACCATATTCTTGACAATATTGTTTATACGAATCGTACAATGACCTTTCATCTAATGACACAAAGTCAGTTTCATCTATGAACAGTTCATATACACTCTTGTTTGCTTCTAACAATGTTTGTCTCTCTTCGGTATGTGGAATTTGTCTTGGATTGAACTCAGAAATATCTAATGTCATAAAATATGAGAACAAGTGGTTGTAAAAGTCAGATGTCAAAGTTTCTGCTAAGTCGTCAAAATATTCTGTATCTTGCATATGAGAATCTGACGTTCTGACAACTACATATCTTCTGTCAGAACTTTCTAACTTCATCGGAACAGTATTGTTTGAAACCATAATGAAGTTTGCAACATTTTCACAAACTCTTTGGTCTTTATATTTTCTTTCAACAACTCCAACTTTGTCTGTTATAAGACTCTTCAAAGCATCTGAGTTCAAAACTTTTGTTGTATCTATACTTTGAAGTTCATTGCAAACTATAAGTTTCATATTCTCTATTGAAGAGTTAAATTTACCGCAGATGTTTTCTAAGTTTGTCATATTAGGGTTCGAATAACCTTCTAACAGTTTGCACAAAATATCTGTAAAGAAAGTATTCTTACCAGTTCCTTGTTTTCCAATTATAATGAGAGCAGTTTCATTTTTAGCACTTGGATGTTGTAAGATGTTTGCAAACCAACATAAGATATACTCATAGACTCTTTCGTTTCCATTGCATATAATTTCTTTGACATGGTCTAACCAAGCTTCTATAATATTTTCTTTCCATTCTACTTGTTCATATTTATATCCAGTGAAGATAGAATAGAAGTTTGGAGAAGGTGTATAGAACTTTATACCTCGAACTGAAAAATCTTCTAACTTTGACAATAAGATATCCCAAGCATCTAACATCTTCATGCCAACTTGTACGACTTTTATTTTCTTAAGTTTCTGTCTACATTCTTGTTCTGAAACTATTGTTGCTCTTGGTTTGTTAAAGACAACATCCCATTCTTTCATAACATAACATTTCTGGGCAGAGTCAACATAAATGACTAAACGTTTCAAATTCTCGACTGCTTTGTTATAGTCTCGAAATGGACACATATTTCTGAATGCTTGGAAGTCATAAAAATCTGAAACATCTATTCTGTACATTTTTATAAGAATAAAAAAAATATTATTTTTTATTCTTGACTTTGTTGTTGCATTTGTTGCATTTGTTGTTCTTGAGCTATTTGTTGTTGAAGTTGTTCTTGTAATACAATACTTTCACCAGTTGCATCTTCCAATTCGAAACTTTCTGCCGTCATTGACAAATACATAGGACATAAAAGTTTTACAGGAACAAAGTTTGCGTCAACTAATGTCAACGTTATACTTGCCAAAGTGTTTGAGTTCACTAAGGTTGAAAATTCTGCATTCGAATGAACAATAGGCAAACCAGCAGAGAAAGTATTGTTTATACGCATAAGTATCTTTTGGTCATAATAGTTTCTGTCGACATTCGAATAACACTTTGAACCTAAGTTTGAAACAATATATAAAATAGGTGTACTTAAAGTCAATGGAATAGACATTCCTTGTATGACACCTTTTCCTGTTATAGGAAACTGTTGGTAGTAAAAACCAGAAATAAGTTTTGTATTATAGCTCATATTGTTTATAGTAAACTCAGTCGGACATCCAAACATAACGAAACCTGCTCTAGTTGCAGCACATGTTACACCCGTACTTAAAGTATTAAATAAGTCAACAAAACCTGTTGGTGGTATATCTGAGTAAGTATCTTCAAAGGAGTATTTTTTGCCATTCACAACAATAAAGTCTTCTGGTGTCAAAAGAGCAAAACAGGCTTTAGTCGTCATTGTGTTTAAAGTTAGTTTACAATATCGTCCTTGAGGACTTTGTAAGTTTGTTGTTATAGAATTATATGACTCAGGGTTTTTAGTCGTAATAGTATAAACCATTATATCTTCTGCCATTTATATATATTTAAAAGTTTTTCTGAAAGTGGAGAAGAACTTCATCTAAACTTTCACATGGCGTTTCTTGAAGTTCTCTGTCTAAGAAGTTCAAATATTTTGTAAAGACATAGAACTTTCCTTTTGTCTACACGAACAAACAAAACAGGGTCTTTCATATCGTTCAAAAGTGTGTAAAGTCCTTTACATGAAATAAAGTCTATATTATTTTTCTTTCAAACATCTTTCAAGAAGTTTTGACATTTTTACTTAGCAAATAAATTTTAATGAAATGTTGTGGTCGTCAAATATTTTTATGACGTCTGGGAAACTATACTTTAAGTTCAACGTTTCACCTCCTTTCATAACGTATATCTTGTCAATGACATTATATGAAACACCACAGCAACTAATGTCGGGTTCTATTTCTTTGATGTTTATATCGTCTGCCTCTGTCAAAAGTTTCAATAGTTCTTTCAAAACTTCATGAGGTGCAATGACATATGAGTTCACTTTTACAGGGTTGTGTTCGACCAAGTTTAACATTATACTTAAAGCTTGACAAATCTCTCCTGAGTTTGAAGTTTGTCTTTAAGTTGTTGGTAGTCATTTCGAATATCTGCAACAGAACTTAAGTCTCTGCTAACTTCAGGATATGTTGGTTGTTCTTTTACAGGAACAATTGCTATACCATCTTCGTCCTCGTATGGTTTCCCCACTTCAACATCTCTGTCTTTGACATTGACACAATACTTTGACTGTTTGTTTGAGTTGGTGAATTTAACTTCACATCTGCCACCGCCATTAAACCTTTGAAACACTTACGCTTCTATTTTTCGGAAATGACATTTTACTTAGAATAAAAAGATGGACGTATTCGAGTATCTCTTCGAATTGAAGCAAAACAAAGTTTACACACACAAACAATACAAATACATTGACAGAATAGTTCTTTACACAAACAATGGAAAATGTTATAGAATAGCAGTCTTTGCTGAACCTAAATATTTTCATAAAGCAAAGAAAGTTGGTATAACTGAAATGGTGAAAGTTCTTGAAGCAGACAAAAATATAACAACAAAACTTACAGATATTTCTAAAGGAAAGTTTATCTTACAATATTATGTCAAAACTGGCGTACTGTCAATATTTGACGGAGAGAAGTCAGTTCAAGAACAACTTACTGACCTGCTGCCAAAATCTGCTCGATGGAAGCTGTCGTTATGCCAATCTGAGGAGCCCCAGCAGGTTTCATCGAACGAATCTTCAAAAGAGCATCTTCCGTGAAAAGTGCTATTGGTTTTTGTAAACTTCTTTGCTCTCAGTTCATCTGGACCGTCTCTGTCACCAGTATATTGTATTTGTACAGTACCAACAGTTGAAATACCACCCATAAAGTCTTCTGAGTCAGCAAATGGAATGCCAAGCCAAAAGTTTGAACGGTCTCCATTTGTATATTGAGTTTTTTGAGCTCCTGTATGAGTCCATACTTTCACATATGGCATAATAGAACTTTGCATTTCAGGGTTTATGGTTGTTGTGAAGTTGTTGTTAAAGTTGCATAGCATCTAATGTCAAGTTGTATGACCTCATATCCTCAACTGTAGAATATTCTTCTCTTGGATAATATTTGCCATCTATGTTTATATGATATTTAATACGGGGTTGTAGAAACAAGAATAGTCATTTATAGTTCGTCTGAACAGTACAAACATAGTATCTGCATGTTTCATTGCAGTTGTTAAAGCAATATCTGTTCTTGCACCTGGGTCAGCACTTTGGTTTCCAACTTCACCTGCAAAGTCTTTGACAGATATTTGGTGTATAGGGAACATAAGTGGAACTGCAATATATTTGGCAGCTAAAGCATTTGAAATATCTGGGTCCAACATATAGACTGCAAGTCTGCTTTCTATTCTCTTACATTCAAATTTTTCGCATGTGAACTTAACTGGGTCCAAGCAGTTCCAGCAGCATTGAAATAATAGTTTACTTCATTGTTGAAGTTTGAGAAACCAAAGTCTAAGTTCAACTTTGTCTTTGCAAAAGTCACAGAACTTGGCTCCACCAGTTCCAGCTATAGTAATGCTGAATGGGTCTTGTGTTGGTGCAATGACTAAGTTATTTTTGCTTGGAGTAAGTTCAATAGAAATTTTTCCTGCCCAGTTTGGCAAGTATCTTAAAAACCTGAAGATGAGGAAAGATGACAAAGGAACTCTAAGTTTCAGTTTTACTTTAGTGGCAGCAGTTCCATCTGAACCAGAAAGGTTAACATAAACTCCTGGAACGTTAGGGTCAAGTCTTCTTATTTTCTCAATATTTGCATACTGGTCTGTTTGTTCTCTAGCTTGTGGTTGTACTGAGTTTCTCAAAGCGAACCATTCATAGTTTGCCCATGTTACTGTTTGAACTAAGTCAGAGTTAGAATATATCTTATATCCCATGAAAACTTCTGGAGCATATTGGTATCCGACATAGAAAATTCCATTGCAAACCTTTCTTGTCAGACAACTTGGCAGAAGGTTTTATTTCAATGTCTTGTTCCACGTATAAGAATGAGTTGTCAATAGAAATAATATGAAACCTGTCGCAAGCAATATCTACTGTTGTTGAAGAACCTTCTCCAAAACTCACCTACGTTTCCATAAGAAACAGCAGTTGTATATTCGTAAGTTCCAGGAACTATTTCTGACCTTCTAATGGCATTGTCGCATTCGTATACCATTCGGAAACATTTTCCGTTCATGGCATCCAAAACTGTTGGCGTTATATTCTGAGCGGCGTACATTTCATATGGGTAAAAATATAGAATAGTTGGATTTATTGTCATAATAGAACCCACTCGGACCAAGCTTTACTTTCTTCCTGACTGAGTTTTTAACTCTTCTTTTTCCTTCATTGCCACTACTTTCACTAGATGAAGTTACTTCTTCACTACTTTCACTTTGTTCTACTCTTCTTCTTTGGTGTCGCTTTTGGTAACTTGCCCTCTGCTTCAAGTTGTTGCATCTTTGCCTCATGTTTACCTAGTATGTTGTAAATTTCCCATGTCCTTTTTGCCTTTGGGCTCTGGTCGCCCATCTCAGGTAACCTATATCCTAGAAAGATTTTGTCATAGTTTGTATTTGAGTCTTCGCGTATTGTTTGCATGACTCTTTCCTGAGTTTCCGGTTCAAGCTCTTCAAACAGAGCTTGTCCATATGGAATATGCTCGTTTCCAAATATATGTTTTTGTAGCCATTCTGGTTTTCTTTCCATGTTACCAATAATATCTTTTGTGAATGGGAAAGCTTTTACCCAATGTTTCAGTCTTGCGTCATTTATTTCTGTAGTTGGTTTTATTTTGTCAAGGAACATGTTTTTCAATACTAACATTTCATTTGGTACTGTCCATTTGAGTTTTCTTAAATATCATCCCTTCTCGGTTCATTGTCTGCAAAGTAAGTTTTTATGACATTTTGTAAACTTTCGTTTGCAAGGTCATGTACAATAGGTTCTCTTCCTTCTCCCTCCCTAACTTTCTTTCTAAACTCTTCACCAAATATACCATCTCTATGGTTCTGTGTAGTTCTTTGAGATAAATGTTCTAGAACGTCAGGTGTTATATTTCCATCAGCCATGTTCATTTCATACTGGTCCAAAATATCTGCATCTTTCATATCTTTCAATGGCATTAAAGCCGCGCTGAAAATACCAGCTATATCTGGTTCACCATTCACTTCCATTGCGTCTACAACTTCTTGGAATTGTGGTTGTAAGTTTATGAACCACCTATCCGGATTAGCTTTATGACCCCATCTCATTGTAGTTCCATAGTCTGCAGAAACAAAAGTAGGTTTGTTTCCATATTGGTTAGGTTCTGAATGAACTTTAAACAATGTTTTCATTTCTATATGTTTTGTTGAAATTTAACCTTTTATTTTATTTCACCGAGTTCAGCCAAAGATTGAACGTTATATGGTCGTAAGTAAAAGGATTGTTGTATTTGCGTACACTTTCTTTCAGTTCTTCCATTCTATGCTGAATATTTTCATCTGATGTTGGAGTCTTTTGTATGTCGGTGAACATTTTTCGATATTCTTCTACTATGTCAGCCGAATTTTTCTTAGACTCTTGGAAAGATTCCATATTCACCTCATACTCTTGTTGAGGGTCAAGATTTTTCGGCTGTTCCAAATCTTCATCTAGTTCTGTGAAGTTAGTTTCCAAAGGAGGGACTTGTTTGTTTCCTTCAGGCTCTTCTAGCTGTTGTTGCTGAACTATTTCTTCCATGTCTGGTTGTATCTGAACTTCTTCCTGTGGAGTTTCTTGTACCTCATCTGCTGGCATTTCATATATTCCGAGACCGTTTTTAAAAAGTTCCCTATTTAAGTCATCCGCATTCATAACCCTTTCTTCTTTCGTTCCGTCTCTATTTTTTACGCGTTTCATGAAGATAGTTGAATTATCATTTATCTCTGACACCAAATATCTCGGAGTAAATTCAGTCATGTCATTTGGATGATATGCTATTAAATCATATCCCTTAGCGAGCTTGTATTTTCCAGGTTTGAAATTATATCCCATTTGGTGCTGAACCATAAAGCTAAATAGGTTCGGGTCAGGATTTCCTTCCTTGAACTTTCTAATAGCTTCTTTATATCTGTCACTAAAGTCAAGAGTATCTGGGTAACCATAATTTTCCTTAAGCATTTTTAAGAATTCTTGGTTTCCTTGTTCTCTACTTCTTTTATGTCCTTGCTCTGTTTGTGGTTGTTGCTGTGCAGTGTTTTGAACTGTTGGTTGCTGTGCAGGGTTTTGAACTGTTGGTTGTGGTGCTGGATTTTGAACTGTTGGTTGCTGTGCTGGATTTTGAACTGTTGGTTTTGGTGCATGCCTGTGTCTGTGTCCATGTGACGATGTAAATGTTTTAGGTAGTCCTGGTGCAGGTGCTTCTCTTGGAGGGTTTGGTGGTATATAAGTTCCACTAGCTAGTATATAAGTTCCACCAGCTGGTATATAAGTTCCACCAGCTGGCACATATGTTCCATCTGCAGCATAATGTCCTACCTGACTTTTCGTTTTTAAGAAAGCATTTACTAGGTCTGTTTTGGTCTGTTGTAACTCTTTTTCTTGACTTTCCACAACAGTTGCTCTAACGGCGTCATAGGCACTTTGAACTGCCTGTCTCGTTGCTGCATCTGTTATTTTCGTCATATTTTGTGCTACTTCTCTTAACTCTTTGTCGAAACCTTCAGACTTCAGTTTCTTTCCAGATGAGAAGTCGTTCACTAGTTTCACCTTACTATGAAGAGCTTCGAAGGCATTCTTAAAGTCAGCATTCATTAAAGCTTCATTTGAACTGTCTTCATCCGCTTGTATTTTTGTCCTTATTGACCCTATAAGTTGGGCTGCTTTGGCGTTGGCTTGGGCATCTAACCAGTCATTATTAGCTTTTATATATTCTGCGCTTTTCATTGCCTTTTGCATGGCTGCGTCGTTATTTTTACTTTCTTGTGCTAAGTTTTCATACTGTACGGTTTGGTTTTGCAACTGTAAAAGTTTTTCTGCCTTTACATTTGCTTCAACTTCTTTTTTATACTCATCGCTATCCATATATGTCTTCATGGCTTTTTGTTTTATCTCTTCATCTTTCAGTACTTTATATTGAGTAGTATGGTTTTTCAAATTTATAACATCTTGTTCCATTTTTGCTACTTCTGCTGCTTTTTCTGACACTTTTTTCGCATATTCCTCTGTACTTAGTTCTTTCAGTTGTTCTTCTTTCTTCTTTTTCTCTACGTTTAACTCATTGAGTTTCTTTGTGTGTCTGTCATATTCTAGTTTCTTTTCGTTTTCACTTATTTGTTTCTGTATGTCTATGTTTGACTTTTTGACATCTGTTATTTGATTTTTGAGTGAACTCAAATTCATTTGACTTTGAGGGTTATAAGCTGTTCCGTCTGCAGCTCCACCATAGCCTGCCATTTTCGCTAAAAGTGCCGCTCTTAAACCTCCACTCTGTGCACCAATAACTCGGTTTAAAAGCATAGGGTTGCTTGACATTTGTTGCAACATAGTGGGGTCATTCATAATTTGTTGTTGCAACTGTTGTTGTGGTGTCAGTTTTACTATTGGATGTTTCAATGCTCTCTTCCTCTTACGTATATTCTTACGTAGCTTACGTGGCATTTTAAGTGAAGTAAAAAACGGTTTTTGATAGATGTTTATATGACACTTTTTGTTCAGCACAAAAAACTACTCGGTCAAAGTGTTGTCAGTTTTGTAAAATAACCGTCCTATCTCATTCTATAATGGGGAAAAGGCTTCTCAAAGTATACTTCCTTGGAACGCCTGTAACTTTTCCTGTAGCGACGATAGACCCTTACTTGTCCGGACAAAGTTATACTAAACATCTTCAGGGCTAGAGGGCACGAAGTGCCTGGAGGCCCCACTACCTTTTTTTTTTTTTTTTTTAAAATGGATGTGCAATATGTTAACAAATATGTTTGCGTGATTTTCATTTATGAAATCAAATTGATTGTGTAATCGAACAATTTGTCACTTTTTAAAATTTCATAAATCAATTTTTTTGAATAAAATTATGAAGAGAACTGTTCCATCACTAACACCAGCAGGCAGGGCACCTGTTAGTAAACCGCCTGTCAATAGAGCACCTATTAGAAGAGCACCAATGGCAGATAAAAAGAAGAAAGAAGAAACAATTTGGCAAGCTGCAGATAGTGGTGATATTGAATTAGTGAAGATACTTCTTCAGAAGGGCCAGAACGTCAATTCTAAAGATAAAGAAAAGAACACGCCACTTATGTTTGCTGCTCGTCAAGGAAATTTATTTATGCTAAAATATTTAGCAGAAAACGGAGCAACAATTGATGATAAAAATGCACAGGGATATACAGCATTAATCCTTGCAACTCTTAGTGAGAAAATAGATGCAATAAAGTTTCTTGTTAATAGACATGCTTCTATAGAAACACGAGATTCACGTGGAAACACGCCATTTCTTTTGGCGGCTTCAAGAAATTTATCACTTTTGCAATATTTTCTTGAACTAGGTTCTGATATAAATGATACTAATAGAGATGGAATGAATGCGTTAATGATTGCTGTTAGAAACAAGAAAGATGATATTGTAAATTTCTTGCTTTCCAAAGATGTTCCATTAAATGAAAAAGATAAAGATGGTTTTACTGTTTTGCATCATTGTGCGAGCATAGGAAATGCAAATATAATGAGAATACTTATTGATAAAGGGGCTGATATCGATGCTGTTGATAAAGGTAGAAATACTCCTATTATTATTGCAAGCCAAAAATGCTTTTTTGAATGTGTTGTGATGCTTGAGAATGAAGGTTGCAATATCAATGCTAAAAATTACTTGGATAACACTGCTTTGATGGAAGCATCTGCTTCTGGTAACTTCAAGATTGTTGAATTCCTTTGTAAAAGGCATGCCGATAGAGATGGAGCTTATGATAAAGCAAAGACAACTGAAATCTCAGATTTCTTAATGCATTTTAAAGATGATTAAGTTAATCGAATATTTCATTACTAAAATACTCAATTTTTATCTTCAATTACTAATATTTTTTTTTTTAATTTGTTAATTAAATTAAATTGGGGAAAAGATCTGCCTTATATTGCTAATGTCTTTATATATCCTATTAACTTCAAGGATCTATGAAAGTGTTTTACTGAAAAAATGAAAATTTCTTTTAATAACTGGGGATATTTCAAATGGAATGTTGGAAGATTAAAAAGTACTGTATTTCATATAAATCAACAACTTTTTTTTAGAAGCAAACAAAAAAAGTATTTATTATTATTTATTAAACGTAAAAATAGGTAATAAAATTAATTGATTATTGCACAAAACTCTTCGAAATCAATTGTATTATCATGATTAGCGTCGAGAGCTCTAATTGTAGCAAAAGCATCAGACTCTGTTACATTTCTGCCCATTTGCTTTCCGAGCATAATAACCTCGCTCAAGTCAAGTCTCTGATTATGATCTTTATCGCAAAAATCGAAAATCCTTCTTAAGATTTCTCTTTCCGTAAGTCTATACATTTCTGAGCAAAATTGCAAATATTCATCAAGTTGTATAAGATGATCTTTGTTAGAATCATATGTCTCGAAAAGAATTATTACCATTAATCTTTCCAAATCGTTACCTTCTTCTTCTAAAATTTGTGCAACGACATCTCGTGAAAGAGCACCTGTGCCATCTATATCTAGTTTTTCGAACCTCTGTTTGAACTTCTGGATCTTTGAAGCCGGCAGTCTTGACATTTTGACACTTTTTATTTTTCGAATTTTGAGTGTGAGACATAAATTATTTACGAATAGAATTGCTATGGACCAAATATAAGTTTTTCATATTTATGAAACCTCAATCTTTAAAACAAAATCAATAGAAATCAGACAATAAGTAGTTCTAAGCTATGTAAATTTACCCAGAGAATATATGATATTTATAGTTCTATTTGGTATATTCATGGTTCCGCTTTATTAAGATGGTTTAAAAATAAGAGTTACTTGAGTATTTTATTTCACTATGCGAAAAAATCTGGAAAAATCCGAGTACAGTTTAGGTTTCAACTATGAAACTCTGCAAGAGTTTATAAATCAATGCCAATATATCATAGTTTTTAGCAAGCATATCATTCCAATAAAGAAATGAGGTAACAATTAAGCATACTCTTGATCTAGCAAAAAATTATTCTAAAATGTTGTTTCCAGACTAAAAGAAAACAGATATGAAGGGAATTCAGGAAATAATGTATTAGGTGATAAGTGTATGATTGAATCTGCATATGAATTTGCGAACACATTCTATGTTTACTGAAAGAATTATCGAATAAGGATAATGGATTGAGCTCGTATTCTTCTATGTTCATCTCAGTATTAGTAACTTGTATGAATATTAATGAGATGTAATATAAATATTCGATGGAGATTGGAATTCTGATTTAATTTCTATTTAATTGATAATGTTTCTATGTAAAAAATGAACTTCACAAATGTGCAATGCTATTTTGCAGAAACCAAGAATGAATAATGACGTAATTGGAAATAAAATTTTAATGAATTCTTTTGTTGAGTTTCTGCAGCATCGATTTAGCCCTTGCGTATATATATTTGCTTCCGAGGAAGCCAAAAAAGCTTTTCCTGATTATAAAAGCCTAATACGCTGTGCTTTTGAAGCTGCAATTGAAAATAATGGTATCAAATTTCGAATTATATTTCCAGATGAACTCTACAAAGAAGATATATTATTTGAATCAATGAAAAAATTAAAAAGAACTACAGCAACTTTCCCAGATCCCACTCAAAAAAGATATGAATTTTCAACTATATCATCATTACGCAAAAAGTTAATTAAATACGATTTTCTTTCATACCATAACTTCTGTGATATACCCGTTGGTACTCTTGCTGTCATGTCCGGTCAAGAACTTCCGGCTATTCCAATTGCTTCATTTCCTAAATGGGCGAGAGGTTTTATTCAAGATACAAAGGCAAATATCATTAAATTACCAGCTAATGATCCAATTGCATCGATGACAAAATGGGTACAAATCGTTTTAAACAAAAAATACGAAAACATCGTAGCGACCACTCAAGCAAATTACGCCAAATCATGGAGTGATCTCAAACAAACATTTTTAAGCCTGTTAGATCAATACACAGGCATTCAAACAAAATTAATCGAATTAAAATACTACGCAGACATAAAACTACAACAAAAGCAGTATAAAGAAGCTTCGAATGCTTATTCACTACTCATAAGTAATACTAAATCAGACCTTTTAGCTGCAGAATCCCAGTTTATGCTTTCAATTTGCGATATTCTTCGCGGAACACCCGGTGGACAGACATTACAGTCACTATCGACATCAATGCAACAATCCAGATCATATCTACATATCGCCAAATGCTCTCTCGTTGATTTTTACGTAAGAGCAACAATTGGAGCGAATCCAATCGTTTCTTTGAACCCTCTTGTTGGCGTTTCGAGCTCAAAAATATGTAAGTTCGTTGCTCCTTTCGCCAAAGAACAGATTGCCCATCTTCTTCAGAAGCCACGTCATAGTGCACAAATTTTTGCACAAACCGCTGTAGATTTTTCAGGATTAGAGCTCACAAATTATGCGACCAATGATCTAATAGCGGCTTTGACACCTTTGAAGAATGAGAAATGGGATTTCCTCGTTCAAAGTATAATGATGCAGATTAATGATCAAAATTCCATCCCGGAAGACCTCAAAAATATTCTTTCCAGTTGCCAGACCGTTATTTACCCTTGCGTTTTCGAAAATGTCCTCAAAGGAGGAAGATATAAATGCGGATTTATTTCTGCAAAGCCATGCTCTTTTTATTCCGAAGGATTCATGTGCGCAGAGCCATTAGAATACGAAGGAGAGTGGGTAGAAACAGCAGAAAGGCTTTTCGGAGCTTATAAATCCGGAACCTTCTTTAATGCTTCTTTTCTTGAGCATAAGGAGTGCTTGGTCGGCGAACAGGTTGATATTAGAACACTTCTGATGTCTGATTGTGGAGAAATTCAAATTTCTAAATTGAGATTAAAATTGTCCGGAGACGCAGAAGCAGATTTGACTCTCGCAACCATATCCAGGACGACCATGGCTGATGTAAACCTCTCTTTTACGCCAACAAAAGGAGGAATTCTCAAAGTTGAAGGTGTAGAATTCTGTTGGGGCTCAACGCACGTGGATTTCTACGTTGATTTCAAGAAACCTCTCGTCTTTACAGTATATGATGACGCTCCGAAGATGAAAATTGAGGTTCTTGATAAAAAGATGACATTTGTTGAGGGAGAAATCTGCCAATTTACCTTTAAATTGACAAACGGACAGAAACCTTTGACGCACGTATTATTCTTTACAACTGGTCTTCCTGTAAAGCTCATAGAACCAGAAATTGAAGAAGTTTGTCAAATGTATCCGGTTGGTCAGATGAATTCCAACGAAGAAAAGTTTTTCCGCATATCCATTTATGCCAAAAACTTTGGTTTTTACCATACCCACCTTTTAATCTCGTATTGGAACAAAGATGAAGGCCCTGCGAGATATTTACACCATGATTTGATGTGTAACGTCACAAAGAAGGCTGATTTGCAGATAAAGAGGACAGATAGTTATATTACTATACGTCCTCCACCTGGATCTTCATCAATTGGCTTTACTCACCCTTATTCGAATCCAGATCCTTTCACGCAAATATCCAAACTTAAAAACGATACCATAGGAGATGTTACTACGTTCAGACTTGTATCGGAAGACACAAATCATAAGACAGTTTTGCCAGATTTCGTAATTCCATTTTTTTTCAACGATACAATGAGATATTGGTATAGTACTAAGTTCGGATATTGCTCTGTTCCACTTCAACAGTTTGTTCATCCACTAAGAGTCTTAGTTTCAAGAGTTAGTTTCGGAAATTACAGATTAACTCTCAAAAACGCTGGAAAGGATCCGATCAATGATGTGAAAATCATTGTCATTGAACAAGAAAGTCCTGTATCATATATTTTGTCCGGAAAAAGCATTGTTGTTGTTGATAAGTTGTTGCCTAACACAGATGTTTATGTTGATCTTAATTTCGTGTTGTTTGAAAAGAAGGTTGTTGCAAACCTTTTGATTTCATACGAATTGTTTTGTATTTCTGAAAAGATTGTTATTGAATAAAATATTTTTCGCTATTCTCTGTTTTGTTATTAAATATATAATTTTTGCCTTAAAAGTAGTCAACTCCAGTTATGATAAGTTAATTGATTTATGAAAAAATTTGACAAAATTAAAAATGAGTTCTTCATCTTCTACTACAAGTACAACATCAACACCTCAAACATCTTCACAATCATCAACAACTACATCTTCAAGCACATCAAGAGAACAATCACCGTCAACAAGAAATTTCAGAGCTTTATCACCATTTATTACACCAGATAAGCAATTGGATAGAAATAAATATAATCAATTCCTGAAAAATATGGATGTAATTGAAATGCATTACTATTCTCAGTCATTTAAAAAATTGGCACCAAGATATGATCACTCCATTGTTGAACCAGCTCAGAAAATGTTAAATAAAAGACGCTACAGCAAAATTGCAACATACATCTTCTTAGTTATTATTATTTGCATTATAATTTTTAAGATTGATATATAGTTTTAATTAAAAGCTTATATGCGGCCTACTTTTCGAGCAGTTCTGATGTAATAGTTAAGATTTGCGAAGATTAGGATGATATCCATTTAAATTTGTTATTGTTATTTTTATTTGTAAGAAACAGATTGATATCATGCGATATGTTTCTATTTTGCCTAAATTATTTCATTATTTTTATTAAATATCATATTTTAATGACTTTATATGGTAAATATTTTGGAAATTTAAAAAATATTTATATAAAACAAGTACATAATAATATTTACTAACAATATAATGATTCAAGATTCTCGAATGAATAGCTATTGATCATTTTTGGTGGAATAATCTTATCATTAAGAGCAGCTATTTTAATACATTTCTCAAGAGGTTCGAAAAGGTTGTTGTCTTCGGCTTCCAGGTCAGTATACTGATGAGCAAGTTTAGGTGGTGGAAAATAAGAGTTAATTTGAGGAGCTGTCTGCGCAGAACTGGAGCGCATCCATATCTTTATTTCTGTTTCATCTTGGCCTTCAAATTTCTGAAAACAACCGAACCTGGCTAAAAATAATTTTGCACAAGTTGGAAACATCTGCCGTGCAAGTTTTTGGAACTTCTGGAATTCTTTTTCTGAATAAGGAAGCGTATCATACTTCGCTGATTGGAAAATTGAAGCTGATCTGAGCAAATCCAAATAATCAATTTCAACAGGAAGCTTTGGGATGTTTTCTATGCAGTAAATCATCTTTACGAAGTATGTTATTTCAAAATTCTTCATTTTTACATCTTTCATAGCTTTTCTCGTTTCATTTGATGGGGTTATGAAATTGAACAAAGGAAAATTAGTTTCGCAGATCGGATATGGGAGTTTTGATTGAGGAATTTTGTTGTTCAAAGCAAACAACAATAATATACTGATAAACGTCATAGATGTGAATCCATTTGGACTATAATGTTTATCGTATTCGGTCAAAAGTTCAGAAGACATCTGCATTTCAGAAATCTTAACGTCTTTCAAGAGTTCATCGAAGTAAGGTCTCAAAAGATTCTCATGAATCTGTTTGAACGAGTTGTTGGAAGTAAATCGATATGAAACATAAGCTAATTGTGAAGGATTAAAGTCTTTGAGTAATAGTTGATAAATATTTGATATCGCGTATTCAGAAATAAAAGGAATTAACAAATGAGGCATGTTAATATGGATTGCTTGTGGAATTAATACTGCAGCATAATTTGAAATGAAACTGTATGTAAGAATATGAGCGACGAACTGCCAAGTTTTCAAATTATTACCATCTAAAAATAAATATAGCAAATCCCACTTAATATCAATAAAAGCGAATTGTAATTTGTCTTCGAGGAAAACAATCTTTGGTTTGTTTACCAATTTAATGATTTTTGTCTCAAAATCTAATTGACAAAGTCTTTCATCGTAAGAAAAGACATAATCATTATCGCACGATGAATCAATAATGGCAATGAATTTCTTTGGTATGTAAAATATCAATAATGGTCCAATTGGATATAAAAAATGGTTTTGGTATTCAAATGGAGTTAAAAATGTAATCTGGCTATTAGTTTCAGCAAATATAAACGTAGTTTCCGAAGCGTTTTTATAAATTAACGCATGAATATTGTTGATACTAAAAACATCGATAGGGCCGGCTTCAAAATTGGCATAATCGATTTTAAATGTTGATACCATCTTCATTGTTTCATATGACATAAGAATTAAATTGCTATCTGATGTTCCAATATAAAATAATTGATCTATCCGTCTGTAATGAATCCATTTGACGTTTTTAAGAAGGTGTTTCTGTTTAGTGAATGATATATTTGAATTTTTGAGTTTAACCCCAATTTTGCAAAGATCGTTATCAGAAACATAGATAAAATATTGGATATTACCTTCTTTTATTGTTGGGTATACTTTAAATACTATTTCTAGATTTAAAGAATTGACTTTTGTATCAAAATGCCGAAAGTTCATCAATCTTTCATTTAAATCATAAAAACAGAAGTATTCATATTGATCCGAAATTGTAACATTCGTTATGTTTTTCGTTTTAAAGTCTGATGCAAATGAAAATAAGCGAAGAGGATCGCTTTCTAAGATATATAATTCTAAATCATCGTTACTTTTGTAAGAGAGTATCATTTTATCGTCAAGTGTCGATGATAAATAATGAAATGTATTTGATGAGCTAGGAAATACAGAAGACGTATCTCCTACTGAACGAAATTTTATCATAAATGCTAAATTGAATTCAATTTTATCGGCACTCTCAAAACTTCGATATAATAAAATGGACATCTATATGATTTTAATATTTTTTGAACAACAAGGATTTTTTTGTCATGTAAATTTATGTTTTATGATCAGAATCACCAAATGCTGCCGTATCAATATCTATTCATATATCATGGAATACTTCATTAGGAGAATGTATGCATCAAGAAAATAAAATAATAATCAATGTGAAGGGAATAAAAATTAATCATTTTTCGGATAATATAAGAATTAAGCAATATACCATAATGGTTTTACTGCATTGATGTATTAAGATTGGAAGTCAAAAAAAATTAATCCATAATAAAATAGAAACGGTAAAACTTTATTTTACAAACAGTTTATCTAATATAGGAGCAAATCAATGTGTTGATGATATTATTTGAAATCTAACTGAAAGTCATCATCAATTGTGTCGTTATCGCTCTCTGTTCTAAACTCATTCTTTTCATACTTATCGTGAGCCTTATTTTGTATAGTAGAGGTGCTTGATTTCCTCTTACGTTTCTTTTTGACTCCAGATTTTTTGCCTTGTTCTTCTCTGGAAGCAATATACTCATTGTATCTTGTAGTAAACTCTTTTTGGAGCTTGTCGGACATTTTAATGTTCTCATCATCATAAACTCTCTTCGGCCAATTTCGGGCGATCATAGTTATTGAGGGTTTTGATGTACATTTCGATAATTTTGCTGTTTCTTCGTTATCAAAATCGTATGTTTCATGCATGTTATAGATTTTAATTAAGGAAGATGGATGTTTAACTCTTTTTTCATTTCCACGATCAATTCGATCTTCAATTAATTCAAGAATTGTGTGCGATTCAAGGATTTGTGCTGCTGCATTGTCTGTTGCACCTGGGAAAATATCATCAAAGTTGTAAGGAGATTCATCATCCGTTATTTTTCGAAAAGAAGGTACTTTTATTACATCATTTGGTAATTCGTTTGGTTTATTTGATTCTATATATTTATTTGAGTGAATTGTTTCACCATGGTTAGTCGAATCAATTGCACTCATTTTTTTGAAAAAAAAACTTTTAAAATGTTATTGAAAATGTGATAATTAGTTATACGATCTAAACATCCATAAAAAATAGGAAAATTATGCGTTTTTTAAAAGGGGAACTCATTTTTTAGACCAAAAAAGTGGCACCTGAGCATATTGTTTCTTCTTTATCTGATCATCGAAACGGAATTGAGCCACGTTATTAGTATGAAACAATGATATACTAGGGACTAAAGAAGATTTGTATTACAAAAACCCAATTATTCGATGTTCAACTCATCACATCATGCATTAAAGTTGATACCTTTATTTTTTCGAAATATTACAACAGTAGCAACCTTACGTATTACCAATGATAGCCAGAGTTATAAATATGTTTTCTTATGAATAACTAACGCTAGTCTTATGTGACAATTAGTTAGTGGAAGCATCTTAAATGTGAATTTAGAAAAATCCATACATAATTCAATATATGTTTATAATTGAAAATAACATAACAAAAACACTCATTGGCCAAAATATATTTCTGCGGAATTAAACATATTTATAACTCAGATGAGTAGTATTTAGAATATCAAGAAATCACGCTAATGCATTCTCAAACATTTTTCAAGGATTCAGTTATATGAAGCAACAAATGAGGTTGGCATCGTTACTCCATACAACTGAATCCTAATGCCAAACTAATGGAAATGATATGATTCCATTCCACGCAGACAATGACGGCGAAGAGATATCCTTTCAAATATAGCTAGTGACAATGTTAGCATTCATGGAAAAACAAATTATAGCCTAAGATAACAAAATCGGATTAGTATCTGAAGATCTAAATGCAAATAACTCATAAAATAAATTGAGATATTAATTCATGAAGATATTTTTACTTTTTTGATGAAAATAATCCTGCAGCTGCTGTTTTTGTAAATTTAGAAAGATAAGAAATACTATTTGAGACTATTTTTTCTGCGTTGATGTAACAATTTTCTGTGAAAAAATGGGTAAAAGTATTAAAATCGTAATTTCCTATTATGTTAGTAAATTCAACGACTCCTTGTCCTTTTGTTGAATTTGATTCAACATATGAATCTGAAATAGTCAAAATGGAGTCTTTATCTTGTTGAAACATGTACTTTGCAATGTTTTTTAAAAATATGCAGTGATCAACATTAACTGTATACCAACAAAAAAATAGAACTTGGTCTATGTCTGTTCCGCATTTGTTTCCAATAACATTGCAATAAGAAACTATTTGAGTAAATAATTCATTATCAATAAATGCAAGTGATTGACTTTTAGTTTGGCTATTTTCTCTGAATGTTGAGAAATTACATGTACCGGAACTTCCCAAGAGTCCAATAAATATTGAGGACACAGTTTTGCATTTGTTGTTTGTGATATTGTTATTCTCAAAAAGGATATCACCATATGCAATAAAAAATGTAGCACCTCCTTTTTCTTCATTTTCTCCGCATTTAAAAACTGAAACTTCAATCGCATAGTTTTTATTAGAAGGAGAATATTCAGCGCTTTGATGAAATGCCATATCTGCTGATTCTGCTACTGATTTGTAATAACAAGTTCTTTTTTGAACAAACTGTCCTTCTGCTTGGCAGTCGTAGTAAACAGATCCACCTCTTGAGGTGGAACTGCAGTTATCAAATATAGTTTGTTCAAGTAATGTGCAGATTTCGTTTGATCTTTTAATGTAAATTGCGCCAGTTTCTTGGCATTCTTCAAAGAAGCAAGTAAAAATGAAATAATTGTTAAGACTGGTATTGTCAAAGATCGCTGTTCCATTTCGTATATTATCATACGTAAGTTGATTGTCAAGATATTCTTCCCGGCTGAACTTTTTTGCATTTTTCAAATTTAATCTGTGTTTCTACATCAATTGGCGATTTAATATGTTCATTCATCTGATAAAAACGATTCTTCATCTCTTTGTTTTGTATCACAAAGTTTATTCATGAAAGTTTTTTCATCAAATTGTCTCATTTCGATGGTAAAAATATTTTACAGATGTAAACTATCTGAAATCATGTTCGGTTTATAAAAAAAGTTAAAAGATTTTATTTTTGACTACTTTATGCGAATTAGATTGAAATCAATGACATCAAATGTATTTTGACAATCTCTTGGAAACAAGCTAATCATTAGAAACAATAATTTTATCTTTAATTTAATTTACTATTCCTTGAATAAAGATTTTAAGTTCAAATGGTGGTGGATCGTCTTCTGTATCAGGAAGTGGTGGTCGGATGATTTTAATAGCAATGTATTTAATGACATCAAATGTTAAAGGATCGAAATTTTCTGTTGTGAAATTCATGTGAACATAAACTGATTTTTCACCAAAGAATGTTTTGCATGATTCGGATAAAATTGTTTCATTAGTGATATATAAATGACTAAGTTTAGGAAATGCATTCTTATATGTTGAGTTAACACTGAAATTGCCAGCAATAAAAATATCAATTGGGTTAGAAATACTTCCAAATGGACTGTAACCAATTGAAATGTTATTGTTAATGAATGTGATGTTTCCGAGATTACTGCAATATTGGAATGAATAACTTGAAATCTTTGTAACACTTTCGGGAATTGTTAGATTGTTAATCAGTGAACAATATTTAAATGAACTGATTCCAATGTATTCAACGTTGTTCGGAATAAAAATGTTTATTAATGATTTACAAAAGAAAAATGAGTTATCACCAATCTTTGTAACATTTTCTGGAATATCAATACTAATTAATTTTGTACAATAATAGAACATGTAATTAGTGATTTCTATAATTTTATTTGATAAAGTTACAGTTGTTAATGATGTACATGAACTAAATAATCCTTGGCCAATAATCAAAACATTTTCTGGAATATTAATACTTGTGATTGACATGCAACTTTCAAATGCATAATTTCCAATTTCAGTTAAACTATTTGGAACAGGAATATTTGTTAATGCCATGCAATTACTGAATGATTTATCTCCAATTTTTGTGATTTCTCCTTTGATTTCAATAGTTGTTAATTTAGAACAAAACTCAAATAAATTATTGTTTACCAATGTAACTTTTTCTGGGATAATGATACTTTTAAGTTGATTACAATTACTAAATGAGCCTTCCCCAATTGAAATAATGTTGTTGTGGAGTTCAATACTTGTAAATTTAACTTTGTAGAAACAATATGAAGAAATATTAGTAACATGACTAGGAATGATATAATTTGTATCAGAAAATGATGGAATAACTCCGTAAATTGTGAAATTATTTTGACCATAAAATAAAATTTGTGAATCGCTCTTAAAATATGGATTTTCTGGGTGAACTGTTATGTTTCCTATGGGACAATCATTGATTGATGTTGGATCAAGATAATTAAAATTTTTTGGAAGAAAAAGTGATGATATTTGAGTATTACTGAAACAAAAGCTTCCTATTCGTTCTAAATTAGATGTTTCACTAATGTTAATACTTGTTAAGAAGCTACTTCCGAAAAATGTAAAATTATTTAGAGAAGTGACAGAGTCTGGTAATTCGATTGATGAAAGCATGTAATTGTAATAAAAACAGTAACTACCAATGCTACTTAATGATGGTGGAAGTAAAACTGTTGTTAAAAAGTAACAATTTTCGAATGTATAATCACTAAGGAATGTAAGCTTTTTGCATTCACTCAGGTTTGCTGTTTCGATGATGGTTGTGTGAAAACTGTACTTGCTGATGTTGACAATTTCGCTGTTCTCTTCAAATCTAATAGATGTGATCGCATTTTTACAGTTTTTAAATGCAAAATTAAACGTATTGGTGCTGCGAATCTCGGTCACGGATTGAGGAATGACTACTTCACCTTTATAATCTGATGAACAGGCAACAACGACTTTACCATCATCACTATATGCTAGAGTGCCAGTACTTAAGCTATACCAAAATAAAAAATATAACAAGATAAGCTTAATCTATGATCCACTAAACTTGAAGAAATTTCAATACGTTACTTTAAAAAGTTTTTCAAACTAATAAAATAATGTTAGTATATAATACATTTGCTGATATCCGATCAGTGGTATTCAAAAAATTGAATTCCTCTCAATATTTTATTTGTAACCATCAGAAAAATAAGGTGAAAAAAATTAGTTACAGATACAAATAAAATTTGTATGCAAGCATGGATTAAAATGAGACCCAAACTTGAAAGTGTGCTTTTTTGATGATTTTTTCATATATTATTTCCATAATATAATATTATTAAGATGTAGAAGCATTATACATTGATCTCTAGACAGAATACGTTCAATAGGAATAGTCGCAAAAACATATAGTCTACATTAGCATTTTAACTCATGAAAAGTTAATGGTACAGCCGAATTAGTTAAGGATGTATTTTACTACAAATTAATGTCGAATGGGTCCATTGTTAATGATTTAGCATAGTTAAATGCCCTAACCTAGGTCAGATATGTGAAATAAAGTTCTTTATTATTCAATATCATCTTGCATCGATATTTAATGCAATATATAGATAAGCAAATTACGTATATAATAATAATCATTGTGGCGCTTTCTTCTGATTTTACGTTATTCAAGGTTTTTTATCCAAACCGGTAGATTCGTCATTATTTTCTTCGTTATTGTTTGCACCATGTAAAAGTAGAATTTTTAAGGCTTCTTTATTGTCATTCTTAGATGCATATTGAAGTGCCGTTAATCCGTCATTATCTTTAGCATTAATTTCTGCACCATGCAAAATTAGAATTTCTATAGCTTCTTTTCTATTTTTCTCTACCGCATATTGAAGAGCAGTCTTTCCATTATTATCTTTAGCATTAATTTCTGCACCATGCGAAATTAAGATCTCTAAGGTTTCTTTACTGTTGTTTAGAGATGCCAGTTGCAGAGCTGTGACTCCACATTTATCTTTTTCATTTATATTGGCGCCTTCCGAGATTAATATTTCAACAATTTCTTGACAATTTTTAGCTGCTGCCAAATGAAGAGGTGTCATTCCATCATCATTTTTCGCGTGAATATTTGCACCTTTTGAAATCAAAGAATTTATTAATCGAGTGAAATTATGAAGGCATGCAAAATGAAAGGCAGTCATTCCATGCATGGCTTTTGAATTAGTTTCTGCAAAATGCGAAATAAGAAGTTCCATCATTTCTTTGTTGTTTAGAACATCAGTATATTGAATAACATAATTGCCATCATTATCTTTTTCATTCACGTTTGCTCCATTTGAGATGAGAAGTTCTGCAATTTCAATATTATTATATCCTACAGCATAGCAAAGAGGAACCATACCTGTGTAATTCTTGGAGTTAATGTCAGCACCATTCATTATTAATAGTTGTGCTAATTCTGTATTATTACGTGACAATGCAACATGAAGAGCAGTATCGCCTTTTATATTTTTTCATTAACATTGGCACCATTCAATATAAGAACCTCTGCGATTTCTTTATAATTTTCAATTGCCGCATAATGAATAGCAGTCAAGCCGCTTTCGTCTTTATCATTAATATTTGCACCATGTAATATCAGAAGTTCTACAATTTCTTTATTTTTCTTCTCAACGGCAACATGAAGAGCAGTATGGCCTTGTGAATTTTTTTCATTAACATTTGCACCGTTTGATATAAGAAGTTCTGCAATTTCTTTATAATTTCCAATTGCTGCATAATGAAGAGCCGTCAAGCCATTTTTGTCTTTAGCATTAACTTCCGCACCATTTAATAAAAGAAGTTCCGCAATTTTTTTATTGTTCTTATCAACGACAGCATGAAGTGCAGTCCATCCTTTTTTACCTTTTGCATTTATATCTGCTCCTTTGGATATAAGAAATGATGCCGACTCTGTAGTATTTTCAAGTGTTGAAATGAAAAGTGGCGTGCACCCTTTGTTATCTTTTGCATTGATATCTGCACCATGTAATAAAAGTAATTCCGATATTTCCGCACAATTTATTTCAGCTGCATAATGAAGCGCGGTGTAACCTTCATTATCTTTTTTATTGATAACTGCACCTTGTAATATAAGAAAATCTACAATTTCTTTATTGTTAAAAGCAGCGGCAAAATGTAGAGGAGTTCTTCCATTTTCTTCTTTTTCATTAAGATCTGCGCCATATTGAATAAGAAGTTCTGCAGTTTCTTTACAATTGTTATGTGCTGCATGATGAAGAGCAGTTAATTCATCTTCGTCTTTTTCATTAACATCTGCACCGTGCAATATAAGAAGTTCTGCGATTTCTTTATAATTAAAGGCAGTTGCGATTTGAAGAGCAGTTTGTCCACTATCATTTTTGTCATCAATATAGGGTGTCCAAAGGTGTGTTTAGCACAAACCTGAATACTGCGAATAGAAATAAACAAGTTACATATATATAAAGTTTATTTAAATATAATCACCATTGGATTCAATCACGCGTTCGCAGCGATCGATCCAGGCTTGAAAGACACGCTTTAAATCATCATGAGAAAATTGCTCAAATTGCTCTCTTACAAAATTTTCAAGATCATCTGGACTCGCGAATTTGCGTCCTTCAGCTCTCTTTTTTAGCGTGCCGAATAAATAAAAGTCAGAGGGTGCAATATCAGGTGAATAAATTGGGTTTGGAACAACTTTGACATTGTTTTCCACCAAGTAATTCATTACCTTATGACTTTTGTGAACTCTTGAATTATCAAAATGAATTGCAAACTTTTGTTTTTGTTGTTTGGATTTCTCAAACTCATCAGAATTGATAATTTGAGTAAGAACATTGTCAATTAGATACTGAGCATTCATCGTATTAGGTTTTTGAAGAATATCAATTGCGATGATGCCATTCACGCCCCAAAAAACCGACAACATCATCATTGGTGTGTCAATTTTTTTCTTCGGGAATGTTTGCGGATTTTCATCCTTCGGGATCCACATGATTTTGGCTTCTGTTGCATATTGAAACCAAGACTCGTCCCCTGTTACTAAAAAGCGAAACTTCTTGGATTGATACGCACCCAATATAGAGAGGAGCTCTTTCGAAGATTGGACTCTAGATTTTTTTTGAACTGAATTAAGGTTGTGCGGAACCCAACGTGTATACGCTAGTTTGTAGTTCAAATAATTGTGCAGATAATAACTGACTGTTGTACGTGGTATCTTTGTCATCTCCTCTATCCTTCTGAGTGATGCTCTTGGGTCTTCATCTAGCGCTTGAAGAATTGCTTTGATTTTTCTTTGATCCGGCGATTTTTTGTCAATTTTTATGATGGGCGCCTTTTTGTTCATGAAGTGATACATCCTAACATGATACGTTACAGTGGAATAGCTAGGAGCATCCATACCGAAGCATTTTACCAATGTCTCGTAGATTTTTTACAGTCTTTGCATTTTTTTGCAAGAGCGAGGATGTTTTCTTTATGATTCATTAAAAAAATGAAAAAAAATCCCGCCAAAATTTCCCGCGAAACCACCTCTTGTCTCAAAATTCATTTTATATCCCGGCATGGCGCCAAAATACAACATACTCATCATATACATATATTCATATTTTTTATTATATATTTATAATCAGCATATATCTCCTTTAATAGTCTCATATAGAGCACTGTGCTAAACGCACCTTTGGACACCCTATATTAGCACCATGCAATATAAGAAATTCAACTAGATCTTTATAATTTCTTTCAACAGCATTAAGAAGTGCAGTTTGTTCATTTTCATTTTTGTCATTAATATCAGCACCATGTGATAATAAAAGTTCGATTATTTCTTTATTATCAACAAAAGAAGGATGAACTAGAGCAGTAGATCCAGAATCATTTATTGCATTAACATCTGCGCCATTCGAAATAAGAAATTCTGCAATGCTTTTACAATTATATATAGCAGCAAAATGAAGAGCTCTCATTCCATCACTATCTGGAGCATTGACATCATCACAATATGAAAATAAATATTCGACAAGAGAAAGAAGCGAAAATGGAGGTGAATAAATAAAACTCTTCCTAAAATCTTTTGTAATATCAAGATTCATTAAGAAAGCTTGAAGGTTTAAGTATTCCCCGCATATTTCTAAATTGATATCAATATCATACTCATTCATTAAAAATGATATAAAATCAATATTGTTTGAAACAATTGCATAATTCATGCAATTTTCATCAGGATCTTGTTCTTTCAAACATTCATGAATGATTTCTGGATTTCCTCCTAGAAAAGAAAATTGGAGACATTTAAGTGTAATTTCTGATTTGAATTTTGTTCTTAACAACTTAAAACAGCCAACTGAACCATGATAACAGCATAATTCAAGAAGTGATAACTCATCTTCTGATTCAGGATAAAATTCATTGATGAGAATTTTATCTTTATCGAATAATTCATCTTCAATGAATTTTATAAATGATTCTTTGTCATCATCCATAATCGATTTGTATATTGAAATTTTTTCATGAATATCCAATGAATAATTTTCGTTTTCATATTTTTCAAAAATTTTCTGGTGATATCCGTCAATTGACAAGTTATAATCTTTATAAAATAAATACTCTAAAGCATCTTGGTGATAAAAATTTGGCTTAACATGAAATTCTTCATATGTCATTTTGAAAATTGTCCAATATGATCTTAAATATCGATTATTCAAAGTATGCGCAGTAAAAACCAGATCATATATTCTTTCCTGACGAACATTTCTTAATGGTACACTTAACCCTTTCTGGCATTCTCTCAATTTTTTTGACAACTAATCATTATATGTCAATTCACTAATGTATAATGTTAATATTTTTGTTCGGAAAAAATAGTGAATGTAATATTAGGTTTTGTGATTGAATGTCTGAAAGTGGTAAATACAACTTTAAATAAGAGATAATAAAAATAAAAGAAACAATTTATTTATAATTACATATCTTCTTGGTCATGAAATCTTCGATGGAACATGTCAGACACAGACTTATTAACTGCAGCATGAACATCAGATGCCTGTGCAACTGTTCTTCCTGAGTGCATTGCACGTTCAAAGACATTAGAATACAATTCACGCATTGCATTTACATATTCATCCTGTCCACTTGCTTTAGGAAGATTTTTGTCTTCTTCTGTTGTATCAAGTGGACTAAATTCTTTAATAATCTCTGGTTCATTCTTAAATGACAATAAACTGTTTGGAGGCATCCATCTACCTCCAAAAATTGTGAAACCAATTCCATGATAATTGTCTTTATTTCGATGTTGGAATTGGTGTTCAACAGATGATTCATGAACAAAATCAATAAAAAGATCAGGTGGATCATGATCTGGAAATTTTTCAAGAAATGTTACACGTGTTTCCAGACATTTCTTGCAAACAAATGTCCAATCATCCAGACAATCAACGTCATCCAATTTAATTGGACAATCTCTCGGAAACAAACCAATACAAGGTACATGGAACCAATCACTACAAACAATACACTGTACCATACCCCCTGTATCTGGTCCATCACACGTACACCATCTATCAAAGAAGTTGTGGCCATATGAATTATGTGGATTTTCACATGTTTTCGCTTTCATCATCGCACTACATGGTCTATGGGATCTGTCGTTTCCACAATCACATCTGAAACGTCTTCTTACACCTATAGGACGAACATCATGACCTTGATGACATATCTTGGCACATTGCTCACAAATTCCAAACGGTTTGTCACTTTTTATACAATCTCTACAAACATAAACCAATTGGTCGCAATAACCATATTTTTCATAGGTGCAATCACCTTCTTCTGCCTTTATTGTGTCTACTTGTGTCAGCCATGCTTCGTGCGCTTCTTCCTCTTCCTCTGTTTCGTTCACAAACTGTGCTCTGACTAAATTTGGTTCGAAATCAAAATGCGAATAAACATAAATGTCGTCTTCAAGGGAAACAGCAATGCAACTGCTATTTGCGGCAACAGAAACAGCTGGTGTTGCAAGTTCAACTGATAATGAGTAGTTTTCGTCTTGTGAATTTGGATCAACGACAAAAATGCTTCCACAGCCATCTGCGGCAACAACAAGGCCATTGTAGAAGGTTGGACGTGCGGGAAGAGTGTTGAGAATTGGTATATGTTCGCGAAATGATAATGGATTTAAAGGTAAATCAAATGTGTATAAAATTGAATCTTTTGATATAATGGCAAGATGATTTTCATTGCATGCCATGCTGGAAACGCCTACAGGAAGTTTACAGGTTTGTATGTGTTCTGGTTTTCTAATATCTAAACAGCCAAGTTGTCCGTATTGGGATGTAAATAGAGTTGTGTTATCATATGAGAATGCTAATTCTGTGATATCTATAGAGTTATTGAGTTTTGTTGGTTCTGTACGATCATCAATGAGATAAATTCCGGATTCGGAGGATATTATTGTATTTGTTGCATGTAGTGATATCGTTCCTGAATATATAGTTTCTAGTGGCTCGAATAATGTTCGACGACCGCTTGTTACTGTATCTGTTTTCACAAGTTTTGATTTATCATAGGAAAGAAGTACAAATGGGGACATAAAATCAATACCCATAACATTGTTTTCATGAACTTCTGTGTATGATGCTAATAATTCGCGAGTTTCGAGATTAACTAAATCAATTCCGCCCAAATTGCTTCCTACGCCAAGAAAACAATTGTCTGAGAATTCTGTATTGCATAATGCGAGGACACAGGATGTTGTTTCTGTTGAATGGTGAGATAGTTGAAGCCCATCATTCAACATTTAAAAAAATTGTTTTCTAAATCTGCCCACTGAATATTTTTATTAAAAATTTTAATGCATTACTTAGTACATTTGAAAACAAAAAGCTATCCTCTAAAATTGCAAAATTTTATAATTTTATTCTTTAAAAATCTCTTTGAAATGAGAATGTATGATGCTTATGATATTTAATAATGAAGTTTAGAATAATTGTGAGTTATGATTTTACTGCATAACAGAGATAAGTTTATCCAATTATAGATATTTCCAAAACCATTAAGAAATAATGTTTACATTATTTAACGAGTATATCCGTGACTATTCGGCATAATCTCGATGATTAGATATGATAATATAAAAAATAGTGTTTATTTAATATAAATTTTAAACTTCCTCATCTTCTCCTGCCACCCACAGCATATCTACTTGTTCTATCTTTTGATGATTTAACATAGTTAATGGTTAAGATATCAATGAAGTTGCTATCTGTACGATATATAAGATTTTGGTTTGGCTTAATTGAAATATAGTTAATAATATCACGCGTTGTTTTATTGGTGATTAGATCTATATTATCACAATAAACATTAATTGATTTTTCACCAAATAAATCTTTACATGATTTTGATAATATTGCTTCCCCAGTAAGATATAAATTGCTCTTTTTTGGAAATACTTAAGTTGTACTATCTTGAAAAGTAAAATTTCCTCGAATATAAATATCAATTGGATCTATTTTTGAAAATACATTCTTATCGAATGATACTATATTCAGATTATTTGCGAAAGTTATACTTCTGATGTTGTTGGATTCATAAAATGCATAAGATCCAAATTTTGTGGTATTACCTAGAATTGTAATATTTGTTAATAAATTGCATCCACGAAATGCACTTCCTCCTATATTTGTTACTCTTGCCGGAATTGTAATGTTTGTTAATAAATGGCAAGCATAAAAGGCATTTGATTTTATTGTAGTTAAACTTTCTGGAAGTATAATGTTTGTTAGTAATCTGCATGTCATAAATGCCATAAATCCAATTGTTGCGACTTTTTTGGAATTTCAATATATTTTAACTTTTCACAGTCATTAAATGCAGGATCTCCAATCTCTATTAAATTTTCAGGAAGTACAATACTTATTAATTCTATGCATGCAAAAAATGTTTCTTGATCAATTTTTTTAATACTTCCTAGAGATGGAACAGTTGTTAATGAATAGCAATATGAAAATGCATTACTTGAAATAGTTTTTACACTTTTTGGAATTGTAATATTTTTTAATTTTTCACATTTATAAAATGCCTTTAAGCCTATGGTAGTTAATGATTCTGGTAGTGTAATGGAAGTTATTGATATGCACCCATAAAATGCTCTATCATTGATACGTAAAACATTTTCAGAAATCCTGATATATTTTAATGATGCGCAACCCTCAAAAGCTCCTTCTCCTATTTCTATAACACTATTTGGAATTGTGATATTGGTCAAATTTGTACAAGAATAAAATGTCCATTTTCTTATCATTGTTATGTTTTCTGATAGAGTAATTTCTTTTAATGATTTGCATCCTAAAAATGCACAAATTCCAATGGATTGTACACTATTGGAAATTTTAACAATCTTTAATGATAAACAGGAAAAAAATGTATAATTTTTTATTTCAGTTATACTTTCCGGAATCGTAATATTTTCTATAAAGTTACATAAATGAAAGGCATACTTTCCAATAGATATTATTTCATTGTGAAGTTGAATAGAAGAAATATTAACTCTATAAAAGCAATAATCAGAAATGATTGTAACATAATCAGGAACAATATATTCTCTTTCAGAATATGAATCCAAAACCCTCAATAACATTGAAAATTTTGTCCCTGTAAATATAGATTTTGATAGGACTTTAAAATTAATATTATTTGAATCTACTGTTAATTTTTCTAGCGGGCAACCATCAAATGCAGATTCGTTTATAGTTTTCATAGATTTTGGAATACAAAATGAAGTCAATTTTGAATACGAAAAACAGTTAAAATCAATCAAAGTTAAATTGCTATTATGAGAAATATTTATTGTTTTTAAACCACCTTGACTAAAAGAGAATTCATTAATAGTAACAAGAGAATCTGGAATATCTATTGATGTTAAATTTATATCTTGGAAAAAGCAATGTCTTCCGATACTTTGGAGGTAAAATTACTGATTTTAAGTAATTGCATTTTTGAAAAGCAGAATCATTAAGAAATATGAGTTTTCTGCATTCTGTAAAATCTATTAGTTCTAATTTTGTGCGATAAAAACTCCAAGGATATATTTTGACAATCTCGCTATTTGTTTCGAAAAATAATGATATTGTATTATTTTTACATTGCCTAAAAGCATAAACATTCCTATCAATGCTAAATATTTCTGTGACATGACTAGGAATATGAATTTGACCGCTAAAGTCTTCTGTGCAACTGACAATTATTTGATCATTATCATCTTTGTATATAAGAGAACCAGCACTTGTACAATAAAAGATTAAAAAATAAAACAACGACATTATAGTTTTAAGCGCCATATTTTGACATCCATAGAAAATTATGTCCAGAGTAATTAATTGAAGTGACTCATGCAATTAATTCTATGAGTTCTTTTTAATTTGGAAATTTCATGATTTGTGATGTAAAATAAGATTTGATTTCATGTGTTAAAAAGCGCACACCTTAAATACCAAAAAATCATTAATAGAAAATAAACTCAATATCAAAAAGTCGCTGTTTTTCAATAATTTGTGATTCACGCCAGTAAATTATAATGAATTTTTTGTTTTTTCTTAGATTGGCAGAATCGAAACATCCTCAGATGAACATTATGATGGTGTCATCAAAGAATGAGATGATTAAAAGCCAAAAAATAGTTCAAATACCAGGAGTGAACGGAAATTCTCTTATTTGTACTGAATCAGAAAAAATAAGATCACCAAATTTCTCAGGTGATCCAGCAGAACTGCTTTCCAAGCTTGGTGGTCGTTGTTACAAAATCGATGCTGATGGAGAGCTTTTTGAATTTTGTTATGAAGGAGAGTCAAAGCTAAATGGTGTATCTCTTGGTTATTTTGCTGGATATATATTCAATAATAACAAACTTTTTTCAGAAACATCTAATGGTTATCAATGCGGAAATTCTACTTATCGATTAACAACTTATTATGATTGTGACTATAGTGCAAAGAAGTACGAGCCTAAAATACCTGCATTTTGGCATGATAAAGACGATGAATGTCATTTATTCACGGAAATTTATAATAGACAGCTATGCAAACATCACGTATTCTCATCTTCAGAAACCTTAGATGTCACATGTATTTCAAAGAACGTTTACGAGAATATATTCGTTTAAATAATACAATACTTCGTTTTAATTAATTCGATATAACTATGTTTCGAAGCTTTATTTACACTAGGTTGCATATTCGTTAATTCTACCATATTTAGAATATATTCAAAATAGTTGTGACACTTTTTTCAGACTATTTTATAAGCCTGTAAAAAGTGTCACAACTATTTTAATATTTGCTGAATTAATTCAACATACATACAAAGTATGTGAAATATGTTTCTCAATGATTACAAGTATAGTCTGGATAGACCCGCTCTTGAACCTTTGCCAGTCTGAAATTCTGCATGACAATCTTGTTTATTTTATTCCAATCCTCTTGAAGTGTAATCACATTTTTACAATAATAGTAAAAATTATTTTACAAGGAACGCGAATTTTCAAGAGGTTTTGTCTTCATCAGAGCTTATAGTAAAAATTATTTTACAAGGAACGAGAATTTTGAATAGTTTGAATGAGAATTCAAAATTTAAGGTTATTTTATTTTTTGCATGAAAATGCAAAAAAGTCGTCTTCTCCAGAAGATGACAATGTTTGGAAATTCTACTTCAACAGTGTACCAACAGGAAACCCAACAAAGTATTGCCAAAACTGTAATCTATCAGCAGGTCAAGGTCAATATTGCTTAGATGAGTGTTATTTTTTTTGATGATAAAGACCGAGTTATCAACTTTGATCCAATTAAAAACTCACTGTTCCTACATAATCGGTGTTCTTTTAGTAATTGCACGTCGACATCAGAAGGGAGTTGCATTTTCTACAAAATTGGCAGTAATAGTTCGATTGTTCAACGAAAATTCTGTTGTAAAAAATGCCAAAGTGAAGACGGAGCACACTTTTCATATACATATGTTGAGTCAGATAACTTAAACTTTTTTATTGAAAGCTCCCTTTTCGATTTAGGAAAAGAAGGTTTTGGTTTGTCTATTTATGCCGAACGTGATAATATCGTAGTTTCATCAACAAATTTTTCATCATGTAAAGGTTATGGCGCAACTGCTGGCTTTTTAATAAGTACTTCACTTAAATACACAACAAAATTTAACTACACAACTATTGTTAATAATTTGGCACCATGTCATATATTAACTTTTTGGCATAACGCGTTGATTGATTCATGTAATATTATAAATAATACTAATACGCAACCAGATAATGGAATTATTTTCCATAATTATAATTCTCTTACTGTAAAAGGTTGTTCTTTTATTAACAACACTGCTCCTCAAAATTCATATTTGATATATAACGAAGATTATGATCAAAATGAACAAATATCAGTTGATAATTGTTACATTGACAATTCGATTACTACAACATTTTATAGAGATGTTGTAGTACCTAGTCATCCAAGAGAACTATTTACTAATAATTTGAGTCATCTTTCATTTGATAATTGCCAAGCAGGATTTGCAATTATCAATAAAAAAATTTCTAAAGTTAATAAGCTTTCTCTTTTTTGACTAACTTTAGTAAATATTCTATTTTTGTCTTAATCTTATGTTTCATTCTCTTCTATCTTCTTAATAATATGTGAAAAAGGAAATATCAACATGCTAATCATTCTTAGTGATGTTGTTTGTGATCGAAAATCTAATACTTATTTGGATTTATTGAATTCTTTTTTGCATCAAATTGTATCTGTTTGAGAAAATCCCTAATTGATGCAAATGCTCTTACTTCTCGTTATATATATTTATTAAATTTCAAGACAAATAATTTTCTATATGCTTGATGATTTGCCAAATAGTTAATAAAATAAAGTTGATTCAATATGAAATGTAAATTTTATTTAATCAAAATGTCTTATTCACATAAGTTTTATGAGGCAAAAATCATAGGTGTGTGTTATAATTATATAAAATAAGAGCTATGGACGATGAATCAGTAAGCATGATTGGAATTCAAATTATAATAAGGAATTTTAAAGTCTTTTTCCATGATACTTCTACTAATGTATTTTATACCAAAACTATTAAGAATATTATATTCAGAACTATATCATTCCATATAAAATTATAGAGATATCTTCAACTAAAGTATTTCCAAAAAGTGACAGATATCCGTTATTACAAAATGAGCAACAAAAAGGGGAAGAGCGCTCCAGCGAAACAAGTTAATCCCATTGTTGCCGAATTTCAGGCAAGCTGCAAAGCATTGAATTTTGCAGAAGAAGATATAATGACTGATATCGGTAATTCGTTAAATCAATCTGAAACACAAATTCGTTTAACTCATAAAAATATTTCGCCAGCTCTAGGAAAAGTATTACTTCGTTTATTCCAACGCTATCAAAGATTACAAGCTATTACTTTGTTTTCATGCGTTATTTTAGATCCTGCTTTTCTTAAGCAGTTAGGAACAGATCTTGTTAAATCACCAGTCACTAGTTTATCATTTGATTACAGTCCAATACAAAGAGAAGCATTAATTCCTTTCTTAAATCTTCCATCGTTAGATGTACTTTCTCTTCGCGGAAATCAATGCTTAACTCCATACGATTATGTTAAAATGACTCAAAATCCTTTCCCACAGACATTAAATACGTTTTTCAACGCATTAACAACTTCAAATCTCAAAGTCTTAAATCTTTACGGTTGTCATCTTGGTGATGATGGTACTATAGCTCTTGCAAATGCTCTCTACTTTAATACAAGTCTCAAATGTCTTTGTTTATCAAGAAATAAAGTCGGAGATGCCGGTGCAAACGCTTTAGCTTCTGCCCTTAGCTATTATACACTTTCTGAAGCAGAGACAGCCATTGTTGACCGCCTCATGAACGAAGAATCCAAGCAGAGAATATCAGATGAAGGTGGTTCGTTAGTTAAGCGCAAGAAAGGCCAAAAAGCGCCACCAAAGAAGGCTCCTCCGAAGACAAATAAGAAAGGACAGCCTAGCAAAGCACCAACAGAGAGATTACTTAATTTCGACCCAACAACTCCAGTAATGGCAGCAGTTTTAGCTAAATGGAATACATGTGTTACTAAAGAGAATGGAACACGTGTTCTTCCTGGTAATACTACACTTTCTACTCTTATTCTCGATGAAAATCAGATTACAGGAAGCGGAGCTGCCCGCCTTGGAGAAATGTTAAAGGAAAATGCACATATAGTTCATTTTACTATTGCTAATAATCCAGAAATAGAGCCTGCAGAAGAAAAGTCGTTGACTCGTGTTATTCAAGAATAATTTTTATTTTCTATTTATTTTAATTGTAAATTCTCAATATACTTTAATAATTTTTTAGATTTATGGAAACAAAAGACGTTTGAGTCATTGCAAATTCTTTCAAATTTTAAATTTTAGTTGCGAGTTAAAATTTTCTAGCACTTGGAAGATCCATTTGTTTAATCTTGTAATTTGAAAAGGTATATTCTCTAGTATAAGCATAATATAAAGAAATATTATTTGAAATCAGAACTTCTTCAAGCTATAGACCATTGATAGCTCATCACTTAAAGAGTTAACTTTGTATAAAACTTTTATTGACTGAATTTTGCAGAATGTAATGCATTGATATCAATATTTGGAAATATAATGCATAAGGAGGAAGAAATAATAACTTGTAATACTATGATTTTTGTTGTAATGAAAAATAGTTGATGATATTCGAAAAAAACTTGACAATAGAATTTTTAAATCAAATAATTCTTTTTGCAATGGTATATTATATCAATTTGTTTTCTTACTGGTTTCCTTCATCATCTGGGTTCCATTCTTCCTCTTTTTCAGCTTGTTTTTCAACAGGTTTTTCCGCATTTTGGATTTTTGGTGGATCTGGTTGTTTTCTTACCGGATTGAAGGTAGGGATAGTTGGCTGCGACTGTGGTTGTGGCTGTGGCTGCTGCTTTGGAGTAGGAACGATTGGAGGTGGAGTTGGCTGAGCTTTTCTTCCGAGTTCGAAAATTGGAGCTTCAGTTCTCTTTGAAGAATCTGGAGAAGAGCCATCGGCCTTCTTTGTGTAATCTCCGTACTTTTCTGTTGCTGAAATCTTTGGCTGTGGCTGTTGTTTGCGACCACCGTAATATGAGTTGCCAGCGCGGCCAGAAGAGCGTCCTCTGTAGCCTTGGTAGTCATCTACATTACCACTATCGTAGAATTGGTTGCCATAGCCCTTGGAATACGAGTGATTTCCATATCCACCGCCGCGATCTTCGTAAAACTCATTTCTGTAACCATGGCCACCACCACGGCGATTGTAACTGCCACGTCCGTAGCTGCTGCGTCCGTATCCATCTCTTCCGCCGTAGCCACCCTGTTGATCATCATCTGCGAAGTCCTGATTACCATCATCGTAGTAAACATCAGCTGGCTCTTCTTTTACGTATGGGATGAATGTTTTTTTGCCTGTAGCTGAATCCCAAACTTCTTCGCCTTCAATACTTTCGTTTTCTGGGTATGGTTCTTGTTGACGAAGTGGTTGGTTCGATGGTACAGGGCGTTCAATAGCCTTTTGGTATGAAGGATTGGCTGGTTGAGATTTTTTCTTGCGCTGTTTCTTTTTTGTTTGTTCTTCAGCCATCAAATCACCAAAACTTGGTGCTGATGCCATTTTATTCTCTGTTTTACCGGCAACCCATGAAGATTCGTTAATAACTTCATCTATTTGTTGTTCTTCCTTATATTTTTCTTCATCAAATTCCTCTTTGAGGTCTATTGATATCTTGCCGATTGATGTGGAAGAAGTCTGTCTGTGAGCTTTGTGATAACTATCCATTTTAATCAAATAAAATTCAAAAAGTGGCCAAATGAAAATTTTCTTTGATCAAAAAATTACAATTGAATAGGTTTGACCAAGTTAAGTTTATTAGAATAAGGGTTTCGTTTTGCGAAAAAAACGTACAATACGCAATTTCGCTAAAAAAACATTTAGCAAGCAATTTCGACCTTTGACTCCACTCAAGACGTCACTTTTTTAATTTTGCGGTATCATATTTTTGGAAAATCTTTATGAATATTATATAAAAAGTCTCTTTAATATCTATATTTCATATTTTTATCGATTTTTAAAGTTTTTGCGAAAAGTATTCAATTATTTTTGCTATTTGGTCGGGTAAATGTCAGATTTGCGACATTTTCTGATATGATATTCAGATTCTACGTTGATAATAATGCTTATAGAACCCTCTTGCTATTGTGTCAAAATTGCGAAACCGATAGCAAAAATATCTCGCAATATCAAAATTGAGATATTGAGTGAATTATGCATTATAGAGATTAAAAATCTGATTTGTGAAAACATCTCATCAGTTTCTAGCTAATTCAAAAATCTTTACTATCTTATTCGATTAAAATGAAAAGGGAATAGTTTCATTATGCTTTAAATGACAGCCTTATAATATAATCATAGTTTTCGCTCAATATGCAGCATTTTTTTTCGAAATCTATGGTCAATGTCCTAAATACTGATTGCTTTGCATTCATATATCTTACATTTTCTATACCCACATCACTATTCATTGCTATTCCTATCTTTTTCATTTTTGTTTGTTTCTCATAATTTCTCAAAAAACACGATAACTTGATATTTGTAAATATCATACTTTATAACGTAAATAAGAACTTGACCTATTAAGAAAAGCAGTAATGAAAAGAAAATCTGAAATTCATAAAAATTACAAGTTTCTGATGACAATTAGCTTAATTAAACCAGGTACAAGATTATATAATTGTATTTTCTATCCAATTATCCATATAATATCTTATCCAGAAAAAATAACTTGATCAATACCAAATGATTTTTTAACTAGTAAATAAAGTATTTTCTTTACACACACATTGTATATCATAGTTTTTTTTGGTTTCGCAAAACATCCAAAAACAAATATGCTATAAAAGTGACAATTTTAGCAAAACGAAACCCTTAATTAGAATGAGTACATTTTATTAATGTCTTTTTTGGCAAATATGTCAGAATTTACATTTTCGAAATCTTGATTCTTCAACCTGGTTCTCCATTGTTCTACGATATTGAGAAAGCATGATACACTAGTTGGTTCAGAAATTTTGATATAAAGTATCTTTTTTCGACCAACCTCATATTGAAAGATTTAATTCCACCATAATATGCTTCATCTGTACTAAAATATTAATAACATATAACAAGATAAGAGAAAGTTATCTTATAAATTGAATTTATATCAATAATAAATTATTGAAAAGATATTTCCAAAGATATAGATAAGGTTCTTCTTGAGAAATACAATATATATTATTTATCAAAGAGAATCATAGATTTCATTAATCTGTATTTTCGTTATTTAACTTGTAAATAAGATTTTAACAAAATAAAATTAAAAATTAAAATAAATTCATATTTTTCCAACAAATTGTAGAACTTTCCATCTAGGTTATTTATATATCTCATATTCTTGAAATTTGTTAATGGCATTATTTATCATTTGGACGCTGGCAAACTCAATTTATAATAAATTTCTCATATTTTTTCAAAAGTTTCAACGCTTTTCCACGAATTCCTTTGATTTTATCATTTCATTACATACACTTTGCACAACCTCTCAGGATTCGTTTCTTTCCTCTTCATGATTTTCCTATCAGTCATTCAATCTAAATAAACAAATATGGATATTATAAACAGAGGAAAGATGATATTAAAAATCAAATATCTAATCGAAATGCGTACGTTTATTTATTCAGTATAAAATAAATGAGCGGAAAAGAAAACATTGATGTCTCCAATATTGACCCTGAAATGACAGTAGAAGACTACTTAAGAAAGCAATGCAACGATCAGATAGAACGCTTAAAAGAACATGCAAACCAGCTTGTTCAGCAATTCCAGCAAGAATCAGCAGAAGTTCGTGAGAAACTTGTGCAAAGACTCGAACAGAATACAAATTGTTAGATAAAAATATACCTTTCTATGTTTAATTTTTTTAATGCCTTATTTGGAAATATTTTTAAATTTATAAACAACTCCGCATTATTTTTACCTTCTGCAATACATTTCAGTCATTGTGGCATTCTCGATCCTTCACAAAGAGAAATTTATCCATAAATTTTAAGATTTTTTTTCCAAACATTAGATTTTGAATGGTTCAAGAAAATATTTCATAGAGTTCGACCATAATGGATACAAATATAACATTGAATAATTTAGAGCGAGAGATACGAATTGAATAGTTTACAAAATCAAAATGATTTTGTTTTTTCTTTTTCTCCGATCAATTCCTATTCTAAAAACTCTTTCAAGTACATCAAAATTACTATCTATACACGATACTTTTGATACAACTGGCGGCATACAAATTAATATCAACGTATATCCATTTTTCTTAGTTTTTAACGACGTACCAGAAGGATCTATTTTACATGAATATACATCATCGGATAAAGATACATTAGAACTTACAAATTCAACTCCTGTCGAACAAATAAATCTTGTGCATTATGTCGAGTATCCATTCGCACAACATATAATAGAGATTACAAAACCCGGAAATTTTTCGATTACATACGGATCACTTCAAGATATGTGCCAAACTGGCGCATTTTTTACAAATACAATACAAAATTCAATTACTCTGAACGAATCATCAACAGGAAATGATAAGATTTCAATTTATGAAGATAAATGCATTATTTTTACAAATCCAGCTGAAAATTTCCATTTTTTACGGTTAAATGGAATTAACGGGCGCGTTATTTTATACGGAAATGGTGTACCTGATCGAGAGTTTACAGGTACTCTCCTTAAATATTTTATGTTTGACGCTTCTTCGTCTCCTGCCATTTTCAGATTTTACTCTTTCGGAGAACCATCATCAATGTTCATATCAATACAGATCGAATCTAAAATGTATAGACCTAAGAGACAGCTTGTTGCTTTCTGGAATCCAAATGAAAATAATCATTGCGATAAAGTTGAGAAATGTACCATTGTTAAAGCTTTGAAAATCAAATTGGTCGTTATAATCGTATCAATATTGATCGGAATTCTTGCTTTCATGGTTTTCATCTATTTTGTTTTAATGAAATCATGCTGCAGGAGGTTCAAAGAGAAGCAGAGGTCTGATAATAATGAATGGCCAACTTCAAAAGAAAAAGGCCAAAATAGAACTGAACCAACAGGTACATTCTTAATGGATCCTATTTTAAGAACGAATGCTGATTCTTATTAATTTTCTCTCATGTTTGTTAATAAATTTTTTTCCCCATATTAGTGTTTACTTTTATATTCAAAATTTTTATTTATAATATTACATTATCATCCAAGTAGCACTATAATAATTTCAATAAGTCGATAAGTCATGATGTTTTAGATTACTAGTCATCATACATTGCTTAAATTTGTGAATTTTATTGATGATGTCATGAAAAATGATGATTAATTTGAATGATCTAGATTGGAAACAAGTAGAAGATAATGAATCTGTTATTAAGAATGAAAAATTTTATGATTTTTCGTTTGAAATTTTCAAGATTTTCAAATCATCGAATGGATAAAACAGTGGCGAATTGGTTAAAAGAATTCCAAGAGAACTACCCTTTGCCACCACCAGACGGTGAAGCGGAAGCCACAGGTTGGACTCTTACAATTCAAGAATTACAAGATTTTTCATTATCAAGAGAATTGCAAAGTGTTCCAGATACAACAACATATGGTATGAAAATATATGTATCAGTATTCAATACAAAAACCGGACTTTTTCATGGAAGAACATGGAGTTCTCCACTTCTTACAAATACATCTACAAGTGTGATTAATTTAACAACGCATGGATTGCTATATGGCAAAGAATGCCTTATAATCATCGAATTTTCGTTTGTTATCAGATACTTTAGCAATGAAACTTCTGAAAAATCACTTTTCTTCACAGTTTTATATCCATTTTCAAGCTCACAACACATATGCCCATTATTCACAGGATCACCTAGATTTTTACTTCAAAACCCTAAAGACTTCGCTCAATTCTTAAATAACAGACCTGGTCAATTATTGATCGAATTACAGCAGAATAACGATTTACTTAGAGCCAAACAGTTTATTCCGTTATGCTCATTCATGCAGTATCCTCCTCCTGGCGTTATTAAACTCGCTCCACTTTCATTGAATAATATTTTCCCAATTAACATATCAGACATTAGTTTAGTTGTTGATCCAAACTTTGAAATGCGTGTTAAGCAAGGATTCGAGCAACTCTTTTCCAAAAAATACAAAGTTCCAGCAGAAGATTTATTACTTCGCGCAAACAAATATATCATTCAAATTGTTGCTCACAATGGATACACACAACTTCAAGAACCATACAGAATCGAGTTACAACCGAAGAGCTATTGGAAATACGATGGACAACTTACATTTAAAAATTTTGTCAACGATAATCGCTTTGCATTGTTGTTTTTGTTCATTATCAACATAGAATTCAATGCAGAAGGCTTCAATAAGCCTGATTCAACAAACCAATACCCAAAGAAACAGTTACTTGAAATTCCAATCGGATATTCAATTACAATTCCAACAAAAGACCAAACAGTTACCTTAAAATGGTTCCAAGAAGCTAGATTGTGTCCTCTTTGTTCAAGAGTTTGTCGTGTTGTTGAGAATTTGCCTCCATTAACTTATGACGTCAATTACAGCCCAATAAGTGGCAAAGCCAATGATATTAACAACCTTCCTGTTGAATTTAAGACCATTATTGGTGCAGATGGTGGCAGTTTGTCTCCTTTTGACCCAATTAATTCAGCAGTTACTCCTTTATTAGCGGAAGAGCTTCTTGATAAGCTTAACGGTAACCATATACGTATAATGATTAAGTTCCTTGTTGCGCGACCTGATTTTACAGAAAGATTTCCGATATCTTCTTTTCCAAAAGTATATTTCGAAGCAGATGTATGGCAAACAACCACAACAAGGATACCAGACTGCGATATGGAAATCCTTGATGAGAATATCTACTGTTTCGATGAGAAACAATCAAAGGATGGCAAAAAAGGAACAATGTTAAATTTAGATTTCAAATTACCAACGGTTGACCACGTTACAAACTACTTTTTGTTAATGAAATCTAATGAATTACAAGTCCAAATGAAGGATGAAGCCTCAAACATGGTTATTGGCCGATTTACAATTCCATCATCAGCATTATTAAGACAAAGGAAGCAAAGTCTTCAATTTCCAGCTTATTCCAACATAATAAGTGATGATGGAGAACATCTAGGCATGATATACTTCGTTTGTGGCAATTTCGGAACAAATGAAGGTGAAATTGACAAAAATTTGTTCGAACAAAGGAACAGAATCGAAAATGGACTGATTGTAGCGGAGTCAATGATGAAGACTGACCAAGAGTTTAGAGAATTAGTGCTAAAGAGCATGCAGGAGCCATTAGAACTCGCAATGAAGTACAGAGATGGAAAGAGAAAACAAATTATTTTGAATGATATGCAGAAAAGATTTTTACGTACAAAAAAGATATTCCCAGTACCAGGCGTTGAGTTTAAATTCACTTTTGAGTCGAATTTCGACCCGAGTGAAAATATGGATATCAGGATTTCAATTGATGATGAAAGAATCAGGTTTTTAGGCTTAACAAAACATGATTCTCCAATTGATGACCTCGAATCCAGATATATTCCATTGAGAAATACGGATATGAAATTAATTCAATCCCAAAACTTGTCAACTCTTGAGATATTCAGTCTCATTCACTACGGGTCAGATACTATATCTGTTGTAGAGGGTCAGAAAATCTCTCTTGACTTCTCTTTCTTCACTGTTCAGTCAATAACAAATAAGGAAATCACTGTGACACTTTTGGACAAAGATAACGAAGTTTGTGATATCTTTACTGTCAAAATTATTGCATCGGGAGATGTTGCACATGAAACAATTACCAAATATATCAAGAAAGGATCATGTTTGACAGCAACTTTGTCAACATCTCTTTCATTGAAAGATGCAATTTCGGCAAATGATCTGATAACTGCTGAAAACTCAACAAGTGGCGTGCGCTTGTCAAGTTCTCCTATAGATGAGGACATTACAACCTTGGTTTTCATGTTTGGAGAAGATGGATCTCTTGTTAAGGTTTGTAAAGTCATTATTCTATTAACTCCTTCGGAAGTATTGACAGCAGGAAGTCGCCTCAAGGTCGTTTTGAAGCATATTATTGGAAATACAATTATATGCAGATCAAATAACTCCAGAATTGCACAGTTTACATCACATTTGACTCCAACAGTTCTTTCTCCACCAGGAGAAGTAACTGCTATTGCAATTAATGGAGGAACAGCATTATTAACTATATTTGACTTGACAAATAAGCAATTGATAAGGAATATAGTTGTGTCTATTGGTGCTGGACGTGGTGATGCTGAACAAAAGTGTCTTGACAAAATCCAAATTAATCTTCCTGTTTCTACTTTGGTTAAAAGAGCTGTTGTTTATAAGAATAATACAAACTCAACTAAACATGTGACATTAACCACTTCTCACCCTGATTTGGTCACATTTGATCCACTTTCATATGATATTTCACCAGGCGAGACAACTAGATTCAAAATACATTTCTTGCCGCATGGAAAGGCAGAATCTGTTGCTCTTTATGTGTTCTTGCAAGAAAGAAGATCAAATAAGAGAGCTCAAGAATATTATAGATTTGCTATTAAATATGAATAAAGCTTGTTTATATTTCTGTTGTTTATTATACTCAACTTATTACTTTTTATTGGCTTCATAATGATTATTCAGAATATTTTTTTCCATCTCCTTTTGGAGAATAGTGAATTTTATAGTATTATTTTAAAATACGTAAGTATTTAGAAAGAACAAAAGAATTTATTGATTAGAACGACGTGGATTATGTCGAAGTAAGAAATGTGCCAGGAATAAAACCGGATCCGGAGGACGAATACGTTCAAGCTCATCCATACCATAGGCAAGGAGGGGAATAAGTGTATCTCCTAAATACTGCTTAAGTTCTTCTTCATCTGTCTGTTGTGCTTGCTCAGCATGGATATCTTGGCTGTCATCTGCAGATTGTGGCGGAGCTGATATGTTTCCTGAAGTAGGAGTGCTATCCCGAGCACTCATTTTATAAAAAATTTAAAAACGTCTATTTCTGACAAATTGACACGTAAAATATTTAGGTGGCAAAAACAGGAGCCACTTTTATTAAAATTTTTGCCAGATAAGAATTTATGATTTCTTCTAAGGAAACAACAGGTGCAAACAGTATTCAGATTAAATCAAAGAATTCTATAGACTTTACAAAAGGTGATTCTATTGAAGGAGAGTCATTTGACGATGTTCAGATCAGAATTAACCAATTGCACTCACAAGATCTCTCTGAAAAGTTTTTAGCAGTACAGTACTTCGCAGAATTCTTGGAAGATCAATATCTTCCACCACCAATGATGCCAGATTTTCGAAATGTGATTTTAAGTTTATTTTTCAATACAGAGCAGTTACCTGAGCATCACATGGAGAACTTATTAATAATCTTACAAAAAATTGTCGAATTTTTTGAACCAGAGTTTGAATTTCTTGATTTGTTCAATCGTACGTGGAGCCTCTTACCAAACTCAGAAGCATTCAATTTACTAGCACAAATTATTAAGATTTCTCCTCAAATATCACTTTCTTTCCTACAAAACCAAGAATTTTGCAATAATTTACAGCAATTCATGCTTTCTGAGGAAGAAGAGATCAGAAACTCAGCTCTTATCATTCTATATTCATTGTCAAGTATACAAGACAACATTTCAATGATTTCTCCATTTTTCAAAATTTTAATTCAAAATCTTATGAATCCAGAAGAAACAGAAGACAATTCAAGAGTTTCTATCGGTGTCCTTACAAATATGGCCCAAACAGATTCAGGATTAGTCATGATTGAAGAAGAACAAGAATTTCCTTTTGCTTTGAGAGGATGCTTGAGATTTAATAATCTACATTTACCTGTTTTGAAGTTCCTTCATGAAGTAGCTAGTTCTAGTAGCAAACCTCTGAAGATTTTCGAAAAATTCGAAATTTTTGATTTCATTATTTCATCATTAGATAGCAAAAAGCCTAAACTTATACAATGCGCATTGAATATATTCATCAGCATTGCAGAAAGTGGCGAAGATGCTGTTACAACATTAAATGAATTCCAATTAATCCAAAAAATCGTTCCAATGCAGAGAACATTGAATGTAAAGATCGACCAACTCATTATTGAAATATTGTGCTGCTTCTGCTATAATGGAAATAGTGAAATTATCAATTTTCTTTTTGATTCTGATATAATTCAAGAATTTATATCTTATTTGGACTTGAACTCAAGGAGTTTAAGAATTAGTATCCTTAGAGCACTACAAGCAATGACTGCTGACTTTGCTCTACAAGGAAATAGGTCTGCTCTTGAAGATATCGCTTCAAACGACGAATTGATGGACAAAATTTGGGGATTCACAGAAGAATTCGAGGGATGCGAAGAAGGAGTTATTGCCAATCATATTTATAACTCGCTAAATGGAGAAGAATAAAAAATTATTTGTTTCTTTATAAATAAACTTTAAATTTAGATAAATCTTTCATATCAATAGAACTTCTGAAAACCTGGCAACAAGATTCATATAGGTATTAATCCTTTAATGAAATTGTCAAAATATTAAAATAAGAAACAACCATTGTACTTCAAAAATTATATTACTTCATGCCATTAGCTATTACATTATTCAAACAAAATGAATATTTCAAAGAAAGGAATAATTTTCAATATTTCTCAGCGTTATCAGATATTACAATCAAGAGGAAAAAATCTTCTCTTGATACATTAAAACATAATGTGAAAATTCTATTAATAGTATGAACTGATGAATTTTCAAATTGCAATATTATTTTTTTTTTAAATTGAATCATTGGAATTAGTTAATTTGTCCAAGTGCTAACTAAAACATGTATAAAAATCGTAAATTGTTGAGCCTATTAATTTTCATTACTAATATTTTTTAAAAAGGAAAGATCCAAATGCTATCAATCTACTCACATAAAGGCAATAATTTATATTTAACAATGTTGAATAAAAATATTTGTTCTTTTCAGAATAATTTTCGAAAATGTTGATTATAAAGAAAACTAAATAGGGCGAATAGCTTTTCAAACCAGTGGAATTAAGTATAGGATATCTCTAACAATTCGTTTTCTACACTACCTTTGTCGTGAAGACAAATTTCTGTGAAACATAAAATGTAAATAAGGTTGAAAAATTTACTTAAACGTATTTATTGCAATGTATTTGATCGTTTCAGAAAAATTGATTTTGAATCAGATATTGAAATTTTCACTTTTTTGAAATCGAAAGATTTGAACGATGCAAAAAATAATTTTTGTTATTGATGTAAAACAGTGCAAAATTATAAATTTTCAAATTCAGTTTTCTTTGAGATTAACGATAGAATGATTTGAAAGGCACCGAAAAACCAGCTCACTTTGCATAGATGCCAGCATCCCCATACATTCTCTTCTGCAAGGAAAAGCGCCCACAGGTCAAGGCTGATAATCCAGGAATTGCCTTCGGCGATATTGCCAAGAAGTTAGGCGAGATGTGGAAGAACCTCTCCGAAGAGGAAAAGAAGCCATACATTGAGAAGGCAGAGGCAGAAAAGGCTGAGCATAAGGATGAACCAAAGGAAAAGAAGTCCAAGTGCAAGAGCAAATGCAAATCTACTAAGAAGTCCAAGAAGGAAGACTCCGAAAAGGAAGAGTCTGAGAAGGAAGAATCCGGCTCTGATGATGAATAAAAATTTAAGTTATTTTGTTTAATTACATGTTTCTTTTTACTGATATTAAGAATAACGAATAATTACGTAACTACCATGCAATTTTCATGCAGTTGACCTTTTGGATCGATACATTACCTGATTTCACATATGTTTTCTCCTTGGTACGAATTGATGACTACACGATCTGTAGATAATGCGAATCAGTGAGTAAACTGGCCATTTTTATTGCGTTTTTGATGTGCAGATAATGGCCAATATTTTCACTCATACAACTAAAGTTCCCTGTCATAAACCTATTATATACCCCTAAACCAGCGAGTAGCTCATCCATTGAGCGCGAACCGGAATCGAACCAAGTCCTTTTGCATTTTTTCTCAACGAATATAAGATAAAATCAATTCTCTACGTTCATAAAATCTTTGATTTATTTTACTGGATCACCTGTTTCAAAATCGACCAAATTGCAAATGGGAATCTTATTGATCGATAAAATTAAATTATTCATTGTTTTCTGTCTTTAACAAAATTAATGTGACCCAAGTATGATCAAATGATCAAGAATAAGCGAATTCCAAATCCATTTTTTTATGAAAAGCTGCAATTTGTGAAATTATATTCATTTTTTAGGAGGTTTATGACTCATACAAGACATTTGTAACAATAAAATCCAATTTAATTTGAGCTCTCTCAATTTCTGCCACAATAAAATTTCCAGTAGATTTTTCAAAACATGAGTGAAGAGGCTAACTTTGACTTTCTAGTACCTAGAGGAATACCTTTTTGGCATCAAGAATTTGGTCTAAATCGGTTTGTTTACGATGGCCGGGAAATTTTCTATGATGGGGATAAATACATTTTAAACCATCAACAATTTGAAGACAAGATAATAAATTTTGCACGATCTAAACCTAACTATGGAATAATGACTCTCGATAACAGCATTGCTCGACCAATTCGGAGATTTCTAATAAAATTCGAAGGAAAAATTTCACATTTTTACGATACATTCTTCAAAGCATCGATGATACAAAATGTAGTATCTGTTGAGAATCTTTTAAGAAATAACAGTCATGTTAAAATTAAAAATCTTGAAAAACAATCTCCAAACAATATTTTACATTTGCAAAGTGATATAATATCCAAAATTTTTTCAGGCTACGCATACAAGAAGGTTTCCACAGATATAACCATAGAAAAAGATAAACCATATATAAGATTAATTATTAATGATCCAAAAACAAAATCAAAATTCCACGATCTAGATTACATTGTTATTATGAATGACAACAAAACATCTAGTACATCACAAGAGGATAAACGCTCTGTTTATAGCAACTTCTTAAAAGATCAACCAACAAAGATTCAAGCGGGTAAAAATCTCAAAAACACTAAATATCCAGGACTTTATGACCAAGATTTCTTAAAAAGGGTAAATCACCAACTTTCTAGTATCAATAACGCAGATTTAAGAAAACACCAAATTATTATTAAAAAATTGCAAGATAATGGTGTTATGCAGAAAATCAAAGATAAAACAGCTTATGCAAGTGCTGGCAACACAAATCAAAATCAAAAATTCAAGGATAAATTAAGAGAAATTAGTAATTCGTATAAATTAATTAAAGAATCAATTACAGTTCTTAAAAAAGATATAATCAACGATTTCGGATCATTTCCAAGCTATTTTGACACCCTTAATTCCAATCTTTCAAAAATTATTGAAAACTTGGCAAATATTATATTTGAAAACAATCTGGAAGATCCAGATAATTTATAGGCTTTCATTTTTATATTTTTCTTTGCTTACTTCAGACTAAATTGTATCATTTCGAAATTTTAGTTTTATTTTATTTTTTTTTTGCTTTTACAATCCAATTTGCTAATTTTTAAATTTGTAAATAGTTATAATAAGTATTCTGAATGGATAATACTTTTAATTTTTGAAAAAATTTCATTATTAGCAGTTATTTTTAATATGGATTGTTAGAATACAACCACCATTCACAAGTTTAACGTTACTGGAAAACTTATACTTATAACAACTCTAAATATACATATCATTTGGAAATTTCAATCAGAAAATTCTTAATACATACAAATAATGTTGTGAAAATAGTCAGTAAAAGATAATGCAACTCAGCCAAACGATAAAGTATTTGCTATTCATTTGTGTTTAGAGTATTTGTATATTTACTAGGTTGAACGACTTAATTAGATCACAATTTCATATGGTAGCAATATATAGTAAAATACATTCTGAATTTTATATATAGATCTCTTTAATACAAATTATTGAAAATTAAGCTAATTTAAAGCTTAAAATAGAAGTCAACTGTAAAAATTGTGAATATCAAAAATGCTATCATAGAGAGAACGGTTTGTAAACGTGAACTTTGGTAAATTACGCCTTTATCTTCTATCTCAACAACTTCATAGCGCTTGGTTGACTGTATAATGCTCTTAAAGTACTCCTGTTTAGTGGTGTTTGAATTAATTTGCTGCTTTTTCTTCAATAAATTAACCCATTTAGAATAATCATTTTCCGCAGTTGTATCATCAACATCCATATCAATGCATGCATTTTTGAACTTACGGGTGTTGTTTGTGCACTCGATAACACGTTTCAAATCACATTTTGCATTTTGTGGACATTCTCGGCACATGTGAGTCAGTTCATCGACACAATAAAATATTTTTGAAGCTTGCAAGTAATAAGAAATTCCTATAAAGAATACGATTAATGAAAGAATAAATGGAAAGCTTTCGAGTAAGAAGTTCTTGAAACCGGATGGTTGAAGTGTTCTGTACATCAGTGGCGAAACTTGTCTTGAACTGGCTGATGAGCTTTGGGAAGACATTGTTTTGGCGGTGAAAAAAAAATGGAAAAATAAACGTAGACTTCTCAAACTAATCTTTTTTAACAGATTTTACTCCAACATTATTATTTTCATGTATATTCCACTTTTACTTTTAAAAAATGAAACTTGCAAAAGAAATTTGAATAAATTTCTTTTTGAACCGAAAGCATTAGTGATCATAGACGTATCATAACCTAGCTTATTGAAAACCCCCAATGGAACATGAAAAGAGATCAATATTAATTTGGAAAAAAAAAACATAAATAAGTAATTAAAACTATATTCAAGACTTAAAGTAACTCTTTTATTGGAAAGTAATAGAGTATAAATTTATGGTTATGGAGTTGGGGCTGAAGTGTTTGTTGGAGCAGGTGTTGGTGATGGTGTAGGTGATTTCTTACCTGTGTACTTGACTACAACGAAAATGACAATACCAGCAACAACAAGGAGGACGAATAAGAATATCCATAAAAGACATCTTGTGCTTGCCTTCTGGTGCTGCTTACCTCTTTCAAGTTGTTCATTACCCTTGACCATAGCATTCTTGGATTCAGCGACAGTATCACTAATTCCGACAACCATATGATTCTGACGCTGGAGTTCTTCAAGGGTCTTTGTGAAGATTTCGTTAACTTCTCTCATTGTAGAAAGAATCTCTCTAACTTGAACTTCGAGTTCCTCAAGCTGTTCTGATTCTCCATCAACAACTTGTTGATCAAGAAGAGATGACTGCATTGTACTAGTGCTAGCTCCACCAGGTCCAGCACCACCATCTTGAGAAGAATTCTTAAGCTTCTGGACAATTGGTGGGAGTTCTCTTCTAAGCTCTGTATTTAATTCTTCGTATTCTTGCTCATATTGATCTAATCCTGGTGTTTCTTTCTCTCTGAGTTCTGTAAGAAGCCTCTTGGAAGCAGCAGCTAATTGTGTAATGTCTTTGACATTTGAATTGATGGAATCACGAAAAGTCGGTGTATCTCTGAATGTTCCGATTACATCACCTTGCTGTTTAAGCTCATTGAGCTTTTCTCTAATCTGAACAACATATTTACCTACTTGGCTAACAGATGACATTCTGATTGATGATTTCGGTTTTTTACTTGAAAAAAAAGTACAAAAAATTTTTCGCAGGCAAAATTATTTAATAATACAGAGACTAGAAAAACACTTCAAAATTTTTGCTTTTCGATTGCCATCGATTTACAAAACCTTTACCGGACTTTCAATTTGTAAACTCAGTTATCTGAAGAGAATATAATCATCACATCAGACATGAATACTAATTAAATCATCAGGGGTCAGAAGAATCAAATTAAATGAAAGAAACTCTCATAATTCGATTCCTTCTCAACATCCTTTTAACTCTGACTATTCTCCGCCAAACACATTTTAATTATCGAGTGCATGCTATTACATAATACATTGCTCTATCAAATCTTATTATATGATCGTCAGATTTTTTTACTTTCTTTTTCAATGTTTCTATTATGTTTAAAAACAACCAACCACTTGAGAATTCTAATCCTCTTTCCAGAATAATAAAAGATTAAAAAGAGATTTGCATGATTTGTTCCAATTTCTGAAATACAAATCAAACACAAAAGCTCCTTATTGAAACAGATCCTATTTGATTGAATACTATTAGCTTCGCTAGACTTTCAATCTCTTTATTCAAATAAATATCCAACAAGTATTTTTTGAGTACAAACTCTATGTTTGAGTTCATTTGAATTATCTGTTCATGTCTAAATTATTTTAGTATCATTAAGCCTAGATTTTGAAGAATAAATTTCAAAATTTATTTTCTTGATTCAGTCTGAATAATCAAGCATCTAATCTTCCCAATGCTTAGAGTCTTAAAGAATCTTTATGCTTTGCAGAGTAGATGATTATACTGCTTTAATCACAAATTTAATTCCGAATTTTTCTATTCTGTCAAGTTTTCACAATTAAAATTTCATAAAGATGGTAGCACTATTTGCATATTCAGAGCTGATATTGAAAAATTCCCTGATATTTCGCGATCTTTTGACCTATTCATTTAAGCTCGTGTTTAGCAACTCCTCTATGTATGTAGTCCGAGAGTACTTGCCGGAACTCCAAGATTCAGGGTATATTTAAAATCAAGATAATTTTTTCAGATCAATCTATTTCCATTATGGTTTCATCTAATTATTCAAATTGGATACTAAATTAACAATCAAAAGCCTAATTGAATAAAAAAAAATTTTGTCGTCTTTGAATGGATTTTTATCGTCAATTTAAAAAAACTAGATGCAGACTGGAGGAGAGCAAGAACCATCCAGTCTCCCACTAGCTGAAGTCATATTTAATGATGATACAGAAGATAAACCAGAAGAAACAACTGAAAATTCTAATCCAAATGAAAATATCAATGAAAATTCAAATAATTTACAGAATAATCCAACAAATGAGCCTAAAATACAAAATAGTATTATAAGCCCTTCAAGTTCTATATCTGCAAGCCAGTCATTAGATATAATTGCTTCAGAATCAGGCCAATCTGAAGAAGTTGATCGATGCATCGATCATGTATACGATAGATCTTCATTAAACTATATGATTACATTATTTACAAAGACTGCTTTTCCAGAAATTCGTGCAAAAATATTTTCTTTCTTCCAGAAGATGATTCTTAACCCATCTCTTTACATCGAATACGTCAGACCATCAAAACATCGAAGAAACTCCGATGAATTCTCAAGTACTGATATAAAACCAATGTTCCGTCACAGATCGAACTCATTCAAGCTTGAGCGTCAAGATACACCAACAGAAATTAAACCAGAAACACCAAAGAAGAAGTTCTCACCTCTTACTTTGCTTTTCCAGTCTTTTCCAAGAATTTTAGACAAATTCTCTGTCAGTGACATTGACCAAGTTGGCAAAAATCTTCAGATCTGTATAATGAAGCTTGTTCCAGACCCAAGATACATCAATAAAGTCGCAATGCCAGAATTACATTATTTCCAAGAAGCCTGTGAAGCTTTTCGTCATGTTCTTAATATAAAGAAGACAACTCTTGCCAATCATCTTGTTAAAGCATTAATTAGCGCTTCTTTTGCAATTATTTTCAGTATTGTCGATTCTGCGAAAATTAAAAACCAATCTCAATACGATTACATCAATTACATTGGCGAAATCATTTCGGTAATATCTACAGGCTTAGGAAGTGTCACAAACATGAAAGAAATAAGTAATATGTTGACATCTTTTTGGGTAGCGATTGTTTTATACAGCAAAGGCGATTTCTCGATCTATTTCACATGGAATGTTTATTTACGTAGAATTGCTGCTTCTGCAATGCCGTTTTCTTCAGTTTGCAGCTCAATTAATCCAAAAAGTATCGATAGCTTGATAAATGACGTAAATATCAAGTCAACACATTGCAAATTATATTCCAATTCCGAGGAAATGGCCACAGCTCTAAGAACTCTCATTCCTGAGTTGAATTTCGCATTGGTCAAACAACTTGAGCCGATGTACGGCATTTTCCTGCTTTGTATTTATTCTTTGGAAAAATACAGAGCGGCCAGCGGTGATTTATGCACTTATTTCGAGTACATGGACTATTCTTACAATCCGATCTTTGATCAGTGCATTGACTTGCTTCTTGAGCCCATATTTAATACTTACTGCCATCATGTAAGCGCAATGAGCGAAACAATCCAGAAATCAGAATCAGTTTTCCCTACCGCAAAAACATTATTGCGTTCCTTCCTTTGCCATGGCTCCAGACGTTCACAAGGTGCTACATGTATTTATTCTCGCTTCTTTACCCGATTTGTTTTGGCTGTTTTGGATAATGAGACTTGGCAAATATTTATGAACATGAAAGGTCAAATTTCCAAGGACAAAATGCAGAATTTCCTCGCTTTCTTCAATGATCTCGTCAAACTAACATCCCAGGATGTTCCTACTTTGCTGTTTTCTATTTTCTCGACTTCCGCCATCAGAGAACAAGACGAAGCACGCGCTATGATGTTTTCCTATCTCTATGATAACCTTCAGCCACACTTGCGACCATTCTTCTCCGATTATTATGCCGTATTTAACATGATGAAAGGAATGTCGTACAATTTCCCAGATAATCTCGACCAATTCGATGCGATCACGAAAGCCAGATACATAACAATGCAGATTATCAGGGATAATGACATTTCCAAGTTTGATTTAATTCCATATGAAATTCCAACTTCAGAGAAAGTCAGACTTTGGTCTCTTATCTTCTGCCAAAACATGAAATTAGCAGATGACCTTGTCGATGTCCTCGCAAAACGCTATATTCATGGTTATATGAGCACAAAAGGCATTTTCAGTACGGAATACGACCTAAACGATGTAAGAGACCAAACGGCCATCTTCTCATTCTTCACGTATTTGGTCAAAATTAACTGTTTTACGTCGAAGATTATTCCACAATTGTATTTCCTTAAGGATGGATTAAGATTGAAGCATCCAGGTAGCGTCCATTGCTACATGAACCTCCTCTACTTCATCATTTCCGTCATGCAATGCAGAAATGCCCATGAATTTGAAACTGCCGGCAATTCAAGTAACATGATCATACTTTTGGACGTCAGCTGCAGAGTCATAAGCCTTGGCAGAATGACAGGAATCCTTCAGTACGTAACTACAAGCGAAGTTGTAAATCTTCGCAAAATTATTCCAAGCATACAATCATTGGCTAACAGTAATAAGACTCAATTCTGCATACAGAACAAGGTTAACCCAGTTTTATCAATCAACGTTGACCAAACTCTGTTGATAAAATTATCAAATGTTATTTTATACTGTTTGAGCCAAACATTGATGTATTTCTCAACATACATCAATCCACAAGACACGCACATTATCGAACAAGAGTATATTAACACTTATTGGCTCAAACCAAGGTATTATTACTTTTCTGAGCTTCTTCCATTACTTTTAACTCTTTGTCCATCATGTGTCTATTCATTCATCGATATTCTCAACACAACTGATACTTTCATTAGTGATTTACCCAAATTAGTGAAAGATTATCAGAGACAAATCTCCGGAGAAGAGAATTTGATCCATTTTATTGCCAGATATACCCCACATATCATCGATATGGACCTAAAGATCGATCCACAATACGCATTAACCCTGATTCAGCCAGAATTACTCGCAAACGAGACAATTTCTCATTTTGTCACTCACTGGCTTCATTCATTGCCAGAGGAAGATGCTATGTTGATGGTTCCTCAACTTGTCCAGTCAATCAGGTTTGATAAGTGCAAAACAATGCGATCTTTCTTGATTGACTACGCTAAAGACCACGAGATGTTTGCACACAGACTATTGTGGAACATCGCAAATGAAAAAGGACATCCTGACAACACAGATCCGAAATATACCCGTCGACTTCCAAAAATCGAAAGTCTGATACTTAACAGTTTCAAGACAAGTGTCAGACAACGTCAAATGAACGAGTTTGGCCTCATTGAAGAACTCGACAGGATTTCACAGCGATTGAAACCATATAAAATTGAAGAAAGAAGGGAAGTTTTAATCAATGAACTGAAGAACTTGAATTTATCCAATGATTTGTATGTTCCTTCATGTCCAGAGTACAAAATCATTGGTATCAATGCAGAAGAATCTCTTCCTCTTAAGAGCCATTCACGTGTTCCAATTCTTGTCAATTTCGAAGTCGAAGACAAAGAAAACAAGAGATTCCCTTACGGCTGCATCTTTAAGATCCAAGATGACGTGAGAACAGACTGTTTAATGATCCAACTCATCGACAAATTCGGTGTAATATGTCGTGAATCAGGATTAGACATTTATGTCTGTCCTTACAAAGTATTTTCAACAGGTTTCGATCGCGGAGTCATTGAAGTTATCCAACACGCGAAATCTCGTCATGACATTGGAATGACATATAAATCAGAGTTGTTGCATTACTTCACAACAAAGTTTGGTCCGATTGGAACTCCAAAGTTCAATGCCGCACAAGATAATTTCATTAAATCACTCGCGAGCTATTCATTGATATGTTATTTGTTCCAAGTCAAAGATAGACACAACGCGAACATCATGATTGATGACGAAGGACATATTATACATATCGATTTCGGATTCATTTTCGATATTTCACCTGGAGGAAATATCAAATTTGAACGTGCTCCTTTCAAATTAACTCGCGAATACGTGAATGTTCTTGGCGGATCTACAGATGCAGTTCCATTCCAGAGGTTTGTTACATTGTTCATGAGGTGTTTCTTGGCTGTTCAATCAAGATATATAGAGATCATCAACATTGTCGAACTCATGAAATCTGCAGGACTTCCTTGTTTCACCAAGAACTCAATCAAGTCATTGAAAGAAAGATTTGCACTGACAAAGAATGCTTCCGAACTGCCAGACTACATCAAAGGACTTGTAACATCTTCTCTAGACTCTTTCTACACTTCTGCTTACGATTCATTCCAGAACTCTCAGAATAATATATTTTATTGTTAAATTTATTCATGATATAAATTTATTTAGATTCAACATTATTTTTTATTTTATTATTAAATGCCGACTTTTTATGTGTGATGCTCTAATTCAATTGTTATAATTGTATTCATCTTTGGTGGGTTTTATTATTAGATACTGGATTATGTTTAAATTGAAAACTGAATTAGAAAATCAAAAGAGTAATTTTGAGCAATCAATAAAAAGACATCAGCAACTACATGATTTATTTGCTTATCTAAATAAAATCATCATGCTGGGACCTGTTAAAAAGATTTTGCGAAGTTATTTTGTTTTTTAACCATAGCAAAATCAAATATTCAATCTAAATTTCATATTTTCGTGACCAATGCACTCTTGTTGGTCTATATGTGTCATTTCTGGAGATGTTGCCTGTGCATGACTCCCAGAATGATACAATATTCTGAATTCATAACTTGATTGCCGAACTTTGACCGACAAGGGAGTCTTATTCTCTCTTTTTGATTGCTATCCATAATTACAGAACCACTGTAATCACACACATCTTTTTTGTAATCAAGATAAAAACATATTTCTCATCTCTTTAATATACTGTCCCTTAAAAACGAACCTCAAATTATCTTGAAATTCTTAGAGAGGACCATTTGTCTCAAAGAGGCTCAAAATTGTGTGACAGTGCACACTTCTATAACTTCTAATTTTAAATCTTAAAAATAATTTAGAAGATGAAGCCAGGTATTATATACAACCAAAATACAAAATTTCCCACAAACTGTGAATATATTTAAACTTCTGTAAACGGATATGCACAAAGATTCTGTTTAACAAAGCATAATAAAATATGGTTTATTTATTCGTTTTACATTACTAAAAATCCTTTATTAGTCAGTTGAAGCAACTTCTAAAAACCTCATTAATTTAGGAAATTCTTTCTGTTGCTTTTCTGGCATGAATTGAAGAATACATTGAAATATAATAAATATATGATCATCAAACATGCAATCATGAGAAATTCCGAGTAATGCTTTGAAAACTGCCCAAAATCTGCTGTCATAAACAATATCATACAAATCACTAAATTTCATCGTTTCTTGATCTAAACTTATCATTTGATAAACCATAGCGGCATAAATTTCAGGTGTTGTTCTAAAAATGCATTGAAGTGCGAGTATAATTTCATCTGCTGCAATGAAACGTCCTACAGTTCGCTTTGTTGCGCTCGGATATCGCATGACATATTTAACGTCGTCAATCGTAACAGTCCTAATAAGACGCATTTAGGATGCCAATTCTACGATAAGTAAACTACTCAAAATTAACCTTAATAATTTTCAATGAGTGAAATAGAAAGTTTAGAAGCATCTAAATCTAAATTCTGATGCAAATTTTAATCGAAAATTTTGTGGCATACGATTATTTTTCGAGAGTCACTGACTTTTCAATGCTTGATTTTAAGGTTTCCATAAAATCAAGCTAATCATTGAAAGCAGATGAAGACTAGAAAGTCCGATTTAATTTGCTAAATTTAGATTGTATTTCACGTGTAAATTTATTGTACGACCCAAATTTTTTGCCGTTCACCTTTGAAATCAGAAGCGCGAATTAATGTGCATTTTCATATAAACATTCGGTCGCTAACGCTCTTTTCGCATTTTTCTTATAATCCTAAGATCGCTAAGTTATTAACTTATCTTCATTTTATCCTAAAACTTCTTGTTTTTCACCATTCCAACTTTTTTTGATAAATATTTCTATGGCTCAGTCTTTATTTTAATGTATATATAAATATTTTTGCTAAATAGAAAAGATAGTGACTAAAATGAAGAACTGTTGGTTTAATTAATAAAATTTCGTCACAAAACCGAGGAAGTGCGATATCTGATTTAGTTAAACGTTGAAGCTTATTTCGAAGCTTTCTCTTCAAATTTGTTTCTCTTTCTCTAATTACATCAACTCCATGGAATGTATCAAAAATATACGTATCTAGAACATGGATATTTTACTGATACTTGTAAATAAAATTAATAAAAAATAATCAGATAATTCTGTTCCTGTCTACTAATATTCAAAATTTGTATCTTCTATATTTCGAATTACATTAATATATAGAGCATTTTGGAACCATGCAATATTTTCAAAGTAAATCTTTTGCAGACTTGGGAGATACTCCATAAAAGAAATGTCTTCAACTAGTTGAACACCCTCTAATTCAATGATTTGAAGATTATGATAATGAAAGAATGGAAAAAACTTTTAAGAAATATGATTATGCTAATTCCAATATAATTAAAACCACCTGAATTAAAAGATAGACTATGGAATTGAAAATGTTTAAAAATTATTGTCCCAAATGTTAAAACCTGGAAATACATCAAGTCCTTCTGGAAAATTGATATTTTGATATACCATGCCAAGTTAAGCTCTATTTTCGATTTTTTTAATGAATATTCAATAGTTTAATTAATAATTTTGGAGTCATCAAATGCATAAGAATGAATTATTTCCACAATGGATGGAACAAATAATGATGTAATATTTGTATTAATAAATGTATCACTTCCTAAAGACTTTATATAAGGAATATTATATTTAATATCAAGAAGTGATTGAAACTATATTCAATTTCACTTTTAATTCTCTATTTCATGGAATCCAATGTCCACTAACTGCAACACATACACTCATATGATACAAATATTTAAATTTATTATGTAAAAAGTTATATCTAGACTTAAGATATTTTATTTCAGTTGCTATATGATAAATCACATTGGATGTCATTGGATCAGTAACATCAGTCATGTCTAAGAAATAAACTATCATTGTTTTATAGCCAAAAAAATCTTTGCAAGACTCTGATAAGAAAGTTCTCTTATTAATATATAATTTACTTTTTTCTGGAAATTCAGTTATTTCAGTCACTTGAATTGTAAAATTCCCACTTATAATAATATTAATTGGATTCTCAAATCCTCGAAAAAGACTGTTTTCTATTGTAATTACATTTAAATTGTTTAAGAATGTTATTGTTCTAAGATTTATGCAATTGCTGAAGGCTCCTTTTCCAATAAAAGTTACAGATTCTGGTATTTTAATACTTGTTAAAGATTTACAAGATAAAAATGCAGTTTCTCCAATATATTTTAAGTTTCTTGTAAGTGATATACTTGATAATGCTTCACAACCTACAAATGCATTTGCACAAATAATTGATACACTTTCTGAAATTATAATGCTAGTTAATGATATGCATCCATCAAATGCACTAGTTCCAATTGTGGTAATTTTTCCTACTAAATTAACATTTTTTAAAGCTGTACATCTTAAAAAAGCCATAGTACCCATATGAGTTACATTACCTAAAATTGAAACTTGTGTTAATGAAGTGCAATGTTGAAAAGCATATTGTCCAATGTTGAAAAGCATATTGTCCAATGTAGATAACTTTTTCAGGAATAATAATACTCTCTAATGATGGGCAAAAACTAAAAGAAAAAATCTCTATCATTAATATTGAGTCTGGAAGATTAATTGATTTCAAGAATTCGCATTGTGAAAAAGCACTTTCACTAAGAATTGTAAGTTTCGTGCATTCGCTAAGATCTGCGGTTTCTAAATTTGTTCGATAAAAACTTTCACTACTTATATTAACAAGATTACTATCTTTTTCGAAACTAAGTGATGTAATCTGACCCTTACAATGTTCAAATGCATTTTTGTATATCTGGGTAACAAAGTAAGGCGCAAAAACAGCACCAATATAATCATTTGAACAATTGACAAGGGTTTGATTATTATTTTCGTATCCAAGTGAACCTTGACTAGAGCCTTTATGAAGTAGATAACAAAACAAGATTAATTAATAATATATTAGTATACTTATTCAAAAAAATTAATTCAAATTGTCAATCTCGTTGATTATTTATGTATTTTGACATTAACAAGCTGAAATATCTTAAAATCATAATAAGTTTATATAAATAAATTTTAATATTTTGATTAACATTATTACACACTTTTGAAGATTTTATAATGAGCACAGTATTCACATTTACCTAAAATAGAATTTAATTTCATCGCGAATTAAGCATTGTTATATTTTCGTGTTGCTTTAAATATTCAATTTGAGAATACTTGTAAATGATAAAGAAAACTGTTTTCGATTGCCAAAAGCATACTCGTAATTGCTGATATATCAATAGATAACTGATATTGCTTCAACTGCTAATTGCTGATATCAAGATTTTTGAAAGAAAAAAAACTGATCAGAATCAATTCATTATTTTGAATACAGCTCATAGAATTGCTTCAATTTTATTTCCTATCAAATTCTATATAAGTGTAAATCCAGGTAGAAGAATATTATCCTTTCCCTAAGTATAAGTTTTGTTAAATCATTTTATAGGATTACAGCATGTGATTGCAGCAATGCTAAGTCAAGAAATAGTTTATTTACGAGCGAAGGGAATCAGAGTAATTAATTGTAGGAATCGAGATTTAACATATACAATGTTTTGCCTTGTTTCTGGATATCTTATTTCAATGGCAATATAATTAATAACATCATATGTTGTTCTATCTGTGATATTATACATATCTAAGAAATGAACTATCATAGATTTTGGTCCAAAAAAATATTTTACCAGATTCTGACAAAAAAGATCTCCTAGATATATATAAATGACTTCTTTTTGGAATACGACATTGATATTCTGCATCAATAGTAAAATTTCCTTGAATAAACATATTTATTGGATTTGTAATTCCATCAAATAAAAAGTCTTGAATTTTGATTGTATTGAGATTGTTAAAGAATGTAATCCATTTAAGGCTTGAGCAAAAGCTGAATGCATCTGACCCAATATATGTTACTTTTTCTGGAATTGTAAGACTTGTTAGTGCTATGCAGTGATAAAATGCATCTGACCCAATCTCTGTTACATTTTCTGGAATTACAATTCTAGTTAATGAAACACAATTCACAAATACATGAAATTTTAATATATTTATTTTTCTTGGAATTACAATATTAGCTAAAGACGTGCAATATGAAAATAATTCAGCGTTAAGAATTGTGATTTCTTCAGAAATTTTAATATTTGTTAATGAAGTACATTTAAAAAATGTGGAGTATCCTATTTCTGTTACATTATTTAGAATCACAATACTTTTTAATGATATACATTCTTGAAATGCAGAATTTCCAATCTTTAATAAACCATTGGGGAAAGATACGCTTGTTAAAGTCACACACTTAGAAAATGTATAATCAAAAATCTCTGTTACTTTTTCTGGAACCTCAATTCTTGTTAACTTTTTGCATGATGAAAATGAACCTGGCCCAATCTTTGCAAAATTATTAGAGAACGTAATAGAAGTTAATGATAAACAAAAGCTAAATGTATAAGCCCCAATTTCTGTTATTCCATCTGGAATTATAATACTTTCTAATAAAGTGCAATAAGAAAATGCGGATTGTCCAATAGATGTGATACCATTATGTAGTTTGATTGAGGAGATATTAACATTATAAAAACAACAGTCAGAAATCGTAGTAATATAATTAGGAACATTATATTCACTATCTGAATATGATATAACAACTCTAACTAATGTTGAATTTTCTATTCCAGAAAAAAGGGAGTTATCATCAACTTTATATAAAAGATTATCTGGATCAACTGTTATATTTTCTAATGGACAATTACTAATAGCCCCAGGTATATCATAACTCAAAAATTTTGGAATAAAAAATGACGAAAGTTTTGTAGAACTCAAGCAACCAAATTCTAAAATTTCCAATCTAGAATTTTTTTGAAATATTTATTGTTGTTAAATCACATTCTGAAAATGCAAAACTAGAAATCCTAACTACACTATCTGGCAAATTTATGGATGTTAGATTTTTATTGGATGAAAAGCATTTTGGTCCGATACTTGTAATATTTGGAGGAAGTTTTATTGATTTCAAGTAATTGCAACGAGAAAAGACATTTTCATTAAGAATGGTAAGTTTAATGCATTCGCTCAGATCTGCTGTTTCTAGGCTTGTTTGATGAAAACTGTAACTACTTATTTTTTTCAAGACTGCTATCTTTTTCGAAACTAAGTTATGTGATGATATTATCTTTACAATTCTAAAATGCATATTTATTCCAACTTTCACTATATATCTCTGTAACAGATTGTGGAATAACGACAGCTCCACTATAGTCATATGAACAATTTACAAGAACTTGATTATTATCTTCTTGAAAGCCAAAATTATAATGAGGGCGTTTGATAATTGGAGTTGGACATAAAATTTGGAGATCTTAATTTTTGAGAATTTTGGTGCGATCTTACTGGTACAAGCAAGAGTATGGAAGGAGATTGAACTGAGAAAAAAACTAGAGCATGCAAAAGAATCATGCTACAGCTTAGTTGAATGTCATTTATGCAAATAAAAATATCTTTTTCAAATTTCAAACAAATTTTTGCCACTTTTTGAAAGAAGATAAGGTAACAAACATTTTAAAATGCAAAACCTAGACTTAAACTATGCCGAAATGTGAGCTCACCATTACGGTTTTTTCTTTTTTGGGGGCCCGCAAGCTCGCCCCCAAAGAAAAAACCGTAACGGTGACTAACATTTAGGAAAAAGTTTATTTCGAAAATTCCTCAATTGAGGTACTTGTACAGATATTCTACCCCAGATGAGGAACAATGTCTTTAATCAGTAAATTAATCAAGAAGAAAGTATTCAAAGACAACTATTAAATACTTACATTATGCACATGCACGCATTTAACTCAATCTTAATATATTATGTTTTTGCGTCATCAAGTCATAAATATAAATCGGAAAAGCAAAACATTTTTATTGATATAAATTATCAAAATGCAAATTCACTAAATTTAAATTTGACTATTATTAGGTCAAATTTTATAAAAATACATTTAGTTATTGCCATCCATTCTTGCTAGGATATCAGCGTAGTTCAAGTACGTGTATTTGATGATGTCGAGCTGTGCTTTGAGGTCTTTGTAGCACATTGTTTCTCTGTACGAGTGCATTCCTAGCATTGGAGATCCGACATCAATAACAGGCATTCCATTGAGAAATTCCATCTTAGGGCCAATTGTTCCGCCACTTCCTCTTCCGTTTCTCTTAGCTGTTACGGTGATCTGTTGATTGGCCAATTTCGATGCTTCTTTCATCGTAATAATTCCTCTGAAACTGAGTGAAGTTGTGTTTTGACCTGTTCCGCGCATCATAAGGCCTTGGCCGAGTCCTGGCTGATGGTTCTTCTCGTAGAGACCTGCATAGTTCGGATGTGAGCCATGGTTTGCATCTGCACTGATAATCAACGAGTTTCTCTTTAATACTTCCAAATTAACGTTAGATCTAGAAGTTATGAACCTAAGAGTTCGCTCAAAGAAGTCTCCTAAAGCTCCATTGAGTGTGTGACTGCCATTTTCTTCATTATCAAAGACACAAATCATATTTAACGTATCTTTCGGCTCTGACTCAATAAATGCCTTTAGTGAGCAGTAAGATGAAACAAGGTTATCAAGACGTGCTGAGGTAAGGAATTCTCCATCAACTTTGGCCTTATTTATATCAGCTAAATAAAGATCTGTAGAAACTATAGAATCAACTGGTATTTCTGCAAGTCCTGCGAGATACTCGTATACAGGAGTAGTACCTTTTGTTCCGACTACAATCCTCATGTTATTATCTCTGTTAAATTCTGGTGTTAATGAGAATTTATCCATTAAAGACACTTCTGGAAATGGAATAAATCCTATTGGTCTTTTTGAATCGATGTATTTCGTTTGAAGTGTTCCATTTTCTAAATAATAAACGAGACCTTTGAGTTTTAAGTCTCTTCCGAATGTAGAATGTGATAAGCCGCCAGTGTAGTTCGCTGTATTTAGCAAGTGATATAAATCTGTTGTTTTTTCGATGTTATTTTTCAATTTTAGAATTGGAGAATCGGAATGAGCGCCTGTTACTACAGCACCCTTGAACCAAGCAGCATTATAAGCGATAAATGACTTATGAGAGCGAATTAAATATCCTTTTTTAGGTAATTCTTTTGGAAGATTATTTTCTTGAACGTGAACATAACCATTTTCTTCAAGAAGTTTGCTTGCATAAATGCAAAAAGCCATAGGATCTGTGCAAAAATCCATAAATTCAATAAAATCATCAACTAATTCCATTTTTAATAAAATACTCCCTAAAAAATTATAAAATAGACCCTTAATATTTATTTTCATAAGTTTACAAATTGACAATTGTCAGGAAAAAATTTTGCAGAAAAGAAATGGTTTTTCCATTTCTCTTACCTGCTGAACCAGTTCCATTAGTATTTAAGACAAAAAAGGAAGCACACGCAGAACAGCGTACTAATTTTCGACTTGTTCACTTTGATCTCCCAAAAGATCCTCTATTTAACGAACAATTCAATTTACACAACACAGGTCAAAAAATGGGTATCCCAGGTGAAGATTTAGGGTTAGGCAACGTCTTTAAAAATCGTCAATATACAGGAAAAGGAGTTGTTACTATTGTTAATGATGATGGAGTAAATTATGAACATCCAGATTTGAAAGATGCAATAGATTCGAGATACCTCATTAACCTAGGTGACAATACTACCCATGTTCTCCCTGATAAAGGATACCATGGCAGTGGATGCGCCGGAGTCATCGCATCTAAATGGGATAACGGTGTCTGCGGTGCAGGAATTGCTCCAGGAGTAACTCTTGGTGCTGCCAAATTCCCTAATTCTATATTTTCAACAGAATATATCGTAAAATGTTTTGGATTTAAAGATTCCGAAGTCAAAATACATTCGAATTCATGGGAAATCGACGAATGCTCCAAAGAAGGATGTCCAGGTGGCGAACAAATGCATGGATTTCACGATGTAATTTCAAAAGCTTCGAAATCAGGCGTAAACATAGTTTTCGCAGCCGGCAATAACGCAGAATTACTTGGAGATACAAACTTCCGTACTATATCTAACTGGCGAGAGAATATTGTCGTTGCAGCATCTACATTTCGTGGCCAACACGCTTTTTACTCAGAAGTGTCCTCAACGATCACAGTTAACGCGCCATCATCGTACGGATCAAATGCAATCGGTCTTGGCGAGAAATATACTCCATCAGTACAAACAATTTCTCCAAAAGGCAAAGAATGCAATCCCAGTTTCGGAGGAACATCAGCGTCATCACCAATGGTTGCCGGTGTCCTTGCCCTCATTCTTGAAGCAAATCCAAAACTAAAACCACGAGATTTGTCATACATTATCTCAATTACAGCCACAATCAACGATCCTAAACATGGTTCATGGACCAAGAACGCCGCCGGTCTTTATTACAGTCCATATTTCGGATTTGGCCGAATTCACGCAGATCGAGCCATAGAAACCGCGAAAACATGGCAGAACTTAGCGGAAGAAGAAACATTCACAGCTAAAGCATCCAATCGATTCGAAATGACGCGAAATACAACAGTTAAAATTCAAATGAAAGATAATCTTTTCATTGAAACAGTTGAACTCGTTTTCAACATTGCAGATGAAGATTACGGTGATATCCGAATCGAAGTCATTTCTCCATCGAAAACACATGCAATTGTTAAACAGTTGTCCATCATGCGAAATGTCCCTAAAAACATGATCAAACGAACAATCACAATCCGAAATTTCCTTGGCGAATGGTCACGTGGTACATGGACAGTTGGATTCTTTAACAGAGGTGTTAAAGACATTGGTGGTTATGTTGAAAACATCAGTATCAATGTTTATGGCACATCCACACTTCCAGAGACAGGACATAAATTCAACCAAGTCAATGGCACATCTCCATATGATTACAATTATCCAGATCAAGGTGTTAAATTGGTTGTTCCTAAAGAGATCGAGATTTACAAAGTAGAACCACTTCAAATCAAAAATGCTAATCGAAGCTGCTCGATCGACATCTTCTTTGAAGATCCAGAAATTTCAGCACGTTCATTTTATCGAAGTTCAACGAACATTTCAGAAGGATGGAATGTTCGTTATGATACACCAAATCTCCCTGATGGTCTGAAAGCTAACTTAGTTGTTGAATCCATGGAATGTGGATGGTCAGTTCGATCCCCAGTCAAAATATACAATCCAATTGTCAAACCAACACTTGCTATTGCAGGTTTCAAAGAAAAGAACTCACAAGAAGTTCGTCTTGAGTGGGGTCGTCCTTCTAATCACTTGAACCAAGAAGTTCCAGGCGATCTTATTATCATCACAGCCATCAATGAGAGTGGTAGCCAATTCCGATACTTAGTTCGAGATGCAGGTTTCTTCATTGTTCGAGAAAACATGAGTTCTAACTCTACATTTTACATTTCCAGTGCATTCTGCAACCGACTTGAAGAATGCTACTTCCACAAGATCGTTGGTGTTGGTCCAGTCATCAACCACGAGGTTTCACCACGATATCAGTGGGTTATTGTCATTTCATGCATTATTTTTGTATTAGGAATCATTTGCATTGTTATTTTCGCGTATTTCTTCCTTAAGAAAGGCAAGAAGAAAGAATACAAATCATTCGACATGGACAGTCGTGCTCTTAAATCCATGGGATCTTTCTTTTAATTCATTCATTATTTATATTTATATTTATTTTTTGTTGTTTAATTTGTTTATTTATTCAAACAAATTTAAAACATAACTTATAGTTCTCTTTCTTTTTATAGGGTGTCCAAAGGTGCGTTTAGCACAGCGCTCTATATGAGACTATTAAAGGAGATATATGCTGATTATAAATATATAATAAAAAATATGAATATATGTATATGATGAGTATGTTGTATTTTGGCGCCATGCCGGGATATAAAATGAATTTTGAGACAAGAGGCGGTTTCGCGGGAAATTTTGGCGGGATTTTTTTCATTTTTTTAATGAATCATAAAGAAAACATCCTCGCTCTTGCAAAAAAATGCAAAGACTGTAAAAAAATCTACGAGACATTGGTAAAATGCTTCGGTATGGATGCTCCTAGCTATTCCACTGTAACGTATCATGTTAGGATGTATCACTTCATGAACAAAAAGGCGCCCATCATAAAAATTGACAAAAAATCGCCGGATCAAAGAAAAATCAAAGCAATTCTTCAAGCGCTAGATGAAGACCCAAGAGCATCACTCAGAAGGATAGAGGAGATGACAAAGATACCACGTACAACAGTCAGTTATTATCTGCACAATTATTTGAACTACAAACTAGCGTATACACGTTGGGTTCCGCACAACCTTAATTCAGTTCAAAAAAAATCTAGAGTCCAATCTTCGAAAGAGCTCCTCTCTATATTGGGTGCGTATCGATCCAAGAAGTTTCGCTTTTTAGTAACAGGGGACGAGTCTTGGTTTCAATATGCAACAGAAGCCAAAATCATGTGGATCCCGAAGGATGAAAATCCGCAAACATTCCCGAAGAAAAAAATTGACACACCAATGATGATGTTGTCGGTTTTTTGGGGCGTGAATGGCATCATCGCAATTGATATTCTTCAAAAACCTAATACGATGAATGCTCAGTATCTAATTGACAATGTTCTTACTCAAATTATCAATTCTGATGAGTTTGAGAAATCCAAACAACAAAAACAAAAGTTTGCAATTCATTTTGATAATTCAAGAGTTCACAAAAGTCATAAGGTAATGAATTACTTGGTGGAAAACAATGTCAAAGTTGTTCCAAACCCAATTTATTCACCTGATATTGCACCCTCTGACTTTTATTTATTCGGCACGCTAAAAAAGAGAGCTGAAGGACGCGAATTCGCGAGTCCAGATGATCTTGAAAATTTTGTAAGAGAGCAATTTGAGCAATTTTCTCATGATGATTTAAAGCGTGTCTTTCAAGCCTGGATCGATCGCTGCGAACGCGTGATTGAATCCAATATCCCAGCTTCAGAATCAGAAGTTCAAAAATCACATGAGGAAAGATATAAAAATTACTTTTTGGAATCTATAGGGTGTCCAAAGGTGTGTTTAGCACAAACCTGAATACTGCGAATAGAAATAAACAAGTTACATATATATAAAGTTTATTTAAATATAATCACCATTGGATTCAATCACGCGTTCGCAGCGATCGATCCAGGCTTGAAAGACACGCTTTAAATCATCATGAGAAAATTGCTCAAATTGCTCTCTTACAAAATTTTCAAGATCATCTGGACTCGCGAATTCGCGTCCTTCAGCTCTCTTTTTTAGCGTGCCGAATAAATAAAAGTCAGAGGGTGCAATATCAGGTGAATAAATTGGGTTTGGAACAACTTTGACATTGTTTTCCACCAAGTAATTCATTACCTTATGACTTTTGTGAACTCTTGAATTATCAAAATGAATTGCAAACTTTTGTTTTTGTTGTTTGGATTTCTCAAACTCATCAGAATTGATAATTTGAGTAAGAACATTGTCAATTAGATACTGAGCATTCATCGTATTAGGTTTTTGAAGAATATCAATTGCGATGATGCCATTCACGCCCCAAAAAACCGACAACATCATCATTGGTGTGTCAATTTTTTTCTTCGGGAATGTTTGCGGATTTTCATCCTTCGGGATCCACATGATTTTGGCTTCTGTTGCATATTGAAACCAAGACTCGTCCCCTGTTACTAAAAAGCGAAACTTCTTGGATCGATACGCACCCAATATAGAGAGGAGCTCTTTCGAAGATTGGACTCTAGATTTTTTTTGAACTGAATTAAGGTTGTGCGGAACCCAACGTGTATACGCTAGTTTGTAGTTCAAATAATTGTGCAGATAATAACTGACTGTTGTACGTGGTATCTTTGTCATCTCCTCTATCCTTCTGAGTGATGCTCTTGGGTCTTCATCTAGCGCTTGAAGAATTGCTTTGATTTTTCTTTGATCCGGCGATTTTTTGTCAATTTTTATGATGGGCGCCTTTTTGTTCATGAAGTGATACATCCTAACATGATACGTTACAGTGGAATAGCTAGGAGCATCCATACCGAAGCATTTTACCAATGTCTCGTAGATTTTTTTACAGTCTTTGCATTTTTTTGCAAGAGCGAGGATGTTTTCTTTATGATTCATTAAAAAAATGAAAAAAATCCCGCCAAAATTTCCCGCGAAACCGCCTCTTGTCTCAAAATTCATTTTATATCCCGGCATGGCGCCAAAATACAACATACTCATCATATACATATATTCATATTTTTTATTATATATTTATAATCAGCATATATCTCCTTTAATAGTCTCATATAGAGCGCTGTGCTAAACGCACCTTTGGACACCCTATATTTAAAATATTCTTTAAATCATATCAATCTCATATTGCATTTCCATCATCCATGTTAAAGTATTGAGCTGCAATTGCTAACAGAAAAAAGCGAAGTTCTAGCATGAACCAAAAAAAGGTAATTAATAACATTATATTTTATTACACATATAAAATCAATCAATCAATTAATGAGATATTGATTGCATTCTAAATCTTGTTAGCGATGCAAAGACAACAATTAGTGTTGTCATTGATGGCTCCTTATCAGATTTATTTTCGATGTATGGAGATATTGATTTGGATGATAATATTTTCTTTTCTGTTCTGAGTTGATGAATCTTTCTCAAACATTTTGTTCCATTTGTGTCATTTAATATCGCATCTTCGAGTGTTCTCTTCATTATATCTGTATTCTTTGGAATTCCTCTATCTGATATCTGCATGAACAAAGATCTTGCCCATCCTTCCCAACTCTTTAAATCTTCACGAAGCAAAACGATATTCTTTTCTGTTTCGTTCAATTTTGATAGTTTTGTTTTATACATTTCAATCTCTTTGATTCTGTCTTGAATATCTCTTTCGCATTGTTCAATCTTTTTCTCAAATTTAAATACATGAGAAAGAATTGAATCTTGAGGAAGAATCTTGCAATGTATTTTAACTTGTTTTGCGTCATTTGAAATTGATAAATCGCTATCTGTTGTTGAAATCTTTCTGTTTATTTGTTCAATCAAATCGAAAACATCGACTTTTGCCGGATTCTCTGTTGAGTTTAGAATTGACATCAATTCTTTCTTTATCTGATTCTGTTTCTCTGTTAAGTTATTAATCTCTGAAGACAATTGAGATTTGATTGATTGAATAACAATATTTGTTTTGGTTTCCCTGTTATTCAGATCAACTTTATGCGTTTCTTCTTGTTGTTGAAGTTTTAATCGAAGAGATTTCTCACTTAACGTGATCTTTGTGTTTGCTTCAACTAAACACTTCTTTTGCTCAATGAGTTTATCAATTGTTTCTTGAAGTGATTTCTGGACATTCTTTTCAATAACAATGTCGTTTTGAAGTTTACCAATTTGCAATAAATAATCTGATTTTGATGTTTCGATCTCGCTTTCAAGATCTTTGATTCTCTTGTATAATTTAGCTTGAATTCGTTGTAATTTGTCATGAAGATTTTCTTTAGATACTTTCAAAGAAATGACTTGATTAGAATAATTTTCGATATCATTGTTCAACAACTTGTTTTGAGACTTCATTTCTTCTAATTCGTTATTCAGATATTTGTTTTCTTCTGCAAGAAGCTCGACTTGAGATTCAACTGTTTTGTTCTTTTCTTTTTCTGTTTGGAGTTCTGATTCAAGTGATGTTAAATTCTTTGATGTCTTACGCATAATTTTGTTCATGTTGCTCTTCATTTCTTTAATTGTTTCTGTCAATTCTTCATTCTTCTTAGACAATTCTGAGATTTGATCATTCGCTGCTTCGTTGTCAATTTTATGGTTAGTAATGTGTTCTTGTGATTTCTCTTGGATGTTATTGAGTTCTATCTCAAGATTTCTGATTTTGTTGTTGAGCTCATTGTTCTTCTTCTGTAATTCTTCATTCTTCTCCTTTTCTTGTTCATATTCATCATGGTAATCTTTTTCATTTTGAGTATTTTGTTTGACTTCAACTGGTTTGACCTCTTTCTCTTCATTTAGTTTGTTCTTGAGTTGTCTGTTCTCTTCGTTAAGCTTACGGATTGTTGATGACTGGTTTTGAAGATTTTCTGCACATTTGACAATTTCTGACATGTCAGAAATCTTCTCACAAATTTGTTTGTTGACAAGACAAACAACTGCAAACAGAACAAAGAGAGTTCTTACTTGTCCATTGTTCATTATTGACTTGTCGCCGTACTTGAATAACTCATTAAGCTGTAATTTGACACTAGAAAATGCGTCTGGTGAAAACATTGTTAATTGTTGAGGTAATTCTTTGATATCTAAACCATACATCTTCTCATCAATGAACTTTTCGATTCTTGTGCATTCACAAAGTAATCTAGATCTGACTTTTTCGTCTCTGACTAAGATTTCATCTGAAAATTTTTCACCATACAAGATCCATCTCATTGTATCTTCAAGACGACCAAGTATTTGTGCATATACTTCTGTATCACTCTTTTGAGACTTATTACTGCTTGGAGAAGCTGTTTTCTTGGACTTTGAAAGTTCATTTGCAACTCTTACGATTTCTTCTATGAAATCACTAGGTCCTTTGAGCTTTTCATGGTTAAGCATACTTCTTACGTCTTCACAGATCTTTCCATCGAGATCTTTCGCTAGATTATTTAGTTCATTATTTGAATTACTTAGTTTCACTTCGAGATCAGTAAGTTTTTCTTTGAGTGTATTGTTTGTAGATATAAGTTCTTGCGATCTTTGCTCTGATTCACTAATAATTTGATCATAACGATGGAATAATTTAAGGATCGATTCTCTTTGTTTAGAAAGAGCAGTAATTTCCTTATTTTGTTCTTCTATCATATCTTCTAACATCTCTGGAGCTGAAGTTTCTTGATTTTGAGGAACTACCGGTGTTGTGATAAGATTGATTTGTAATTTTAAGTGTTCAATAGTAGATTCGAGTCTATTTATCTTGTATGTTGCTTCTTCGGTAATCTTGCTCTGTTCATTTGCTTGTTTTTTAGCATTTTCAGCATCTCGTTGTGCAGTTGATAACTGAATTTCTAAATCTTCGATGTTGCTCTTTGATCTTTTGAGCTTTTGGGTAAGTAATTTAATGTTGGATTCATATTTTCTACTTATGCGCTCTGTCAACGTTTGAAGTTCTTGTTTTGTTGAATTATATTCGTTGATAAAGAGTTCAAACACTTGATCTGCTTGTTGCACTGATTGAACTGGTTGTAGAAATCTCTGTGAAATGATTTCAAATAACTGAGAGGCCTCATCTTTAGGATTATTTCCTCTCATTGTTATAAATTTTTAAACGTTCACCAAAAATTGATATCAATCTGAAACAAAATTCATATACCTATAAGTCCACTGGAATGAATAAAGATCAAAAATTACCTTAAAATTACAATGATTGGTAAATTTAGAATTGGAAAATAGTGATTATCTAAGATATGCAGGATTCTGAATAGCCATGTAACGACTATAGGATAAATGTCTTATGTTGAAGATTGTTATGTTAGATCAATGAATGGAAATAGGATCAAAATTTTTTCCGTTTCAGTAAATAATTTAATTCAAATTTTCAGATAATACGTCAAAATTATTAAACTATTGAAAACGAACAAAGTGAACTTCCTCGCCATAAATTTTTGATATTTTTTTTATGTGGAGCGAGATTTATTCACCAGAGAATGATCCTGATGCTCCAATAATCAATCAGAAGTATTACAATCAGCTTGGGTGTCTTCTTGATCAAGCAAAATCTAACAATAATCCATTCGGAAAAGTTTTCTGTTTCTCTGGCCATGCAGGAGTAGGAAAAACGACAATACTTAAGAGATTATGCGCAGAAGAATCAATTCAATATCTGCAATTTGCTCCAGAAGATGCAGAATTTTATGATTCAAATTCAAATAATTTTTCATTAACAGAAATACTTGAAAACTTTCTCATGAGAGCCTCATTGTCAAAACAAAACTCGAGATTAGTCGTTATTGATGGAATAGAGATACCAGATAACGAATATTTCAAATTTATTAAAATTTTAAGGAAATCTAAAGTACTAATTGCATGGATACTACCATCATCATTAATAAAAGATCCTCATATACCGTTTCCCATACAATACTTCAACGAACCTCAGTATTCCGGAATAAATAAAATTTTGAAGTACATTTCAGAGAAAAATCAAATAGATATCAGCACAAAAGACCTCATGAACATTGTTAGAACCTCAAATGGTGATATTCGTACTGCAATTAACTCATTACAATTTGGAAATTTTATTTTCACAGACTTTCCATCGAATTTTAGGGAAATCGCAGCACATATCATAAAAGGAGACACAAGGGAAGTAAACTATAAAGCTCTCGAGTACGTTCATGGTATTTTACCCCAATCAAACGAAGATTTTCTTGGATTGGTGAATTCGATTGAATATTTCTCTGTTTACGACGTTTTTCTTGAAGAAGAGAAACAACTTCAGACATCTCTTGCATTGTCATTAGCAGGAGAAATGAAGAAACCAAGGTTTTCTCCCGTTTTGAGCATTGAAGAGCAAATGTGTCGAAATTTGAAATCAATTCCTCCTCCAGAGTTAGAGGAAGAAGAACTAGATGAAAGAGAGATAATGGAGCTGAGAGAATCACTGGAATTGATGGAGTTCGACCCAATTGAAGAAGAAGAAAATGATTTTTAACTTTTGTTTGTTTATAAACTGTTAAATTATTATTATAGATTATATTTATTTAATAATACATAGGTGTTTAAAAACTATTGTTCAATGAACTTTGCAAAATAGATAATACATATGAAGAAAATTTTGTTTTTTCTTTCTCAATTTTGAAAGGCCTCTCAATTTGTGGTTAATTATTTTATATTGTCTACAATCTCATTATCTAAGAAGCATAAGAGGAAATTTATTTTTTCATTATGACTCATTTCATACGAAAGTATATAATTAGCATATTAACTCTGAATAAAAATAAATAAATTTCCACGAAAAATGAAAATTTATATTCAATAAGGATTTAGGTGAATAAATATATCTCATGTTTCAATATATTAAGTCTCTAGAATTCACTCTCCCAAAATAGTGAGAAATTCTCGTTTTAAAAGCTGAGTTGGAGACAAAGTTAGTTAAGATGAATTAGGAATGACTACAGAATCAAAATATATTACAAAATTATTATTAGAACAAATTAGTTACTAAAAGTAGCAGGATTGGACAGTCAAATTGAGGATTAAACATAATATTGTTATTGAAATTTAAGAATTATGAAGTTTGATTAAGCATATAGTTGTTCAAGCAGAAGTCCTTTTAACTTTATGATGGTTTCAGTTGAAATCTTTATATCTTATCATTCAATTGTTGAGCTTGAAGAAACTTCGTTATTTTTTATAACGAATAATTTTTTACCGATGTCGTCGAGATCTAAAAAGAGCAAGTCGACGGCTCGTTCAGATAAGAAGCCAGATGAAAGCAATCTTACACAAGTAACTGATGCACAACCGATGACTGAGCCTCCAAAAGAAGGAGAAAAACCACCAGAAGGAGAACAAAAGGCGCCATCTGAAAAGAAGCCGAAATCAAGGAAAAAGAAATTAACAGCAAAGGAAAGGAAGCGCCTGAAACTCGAACAGCTTGAAAGAGAAAGACAACAGCAATTAGCAGAAAAAGCTAATCGTGAAGCTGAAGAAAGACGTAAGCGTGAACGCGAAATGGCACTTGCTGGTCAACAAAGATTACAAAATGAAGAAACTCAGCTTAAAGAATTCCGTGAAGCTCGTATTCTTAATAATGCAACAATTAGAGCTGACGCAGCTAAACAAACTGATTGGGAAACATATCTTCAATGCGATCATTCAACTAATCCTCTTGATAAAGCTGATGTCAATTCGTTCATTACTTTATGGCGTGAAGCTGAAGATACAAATATGCCTGTATTATTCGAACATATTGCCACTGTTGTCAAACTTATCAATCAATTAACAAACTTACGTTATACTGCTGAGGTTGCTGCTATCAATGAAGACGTAACTCGCTTCTCTGAGCATATAAACGATATTAGATCCATAATTTCACAAAAAATTGAACTTTTAACACAACATCATCTCATGTTTAGCGATAAATATACCGGTGCTAAGAGCGAAGTTCTCTTAAATGCAGAATCTTCCGGATATCAATACGGATTATGGGTAAATCTTGCAAAGAATCCACGTATTAAGGATGTAGAGTTCAATGGCGTTAGCGTTGAAATTTCTAAACCAGTTGCTATGGCTTCTCTTGCAATCAGAATCAAAATTACTCCATCTGTCACTGAATATCCGAAATATTCACTTCTTTCACCATTAATGTCATGCGAATTCTTCCAACTACCATCACCACCTAAACGTGTTACAACTTACGTGCTCAGACAAAGCTCTGCAAGATCATTAATTCCAATTTCATATCCTCTCAAGAGCAACAACTCTCCACAACCTCCTCTCGTATTCAAGATGAAGATAGATACCTCAAGATTACCAGAAAATACAGATTCAGTCACTGTTGTCAAAATTGATGACATAGAAAACACCCAAAACTTAATTTCAGACGTTAAACTTGATCTAGAGACATCCACTGTTACTTTCTCCTGCAAGACAACAGGTATTTTCGCTTTGGCCGTTCCAAAATACAATCAATTTCCGTTTAGCTTCTGGGAAGTCAACAGTCCTGTAGCGGATACCGTTGAACTCTTTGTCAGGACCAATATTACGGAGCTAGCCATTACAATTGACAAGAATGGATTATGTTCATCGGATTCTCCAGTCCAATTCTCAGGTATCAGTGCCGCAGCAGCCTTGGATATACTCAGGGACCACGGATTCAACTTAAACGCTCCGGTAGATATCTCAGAAATCAATGATCAGAGAGTTCATGGAAAACCACCGGCTTTAGAAGAAGTTTTCTCACAGGGAATTGCAGATACTGCCACGGGATTTCGTATTAGAGCATCCTGCAAGAACAGCCAAGTCTCTAGAGGAGAACATGAAGATCCAAGAATTATTATTTTGGCAAGAGAGATCGTTAACTTCGGAGAACCAATCACCGAAGATGAGGCAGTCGAAGAAGAAGAGGAAGAAGAGCAGAAAGATCCGGAAATCAAAGTTGGAGAAAATTCTGCTCCACAAAACATTTCTTCGCCTCCACAGCAGCAACAACCGAATGCAGAAACAGCATCTCAGAGTACCAAGAAGCAAGAAAAGCAAACAAGATGGAGATGTATCCAAGGAACAGAAAAAATCATTTTCGAGTCAAGAAATACTGAAAATGAAGAGCAGACAGATATAGAAATGCTTCCGAATACAGCTTTCCATCAACACGTAATGCCAATGCTCATGGATATCGCATCTGAAGACGTAAAGACAAGAGTACTCAAAGCTTCTGGTTTTATTGCTGAGACACTCAAATATTTGCTTTCTAAGCTAAGATTATTCTCTACTACAATCTAATTTTTTAAATTATCTTGTTATTGTATTTCAAAATCATTAAAAACTTAAAAATAAGATCATATTATCATTGTTTCTTTGAACTGCTTCATCCTAATTTATCAAGATCTAAATCCTATTCAAGAATTGGAATCTAATTACAGTTAAAAATGTTGGTTGTGAGTTTATTACAACGAATTCATGCCTCAATCTATTAGGCTTATTGAAATCATTAATGAGGGAAGATTGAAATTTTCTGAAATTTTTGTTAGTTTCATTTAATGTAACATATAAGATTCACTATTGCATGGCTACATTTTGATTACATATTTACTAAGCTTCACGCCTGTATAAAGACAATATAAACATGTAAAAAATTTATCAAATATTGAAAAAAGTGACATGAAATTTTAAACCCGTTTTTTTATACAAATGAAAAGAAGGGGTTCAACAAACAGGTTTAATTTAGAAGAGACGAAACCACAGAGTCCAATGGGAACTTTAAATAGTGACAATAGGCCAAGAAGTTTTTATGAAGGCCGAATTCAAATTGATCCAAAATCAAAAAACATAATTGATACAGCTCAGACGAAATTACAAGAAAGACTTGACTTGATATCAGCCAAATTAAATAGAGCTAAGGCTACTCAGTTAAATGACGATGATTTAGAGAATGAAGACATTTTAAACAACTTCAAACTATCAGGCAAAGTTCAATTTTACGATGAAAACTGGAAGGAAACACTCGAAAAAGCCAAAACAGAGAAAGATTTCAATACAGTTTTGGCTTCATTCGTTCAAAATTTTACGGAAATCAATGCTCAAAAGGTTGATTTGACAGAATTACCTCCAAAATCAGATCGTCAGTACGTGGACTCTCTTATTGAACTCTTTTCTAAAAACATCTCAGAGATGTACAAGAAATCTGTAAATCAGTCGTACTCGCAACTCAGAGACCAAATACAGCAAGCAGAATTCAACCTTGATGTCGTATCCCAGCAATTTGAACAAAATATTGATACTTTGCGCAAAGATTTAACAAGATTCAAGAAACAGCTCTCCGCTCAGGCAGACACTCAATACAAGAAAGAGCAGAAAGTTAAGGAACTAAAGCTCAAACTCCAGCATAATACTCAAGAAATCCCTCAATACTTCCCTCTCATGGTTCCTTTGACAGAGCCAAGACGGCCTGCAATTGTTCGTGATAAGTACAGACCAAAAACGCATACGGCACTGCCTTCTCTCCCAAGTATTCACGCACAACTCGTATCTCACAAATTTGCTAAAGATCTTCCACCTCCATCAAATGACGGTGCTGAAACATGGAGTGACTGGGATGATATGCAAATGTTTGACCATTCAGTACCTTTTGCTCAATAATTTATAATATTATTTTTTTTAATTGTTAATAAATGTTTGTTTCAATATCATTATATAATATACATATTTTAAAAAATATTATTAGGTTATATGTAAATTTGGCATGTGAAATACTTAATTTAAAAAATTATCTGTAAAAACAAGGAATAAGACTTAAAAGATGAAAACACTTAGTTTGGTGATAAATAAAGTCTCCATTGGTGACTGAGTTTTCTGGTGCATAAAAGATTTTCTCAATAGAGATGTAATTGATGACATCGATTGTAATTTCATCTGTTATTTCACTTGAATTAAAGAAATGAACATAAACTGAACTTTCACCAAAAAATTCTTTGCATGAGGCAGATAAAAGTGTTTCACTTGAAACATACAAATGACTTGCATTTTGGAATGTTTTAATCGATGGACTTTGAATGGTAAAATTGCCTGGAATATAAATATTCGTTAGATTTGAAACATTTAGAAATGGGGTGTTTCCAATTGATATTTCATTCGAATTGTTTATGAATGTGATGCTTTTTAAAGATGTGCACAATTCAAATGCTTTGGCTCCAATATATGATATATTCCATGGTAAAGTAATGCTTGTCAATGATCTGCATTCTTGGAATGCTCCATCTCCAATTTTTGTAACATTTTCTGGGATATTAATATTTTTTAAATTTTTGCATAACCTGAATGCATAAGTATCAATAATTGTCACACTCTCTGGGATTTTGATACTTTTTAATAATGTGCAGCGGTAAAATGTACTTGGGTTAATAGACATTAGTTTCCCTTTGATTTCAATATTCGATAATGCTTGACAAAAAAAGAATGCTGCGCCCCCGATTTCTGTTACATTTTCAGGAATTATGATACTTCGTAAAAATACACAATTCCCAAAAGCAAAATAACCAATTTTTGTAACCCTATTTGCTATAATTACATTTGTTAAGTAGGTGCAGCTTTCAAAAGCATATCTTCCGATCTCAATAACTTTTTCAGGGATTTCGATACTTGCTAATGATACACAGCCACGAAATGCACTACCTCCGATATAAATAATTTCATTAGGAAGTTGAATCGATATGATATATCCACAAAATCGAAAGCATTTTTCACCTATTTTTGATATGTGTGGTGGAAGTATTATTGATCTTAATCGACAACTTTCAAAAACCGACTCATTAAGATAATTAAGATTTTTGCATTCGCTAAGATTTACCGATTCTAGAATTGTATCATAAAAGCTATACAAGCCAATACTTACAACTTGACTATTTTCGGCAAATTGTAATGTTTTGATTGAACTTTTGCAATTTCGAAATGCATAGTTTTCACTGCTTTCTCCGAATATTTCTGTAACTGATTGAGGTATAAAAACATTTGAATCGATATTACTTGAACATTCAACAAGAACTTGTTCAGATTCATCTCGATATATAAGAGAGTTTGTACTAGAGCTTTCATGAAATAGAATCCAAAGCAAGTTTGTGCAATATTATATGACGTGATCCATTAACTTTAGTATGCATTAGTTATTAAAATATTTAAAATATTGATTATTGAAGCGGCATGAAGCTGCGATTAATCCGTGTATGAGTGAACATTTGTTGTATGGAGAAAATGATCTTCAAATGGTATCTGGTGAACTTGGATTTAAATTATGAAAAAAAAATTAATGAATTGTCTTGGTTATTTGTATGGAACTGCATAATACTACGTATTGTTGGTCTATTCCTTTCATTTTTCTTGGTTAATGGGCAATGAATTTGATAAACAAAATGATATCACGAATTTCTTTGATGTTATTATAAAATTTGCACAAATTTTGAAGCCTATTTCCATTAATGCAAGCGTATGTCCAAATTAAATATATTTGAGGTTAAAAAAAACTCATATCGACAATTTTTGATTTATTCAGCTGGGAAATATTTGATATAAATGAAATTCATTATCAAATAAGCTCTAGCACTTTAATATTTTGCAATACCTTCCTTTCCGTATTCTGCAATAAACTAGACATTGTTATGAATTGTAATTTTATCTCCGATAAATCTATTTTGGCATTTTGGGGATTTGTTTCCTGTACTATGCCAGCAATCACATTATAAGCAAATAATATGTGAAAATGTCTTTTTTGAATGGACTTTATTATATGAAAATGTCAATAAATTAAAAGAATCCAGCATGAGGTTTGTTAAATCAATTAACTGAAGAAAGTATATTCATTATGTGAAATGGTCCAGTTTTTCCACAATACATATTTTGAGTTGATTTCGGAAATATTTTTTCAATAACAATGAAGTCAACAACATCATATGAGATAAAATCTGAAATATTATTCATATCTAAGAAGTGAACAATGAATCGCTTTGGAACAAAAATAATGTTTTCTAGTAAAAAATAAATGACTTCTTTCTGGAAAATAAACAAAATTTGGATAGGCAAAGAAGCTTCCTTGAATAAAACTATGCGGAGCAGTAGAAATCGATGTAAATGGATTGCCCTCAAAGTTAATATATATCATTTAAATTATGCTGAAAGGTATTATATTTTAAATTTGTGCAAAACATAAAAACTCCTTGTTCGATCTCATTTACATGTCCAGGGATAATAATACTAGTTAATGAAAAACAGGACTCAAATACTCCAAGTCCTAAATAAGCTACGTTTTATGTGATTTTAAAACTTGCTGAAGAAATGCAATTTTGAAATGCATGATAATGAATCTTCGTAACACTTTCGGATATAATTTGGAAAATTAAAAGAAGTAATATTTGTATGAGCAAAACAACTTTCATCCATATTCTCTAATCTAGAACTAGGAGTAATATTGATTGTCAACAATCCACTTATATAAAATGCTCCATTCATATTAACTAAAGAATCTGGTATTTTAAAAGAATTTAGAATTGTAGTATTGAAAAAGCATTAATTTTTATTTCTTATTATATTTAGAGGTAATATAACTGATTGTAAATTTGTACATTCGTTGAATACATAACTATCTAGTAATGTAAGTTTTGTGCATTCGTTAAGATTTACTGTCACTAAATTTGTTGGATAATAACCATAACTTGAAATATTAATAACTTGGCAACCTAGTTCAAATCTAAGGGAGGTAATTTGTGTTTTACAACTTTTGAATGCATAATTGTCTTGATCATAACTAAATATTTCAATTACAGCTTGTGGAATGATAATTTCATCATTGCATTCTGATGAACAACCAATAAGAGTTTGATTTGTATTATCTTGATATACCAGAGAATCACTACAAGTAACCTTTGCAAGAAGAATGCAAAACAATTCTGATTACAAACGTGAATTATCAAGCTATTAATATTTAAGGATGAATTGAAATAAATTCTCTCTAAGAAATCGAATTATTGAATATTATTTTCTGTAAACCAAGTAAACTTTCATGAATTGATTCTTTAAACTTATTTCACCCATTCCAGAGAAATAAGATATTACCACTTGAGTGCAATCTGCGTGTTGTACAAATGATTCTAATTGCATTTATAAAACTGAAGATTTCTGATTTTGAATGATCAGAAATTTTTGATAGTTTTGAAATAATTCTTTGAAAAATTTCTATGGATTAATTGAATGGAATACCAAGATTTCAATTATTTTAAATTCATTTGTGCTATCTCTAACGTCAAATTAAATTTATGGTAAGGTATGTATGGGATTATAATACAAATATCTTGAACCATTTCAATAGATTCAATTTGGAAACATTTCAAAAGCTTATTATAATAGTTTTGCGTATTTTGTATCAATGAGTTTTTTGTATTAATATTTTCTCTGGGTCATAATCAAATTTTGACCAGAATCAAAAATAAAGTATATTCCATCGATTGTACTTCATTTTGAACAATTTTGTAGATTGATAATGAGAGAAAGCATTAGAAAATGTTTGTTTTTACTTTATTCATGATATTTATTCATAATTTAATCTCAATTGCATTGTTATGTTTAACTTGCGAAATATAGGTACCTCCTTGTGTATAACGGTCAATTTTTGATATTTAATTATTTCAAAATATCTAAAAATAAAAATAAAAATGAGGCATAATATCTATTGTCATACTTGATATACTCTTAGTGATTTGTTGAAATATAATACACATATGATTCTCCTTAAAATTCATTTAATAGATTCCCTTTTTTCTCTAATTCTTTCATCTTATTTAAAAGATTTGAATACGATGCAAAAATATATTTCCAATATCCAATCAAAACGAATGGTGAAATTCAAACAATAAGAGAAAAAAAATATCAGTGAAACATTTAAATCAAATAATCACATAGAAATAATTTCCTATGATATTAAAAAGTATATTTCAGATTTTCAATAGCGACTATTCTTTTCAAAATTCAAAGGGTAAAAATTTTTGTTTTTTCTGTCAAAAAAATTTTGTGACTATTTTTTTTTCCGAAAATTTTTTAAACAAACCAGTAATAGGCCATAATATAAGTCGTAATTTTTTATTAATTTGCTTTTTGGTCGGGATAAATTTTGAGAAACTCTTTTTTGTGATTGGATAAAATCACTTCATTTTTCGGAAAGGGTAGAAGAATAATGAACAAATACAATTGGGGAATATTCGAAGATACTGATCACATGCTCCACCTTTGTGTTATTGCAAACAAAACAGAGCAAGTTGCAAAATTGATTGATGAAGGAGCAGATCTTGAAGAATACAATGCATATGGAAATACTCCATTAGGTGCAGCTGCAATATTTGGCAGTGTAGACTGTGCTAGAATTCTTCTAGAAAAAGGAGCAAAGATCAATACGGTAGAACCGCTTTGTATTGGGCTGTTGATAAGGAAGAAGTTGGTATGGTTAAGTTTTTACTAGAGAACGGCGCAGATCCTAATAAGAAGGATCATGATAAATGCGTTCCTCTCGTAGAAGCAGCCAAAAACGGAAACTATGAAATTGCCGAGCTTTTGGTAGACAAAGGAGCTAACATCAACTACTATGTTCCCAACAAGAAAACTGCATTAAATATGGCCTTCTGGCAGAAAAATAAAGAGATTGCCAGAATGTTTGTTAATCGCGGTGCAGATGTCAACTTGGCTATATCAAATGGAGAAACACCATTGATGACAGCTATTGCCAGAAAATACTTTGACATTGCTGAAGAAATGATTAAAAAAGGCGCAAATCTCGAGGCAAAGGATAAAGATGGCGATAATGCATTAGCATTCTGCACCATAAACAACGATGAGGAAGGTTTGACTTTCTTGATCAAACATGGTGCCAATGTCAATGCATAAGTCAGCAATGGAGATACGCCATTATTAATAGCTTATAAGAAGGGCTTTGGCAGAATTGCTGCTATACTTCTTTTAAACGATGCTGATATGACTATTGAAAATGATCAAGGTCACTCAATCATTCTATATGAACTCTATATGAAGGCGAAACATCCAGCTGCTTATAAGAAATTCTCCAAAGAATTCAACTCAGTATTGAAAAATAACTCAGATGATGATGACAATGATGATGACGACGACAATGACAATGATGACAGCGATGATGACAATGACGATGACGACGACGGTGATGACAATGATGATGATGACGACAATGACGACGAGGATGACAATGATGATGACGACGATGATGGTGGCAATGATGATGACGATGATGATGAAGAAGTAAAGAATAACTCTGATGATGAGTAAGACTGTGATGTTGAAGAAAATAACTTAAAATATGAATAAAATTATATTATTTCTAAATATTTTGCAGAAAAATCATTTTGAAAATTCGGAATTTCTTTTCACTATAATATATTATATTGTATGTGAACATTTCCGTGCAATGGAAGCTTTATGAATAAAATTTACATTTCATGATGCCCATTCTCCACAGATTATTTTGAATGCTGAAAAAATAAAAGTGTTCTAGCATTCTGGTTTCTACTGTCATTGTTTTAAAGCATGACATTTATATCTTTTTCAATCAATATAGTTTCGATGCGATCTTTGAATAAATTATTCTAAAAAATCAAATCCATTAATTAATAACTTAATCCATAGTTTATTATTAGCCAAATGAGTTAACCTCATTAGTTATTTGAAAGGAAAATAAATAAAGCATGAAAATATACAAAAATTCATCTTGGTTTTACGTTTTTGACATGAATTCTAATCACATAGTTTACAGGCTCAAATTCTAATAGATATTAGTCTCAATTTTGTCTTATTTATAAAGATTGATTGGGAATATTCATATTGTTAAGAAATACATTGCTATTTAAGTTGCAAAGTAAGCCCTCAAAGGCCTTACATTTACCAGGCATAGTCAGACTGTTAAAAGAATGATAGGATTTTAGACTTTTTATAAATAAATTATCGTTCCATGACGATTATTTCCAAAAAAACGGGCAATGAGTTCTACTGATCCAATCCTAGTGCTAGATTTTGGATCTGGTTTTGTTAAAGCTGGTTTTGCTGGCAACGATTCGCCATCTCTTGTATTTCCAACAGTTGTCGGCAATCTGAGACACGCAAAACTCGGTCCATCAAACTCAAACGATCCTCTGATCGGTGAATCAGCACTTTCTGGTGCAAATGTTACAGTAAAAAGACCAATCGTTCGTTCTGAAATTCAATCACCAGAAGATTTCTATTCAATTGTTAATTATATTTTCCAAACACTCGAAATTAAAGGAGAAAATAATCACATCTTGATTTCAAGACCATCTGGAGCTAGTACTCAACAGCTTGAGTTAATTACAGAATACTTTATCGAAACATTCCACGTTCCATCAATTGCTTTTATTTCTTCAGCAGCTTTATCACTTCTTTCGACAGGAAGAGCTACAGGTGTTGTTGCTGAGTGTGGGTATAGCATCACAAACGTTGTTCCTATTTTCGAATTCTTTGGATTAGAACATGCAAGAATTACAGCAAATCTTGGTGGTCAAGATGTTGATTTATATCTCAAATCATTACTTAAAAAGATTGGTATGGGTGAAGCAGACAATAATGCAGTTAACGAAGTTAAAGAACAATTATGTTACGTAAAAGCATCAAGTACAGCGAATAACCAACCAGCACCTTACGAACTTCCAAGTGGTACTCGTCTTACAATCGGAGATGAGCGCTTCTTAGGCCCAGAAGTCTTATTTGATCCATCATTGAATTCAATTGACGCTCTTGGTATTAGCAAAGCATTAGAAGTTTCCATTGGAAGATGCGATGAGTTCCTTAAGACAGATTTACTACAGAATGTTGTTATTAGCGGTGGATCCACGATGTTCCCTGGAATTGCAGATAGAATACAAGAAGATCTTACTGGATCTCTCAAGAAGGCAGTGAATATTATCGCTGCGCCAGAAAGAAAACACGGAGCTTGGGTTGGAGGTTCAATTTTCGCTACAACACCGGTATTTGAGCAATTCCAGATTAAGAAGGCTGAGTGGGAGACCCAGAAGGAATTTATCTTCAGACAGAAGTCATTTATGTAAAATAAATTTCCATTTTATATATTTATTTTTTGGCAAATATAAAATTATTCTTTGAGAGCTGTATAATTTGTTTTGGGTATGGGAAACATATCATTAATGAAACAAAATAACTTGAATCAAACTGATAAGGTGAATTGAATTTGAAGAAATTTAATTTTTGATTGTTTTCCTGTTAAATTTATTACATCTACATTTTAATGAAAGCAATATTGAAATGATGTATTGTTTGTTAACAAATTTTTATGATTTTGACAATTCTTTACATGTCAAAATTGCGACGGTTCCAATTATTTTTTATTGATTTCCCAACATCCTTAAAATAAGTTTGTAGATGTGTTTTAAAAAAAAGGTAGTGGGGCTTCCAGGCACTTCGTGCCCTCTAGCCCCGAAGATGTTTAGTATAAATGAAGTTTTTATTCGGAAAATTGTTAGTCTTCTGGTGTGAATTCGGAGGACTCTTCTTCTTCCTCCATTGCTTCTGGGAAGAAGCCTTCTTCTGGGTCGAAAACATTATATAATGTTTCACTTTTCACAAATTATATATGTTTTCATGCTTTGTCACTTTTCTGTCACTTTTCGGGTAAAAACATTTTTATTATTATATATAAATGAATTTTACAAAACCACCGTTACCGTTCTTTGGAAATAAGAGTAGATGTAAAGATATTATATTGAGAGAACTTAAGAAACTACCGAATGGTCTAACATTTGTAGATTTGTTCGGTGGAAGTTTCTATATATCCCATTTATGTCATACCGTATTTCCTGACTCAAAGATTATATGCAATGACTTCGACAACTATATGGACCGTCTCAAACATATACCAGACACAAACAATATATTGAAAGAGTTAAAAGAAAGATACCTATAGGTAAGATGGAACGTATACCATTAGATAAGAAAAATATTGTGAGAGAGGTTTTGAAAAAAGCAGAATATATAGACTGGGATAGTATATCTGCTAGACTATTATATAGTGGTTCTATAAGAGTTCATGACATTGAAACACTTATGTCAAAAGTTTTATATCTTAACTATACAAATGTTTTCAAAGAGGACATAGAAAAATATATTGAGGGTATAGAGTTTGTGAGATGTTATTGGACAGAGTTGTATGAAAAATATAAAGACAAGGAAAATGTTTTCTTTATAGTGGACCCGCCGTTCTATAACACATGGGATTTTCAATACCAAGTAGACTGGACTTTGAGAGACTCTTTAGAAACTTTAGACGTTTTACATAACCATCCATGCTTTTACTTTACATCCGATAAAAGTGGTTTGGAAACCGTTATGAGATGGTTAGAGGACATACATGACTATGAGTTTAGATATGACAAGATAGAATATGAGAGAGGTCCTATAAACCGGAGAAAGTGTCATAACAAAGAAATTTTATTAGTAAGTAAATGTGGTTTGAAATAGGACTACTTGTTTTAGGTTTTTTCCATTGTGTCATTTATTTCTTTGACGTGGCAGAAAGATATAGAGAATATGAAGATGAACCAATGCCTGCAAATGTTCAGTATATGTACTCGTAAGAGATATTTTTATCTAATATTAAATGGACGCACAGAACTTAGCGAATGCACAGCAACCTGGACAACCAAACCCAGAGAATATTCCAAATGAAGTTAGAATACAAACTGCAATGGCAAACTATGGTCAAGTGCCAACAGATGTACAAATGCAAACTGCCATGTCAAATGACGCTGCGTTAGGTTTGCCACCATGGTATGCAAATATGAGATGGAAAGAGTTTTATACAAACCCTGAAGTGGGATATAAACAACTTTATGCAGATGACGCGAACACAGGAGTTGACCCAGAATATGTTTTCTACCAGAGGAGAAACAGAATGTATGAGCTCCAGTTAAAGAATGCTATGGAACTCAACAGGAAACGCAAAAGACTAGGCGGACATTAGATTTTTACATATAGTAAAATGGGTTTCTTCAGTAGTATTGGAAACTTCTTCAGAAGAGTTGGAAGAGGTATATGGAATGGAATAAAAACCGTAGGAAGAGGAATTTGGAACGGTGTCAAAAATATTGGTAAAAGGGTAGGTCAGTTTGTTGGTATTATACCTAAAGACCCTGAACCAGAAGAGCAAGCTCCTGTTATACAACAGCCTGAACCTGCACCACAGTCTAGTTGGCAACCAAATCCAACACCTCAACCGTATTAAAAAATTATATTTTTACCGTTCGATAGTAGTTGTATATGAAACTAAGTTCTAAGTAAAACGCATGGTATAATGGAATTATTCTTTTTCTTCCATCTGTAGTAAACCATACTTGAAAGTCTGAAATACTTCCACTTGGTGGTTCGTATAACTTTGTAGGTTTTTCGTAAAAGTCATTTGCCAAGCATAAGAAAGAGTTTTGGGCGCCAGAAAATGAAGCATGAACAATAATAGCATCTTGGTCGAAAACATTTTCATATGTTCCATTAGGGTTTTCGACTTCATAAAAGTCTGGGTGTACTGGATATGCTGCAGGCTGATTTAACATCCTCATAAATCTATACCATGCCAAGTTGTTATATTTTGTAGAAATATAAACACGTTTTCTCCAAGGTCTTCTATTCTATTGATTTTAACAGTTGCATTTTTCCTGTCATAAATAATATCGAGATGGTATTCTCCCTCGTCAATGTTATACTGGTTTGCATATTCGATATAGATATCGTTTATTTTTTCTTGAAAAGCTTGAAGAGTTGTTTCTAAGTTTACAAGCAAACTAACTTGTAAAAGTTTTCCCTGTTCAAATTTCTCATACATACGTTTTTCTTTGTTATAGTATCGAACTTCAAAACCGACCGTAAATGGGAAACCATGTATGGCTTCTGAAAAACTTCATTCTACGAAAGCCAATAGCTTTTGTGACAGATGGGTCTCTTAGCCATCTTAATGGGTAGTCAAAACGATAGCCTTCATGCTTTACGGTCTCTGTCTCAAACTTTTGACCGACATTAGTAAAAAGTTCATCTAATGGTTTAGTTGTAGCAACTCTTGAATTTTCTTTTTCTATTGGAAGCATATTTTATCTAGAATAAAATGTCGAAAGATATTGCTTCCATGAGAGAAATACAACACAACCGACAACTCATTATGCAAGCTCTAAATAAGAACACAACAAACTTTTCAAACTATTCTAAGATATCTGAGTCATTGAAAGAAGGAAACTTAAAACTGACATTAAACCCAATGACAGATGAGTTTCTATTTCAAGACAAGAAGAACAATACTGTCTGTATAAATCCAACAAAAGGAACTTTAAACGAGAAACCTATAAATGAACTTCTTTTGAAAACAGATGTTGACAACAAAGCTGACAAAGAATATGTAGACGATGCAATAGCAAAAGAAGAAGAAAGAGCTAACAATGCTTATGCAACAAAAGAACATACTCATCCTGAACTAGCAGACAAAACATATGTTGACAATAAAATGTCAAGTGAAGTGACAAGAGCTGAAAACGAATATTCTAAAAAGACTCATACACATTCTATATCTGAAATAACAGACTTAAACGTTAGCCTTGAAAAGAAAGCGGATGAGGAATATGTGGCTAGTAAGTTAGAGAAGAAAGCAGATAAGGAATATGTGGATGAAAAAGATAATGAAATTATAGAAAGGGCTGAATGGTATCATGAATGGACATCGAAGATTTTAAAAACTAAAGCTGATACAGGATGGGTTTCAGGATGTTTAGACCTTAAAGCAGATAAAACTTATGTTAACGATGAGTTAGAGAAGAAAGCAGACAAGAACCATACACATGATTTCTTCACAACTGTTGCTATAGAAAGTATTGAAGGAACGGTTGAAGGAACTGGTGGGGATGCATTATATTGTAAACCTCCTAACTTTCCACAAGGTTTAACATCGGATGACGACATAACGACGATGAAAAACATTAGATGTAAAGATGTTTATGTCATGAAGGATGAACATAATATTAAATTCACTGCTCAAGATTTATATGACAAGAAAGCAGACAAAACAGAGCTTCAAACATTAAAGACAGAAATGCTTCAAACATTATATCCTATAGGCTCTATTTATACGTCAATGAACTCTACCAGACCAGAAACAGTTCTGGGTTTTGGAACTTGGACTCAAATAGTCGACAGGTTTTGTATTGTGCAAACTCTTCAAAGGAAACAGTGGAAGTAAAACGATTTCAGGTGAAAATTTACCTGCACACAGTCACTACATAGATTTAAGTACATCTCAAGCAGGTTTGCATAGTCATAGATTTTGGGATTGGTCAGGAATGACAAAAGGTAAAGGATATGATGTTAAAGAGGACGTTAAGTTTGCTATAAATTGTTACTGGAATAACACTGAGGGAGGAGGAATCCATACACATCACGTTTCAGGATATACGCAAACAACGGGACAAAGTAAAGAATACATGCCACCTTACATGACAGTTTACGCATGGTATAGAATTGCTTAGTCGTCATTTTCAACTTCTTTAGCATATTCGTCAGGAGTTGTCTTATATTTGTTAGGAACTGTCTTTGAAAGTATACCACCTTGAACTTTGACAAGTTTGAAACGAGGTCTGACAATAGTAGTTTTATCTTCTGCTTGCAGTGTGTACATTTTGCCATGTTTGCCTAAAACTTCATAATATTCTCTTGTATACTTTCTTCTATTTTTACGAACACGAATGTGAGTACCTGTCGGGTTCCCATTGTTGTCATAGTCAATAGTATTTTCATATGGGTCGCGTTTAGGTATTTCTATTTTTACTTTGTCACCTTTCTGAAGTTTGAAGCCCGGCATTCTTTCTTGTTTTGTCTCTTTTGACTAAATTATTAAATATATAGTCTTTCTCTAAGTCAGGGTTGTTTTTCATTTCTTCGGGGGAGTGGTTTCCCAAACCTTTTTGTTTACGGCTATTGTAAATATTTAAAACTTGTCTCATCTTTGCCATGGAGAAGTGTCTATATTTGTCGTCATATGACATTTCATTTGCTTCACCACCTTTGTGGTTGGTTTAAGTCTCTTAACATTTTTATACAACCGTCAATGACACCAAGAGCAGAATGGTTTTGTCGACAATGAAATATGGTTTACATTTTTTGAACGCAGATAGTTTTTTACATTCATCTGATTTTGAAAGAACTTTCACAGTCAGATGTCAGTTTTGTTGGATGGTATTTGTCAACGAATATTGTCAAAGCAGTTTTCACATCTAAAATATTTTTGGACCATAATGGTATGGCTTCACAGTATCTTGTGTTTTGACCGACAAATATTAGCCAGTATGGTGGTCCATCTGTTCTAACTCTCGGAATGTTTTCCAAGATATCCATAAACCAAGCATTTGGTGTTGAACTAAAGATTTTTACCATGAGTGCTTTCTTTGTCGCTTTAGAAACATAGGGGTCCTTGTTTGGATTCGTCATTTTTATCCTATAAGAAATGGTTTATTTGGCGCATTAGCAGGAGTCGCATCTAGATTTTTACCCGCAGTGGGAACAATAGCCAGAGGTGTAATTTGGAGTTGGAAGGAAGATTTTGAGTACATTAGGTATACTTAAAGAGAAAGCACAACCTATTATACAAACTGTACAGAAAGGTTGGGATGTAGCACGAGATGCAACAAATCTTATTCCAAATCCTGAAACAAGAGGAAAAGTTCAAGGATGGATGGACAATGTAGGAAGACAAGCAGGAAACTATTATAACAAAGCAAATGACTACTATAACCAAGCAGGACACTATATGGACCAAGGTGAAAGATCTCTTTAACAGAGGATATAACCATGCACAACAATGGGTAAACAATAACCAACCTCAACCGCCTCAAACGTGGGGAATGTAAAGTTTTTTACTGAGATGAAATGAACAATACAGCATTGAGACAAATGGGTTCAAGATGGATTTGTCGGCTTTCCAGCAGTTACACAACGTGTTTGTCAAGTTCTTCCTATACCTCAGGAAGTTTTAGACCGACTTAAAAAACCTAAACAACCAGTTGAAAACAAACCAAACTAAAATTTTTTACTGAGATGAAATGACCGAAGAAGTTGAAACGGTAGATTTGACACCACAAACAAAAAGTTCAGAACCATTGTCAAAACCTGTCAAAGAACTTACAGATGAAGAGAAAAATTCAATAATAGAAAGTGCCAGGTCTGGAAATACAAACCCTAACTACAAAGTCACTTTTCATAAAAATGGAACGGCAAGTATCTCAAAAAAGAAACAGACTCTCACAAATAAAATATTGAAGTCTGAAGGAGCTTTCGAGACAACAGATGGAAAAGTTTACTTCACTGACCAACAGTTCATTATAGAACATCTCATTGACTTAGAGTCGAAATATTCTAAACTTTACAACAAACACAAAAAGTTGAAAGGAAAACAAAAACAAATGGCATATGATATTTATGAAGATGTTGACGACACAACTGTTCCTGCAAGTGAAGTAAAGTCAGAGAAACCGAAAAGTGACGAAAAACCGATAGAAGAAGAAAAACCAAAAACTGAAGATAAACCAAAACCAAAGTTTAGTTTCCAAACTAAACCAAGTCAACCTTCATTAGCTGGTATGGGTTGGCGTCAAAGACTTATGGCAGCAGGCGGTTATGTAAAGTAAAGAAAAAAATATTTTTTTATTTTTATAAAAATGCCCCCATATAGAATGGATAGAAAATCTGCTAGAATAAAAGCAGAGTTGCAAAGATATGGTTGGAGAGTTTCGAAGAATTTTAAATATAGGAAGGGAAGACCCATAAAAGTCTATGACAAATTGTCTGGTCTTCGCTACGAAATGGATTTGGAAACAGCACGTGCAAATTATCCAAACAGACTAGAGAGGTTAGAAGAAGAACGTCTTATGGACATGCCTTTCGATGTTAGTGAACATTGCATGAAGTAAAAATTTATTTTAAAAAAAGTGACATTTTTTTATTTTATTTGAAATGTACGCTGAGTTTGTTGGAGACGACCGTTGGGAAACTTGTTTGTTAGATGAGAAATATGAAATGGCATACCATTTTAAAAAATATATTTTTACATATATTAAATGCTTCAGGTTGAAAAACAAAGAACAAAAGTAGCAGATACAAAACCGTTAGACTATATCTTTACAAATGCTGGTAGGACTATTTCAGATGAAGAAATTTCATCCCGAGTATACAGGTTTGACTATCCAATTCGTTGGCTTCAAAGTCCTTCAGATGCAAAGGCAATAGGATTTAGAAGAGTTTTGTTTTCAAATAGAACTAACGCATTTATGTTCGCAGTATATTTTCATGGGCAGTATAAAGGTTCTGATGGTCTAATAGACAAATTTGACGAAATGAGAATCTTTACAGTTCGTTCAGACGAAAGTCTTGAGAAAACTCTAAATGACTTTCAAACTTAAATGAACAAATATTATTGGGAATTTCAAGAAAAATACGACTCTTTACTAAATGGAACATACTATCTGAAACTAGAATATGACAAGATGAACTCCACCGTTTCATTTCAAAAGATTGAAATTAACCCTCCAAGAGATACAGAGTTTTTATTTTGGAAAGTAGACAAACGTTCTTGGGCACAATTTCTTCGGTTACTAAACCAGAACGAACCATTACCACCAGATGGTCCATTTCAATTTATACTTCCACCAGCAGATTTGACAGTTTATAGAAACGTGTTTGACCCTCAAAATGTTATGTGTCATGCAAGTTTCAGTTCAAGCAACAATAGTTTTCTATGTATTGGTAAGGACTTTTATGACTTTGCTTCTAAATTCTACGAACCACCTAGTAACAGTTTCTCTGACTTTCAAGTTTGGTTCACAACAAATGGTGTGCAACATATTATTCCATTGTACTATGACTTTTATCTCGAATTGTCTTTCATATATAACTACGGAAAAGTGCTGAAAAAGTATTGAAAAATAATGTTTATGTTAGCATGTTAGATCTAACACGTTTTCTAACCACTTTTCTAACATCGTAGAAAACTCATGAAAACAATTTATTTTTGACACTTTCACAAAAAAAATAAAAAAGTGAAGTTAAAATGAGATGTTTACTGAACTGGTTGGATGTCGCCTTCACAGGTTATGTAGAACGGCTGACCCGAGAAGTGAAGGAGCGACTGAATTGCCAATTTCATATGGGGTAGGGGGTTCTCCTTGTTTGGTATTTTTATCCAAGGACGTTTGTTTAGGAACTTAACAAGAGCTTCTCTTTTGGCGTCCTTTATGTCGTCGAAAGGAGTGTTTTCTGGTATTTGAATTGGAATTCCGGTCGAAGTCTCGAGATTCAAGGCAGCCCTTCCAGAAATAGTGGTGAACTTGACCTTGGGCTTCATGACCTTGCGCAAGTAGTCTTTTACGCAGTCGTTAATTTCAATTAGGTAAATTGCCTCGTCAAATCCTTCTGGCATTCCGAGTCCTTCCATCCGACAGGAAAATATTTTCCCGACAACTGGAAAAAATTTTCCGGACAAAGGGAAAAATTTTTCCTTCCGACAGGAAGAACTCTTCCAGTTGTCCGTCCGTAAACCATTCAAATTTTCGAAAATTGAGAACTTTTTGGTCGAACTTCAGAAAAAGTTTTTCCTTCCGACAGGAAAAAATTCTCCATCCGACAGGAAAAAATTTTCCGGACAAAGGGAAAAAATTTCCTTCCGACAGGAAAAGTTCTTCCTTCCGACAGGACACAAACGGATGTCCGACGTACCACCAACCGAGTCCATTCCCAAACCAGAGGAACCTAAAGAACCACAACAGTCTCCTCAGCAACCTCAGTTCCAGCAAGTACCTCCGAATTTCTACCAATTTCCACCTCAAGGTTACTACCCACCACAAGGCTTCCCGAACTACCCTCCTCTGCCTATGCCTTACTTCCCCAACCCTTGGATGTTCCAGCAAGCTCCACCCCAGCAATTCCAATCTCAGTCCAAATCGAAGAGAGACCAAGAGTTCGAAGAAGGTCTGAACCGTTTACGCAAAGAGTATGCCATAGCTCCAATTGAGAGAAAGTTGTTCCCGGACCAAAAATATAATTTATGTTAGAATGTTAGATCTAACACGTTTTCTAACCTCATTTCTAACATGGTCTAAAACTCTCGAAAATCATGAAATTTACACCAAAAATAAAGTTTATGTTAGAATGTTAGATCTAACACGTTTTCTAACCTCATTTCTACCCTCTTGAATTTTCATGAATTTCCTTAAGATAGAAAAAATAAAGTTAGTTTTATTTTTTGTATTTTTTTGTATAAAAGATATGATTTCAGGGATTTTTTTGACGAAGTGTCAATCTTCACTTCGTCAAAAAATAACAGTTATCTAATGAAAAAGTGTCATTTTTTCATTTGACGAGAATGTCGGGTAGATGGTTAGATCTAACCTCATTTCTAACCTCATTTCTAACCTCTTGAATTTGTCATGACTTCTTCGTAAATGTTTTGTCATGACTTCTTCGTAAATGTTTTGTCATGACTTCTTCGTAAATGTTTTGTCATGACTTCTTCGTAATGAGTGTAAAGGACCCAAAAATAAAGTTTATGTTAGAATGTTAGATCTAACACGTTTTCTAACACGTTTTCTAACCTCATGAATTTTCATGAATTTCCTTAAGATAGAAAAAATAAAGTTAGTTTTATTTTTTGTATTTTTTTGTATAAAAGATATGATTTCAGGGATTTTTTTGACGAAGTGTCAATCTTCACTTCGTCAAAAAATAACAGTTATCTAATGAAAAAGTGTCATTTTTTGTATTTTTTTGTATAAAAGATATGATTTCAGGGATTTTTTTGACGAAGTGTCAATCTTCACTTCGTCAAAAAATAACAGTTATCTAATGAAAAAGTGTCATTTTTTCATTTGACGAGAATGTCGGGTAGATGGTTAGATCTAACACGTTTTCTAACACGTTTTCTAACCTCTTGAATTTTCATGACTTCTTCATCGTAATGAGCGTAAATGTTTTGTCATGATTTCATCGTAAATGTTTTGTCAAGACTTCTTCATCGTAATGAGCGTATATGTTTTGTCATGACTTCTTCGTAAATGTTTTGTCATGACTTCTTCATCGTACATGTTTTGTGAAGAATATAGCAACAGTCTGAATTCCGGCGGTTGCTTTTTATACAAAATTCATGCAGGAAATTCTTGAGTTTTGGTTGAAAGAATACGGTGGAGCCAAAAGTGGCTCGACCTCAAAACAAGCATTTTATGAGCTTACAAAGGGTGTTATGAATGAATTCAAATGTATTTACATACATCCTGACCTCGTTCATTTTGTTGCTGAATTCAGCAAAAATAAAGTTTATGTTAGAATGTTAGATCTAACACGTTTTCTAACCACTTTTCTAACATGGTCTAAAACTCTCGAAAATCATGAAATTTACACCAAAAATAAAGTTTATGTGAAGAGGTGAGATCTAACACGTTTTCTAACACGTTTTCTAACATGGTCTAAAACTCTCGAAAATCATGAAATTTACACCAAAAATAAAGTTTATGTTAGAATGTTAGATCTAACACGTTTTCTCACCTGTTTTCTAACCTCATTTCTACCCTCTTGAATTTTCATGACTTCTTCGTAAATGTTTTGTCAAGACTTCTTCGTAATGAGTGTAAAGGACCCAAAAATAAAGTTTATGTTAGAATGTTAGATCTCACCTGTTTTTTCACCTCTTTTTTCACCTCTTGAATTTTCATGAATTTTCCCGAAATAAAAAATAAAGTTAGTTTTATTTTTTTTATTTTTTTATTTTGTATAAAAGACATGATTTCAACAATCGGCACAACAACAATTCAAACAACAGCACCAAACTCTTTAGTCATGAATCCAACATCTATGTTAGTAGAGATGAAAAGCTTCATTCCTTCTTCATATACTTTTGAAACAGAAATCCAGAAGATAAAGCAAGAACTTTTAACAAGTAATTTAAACTGTAGTGCGAAAGATGAAACAAATGAACAGTATCTTTATGAAATGCAGGACATTATTGACCATTTACCCAAATTGCCTGAAATCCAACAACAAAAACTCACTATTCCTGAATTCGATGAAATAGAAGTGAAACCAACTGACTCAGTAGAAATAAAGAAGTTCATACGAAAGGTAAACTATGAGTTTCTAGGATTTCATTGCAACCATAAGGTTATGGACAAAGATTGCGATATGGTATATAAGAATGTTTCTGACATATATAAATCTGAAGAATTTAAGACCTACGACAACTTTGTTTCGTTAGTTGCTGAATGTGTATGGCAGATAAGAGATAAAGATAGAAGAGGTAAGGTATGGAATGAACAAATAAGACCCGCTATGTTTGAGATGAAGAGAGCAATTGACGCTTTAGTTGTTTTAGCTGGTTTTATTTCAATGTATAACGCAAAAATGAACCCGCAATGTTCTAAATGTAAAGCAGCAATGAGGAGATATAACTACTCCGTCAAAGAGATAGAACGTATGAGAAACGACTATACAGATTTAAAGAAAGAAGCAGAAAAACCAGCAGAAAATAAAATGGACATGTTAGAATTTCTGAACAAAAACTATCCAACAGCAGAAGATTTCCTTCTATCTGACGTCAAGAAGAAGTATAAAGAAACCTTCGGTATCGTTAAAACATTCGATGTACTAAAAGAAGAAATAGAAGCTACAAAATTGTTTAAAGTCATGAACCATCGCAACATATACCATGTAAAACGCTTGTAAATAGTTATGTTAGAAAAGAGGTTAGAAAACGTGTTAGATCTAACATGCTAACATAAAATATATTTTTGGTCATTTACAATGAAGTCTTGACAAAACATGGAATCTCTTCCCTCGGAAAACCGAGAGAAGCAATCATATGACAAAGTCTTGACAAAACATTTAAGTTCGATGAAGTCTTGAAATTTCATGAGTTTTGTGTGTTTTAGACCATGTTAGAAAACAGGTGAGAAAACAGGTGAGATCTCACCTCTTCACCTAAAATATATTTTTGCTGAATTCCGTATGAAATTTCATGAGTTTTGTGTGTTTTAGACCATGTGAGAAAACAGGTGAGAAAACAGGTGAGATCTCACCTCTTCACCTAAAATATATTTTTGGTCATTTACAATGAAGTCTTGACAAAACATGGAATCTCTTCCCTCGGAAAACCGAGAGAAGCAATCATATGACAAAGTCTTGACAAAAACATTTAAGTTCGATGAAGTCTTGAAATTTCATGAGTTTTGTGTGTTTTAGACCATGTTAGAAAAGAGGTTAGAAAACGTGTTAGATCTAACATGCTAACATAAAATATATTTTTGGTCATTTACAATGAAGTCTTGACAAAAACTATCCAACAGCAGAAGATTTCCTTCTATCTGACGTCAAGAAGAAATATAAAGAAACTTTCGGCATTGTTAAAACATTCGATGTACTAAAAGAAGAAATAGAAGCTACAAAACTGTTTAGAGTCTCACGAATTCATAACGTTTACCATGTAAAACGCTTATAAAATAACTGGGGTAGAAAAGAGGTTAGAAATGAGGTTAGATCTAACCATCTACCCTAAAATATATTTTTGCTGAATTCAGCACAAAATTCATGAGTTTTGTGTGTTTTAGACCATGTTAGAAAACGGGTGAGAAAACGGGTGAGATCTCACCTCTTCACCTAAAATATATTTTTGCTGAAAAATGACCAAATTTCATGAATTTCCTCATATGCTTGCTTCCCTCGGAAAACCGAGAGAAGAGATTCCGTACGAAAACAGTGAAGAACAGCGAGTAGATAAAAAAACTTAGTCGCCAAAACTCTATGAAAATCGTGAATTTCCTTAAGACAGAAAAAATAAAGTTAGTTTTATTTTTATTTATTTTTTTATTTTGTATGTAAGAACAGAAATGACAAACATTGAGTTTGAAACAGTTAAAAAGATAGACAATGACACCAAATTGGTTAGAATAGGTGATTTAAACGTAAGATACTCAAAGAAATACAACAAATATTCTTTGTCAGACATTATATCTCCATCTGGAAAGAAAACAAAGGACTGGGTTAGAATTGCTTCTAGTCAGAAAATTTTGACAAGAAATCCTGAGCTTATGATATCGGTAAGATTCTATGGAACTGCAGCATATCTTATAGACAAAAGTCTTATACCAATAGTTTTGTTATGGTTAGACCCAGTTGTTGGATATAACTTCATAACATATGGTTCATTCGATACGGAACGTTGCAGTGAAGGCTTACTTTACATCGTTCAGAAACCGAAGGACTTCAATACAAAGAGATATAAGATAGGAAGAACATATAATATAACTCAAAGATATGACAGTACAGTCAATAGAGTCAAGGTTGTGTTTGCTAATGATATGAGAGCTGCAGAAACAGAACTACTTGAAAAGTTTGAGAAAATATATGGTGCTCCCATAAAAGGTAAAGAAACGTTTGAAGTAGATGAGATAGATAAAGCTATAAAATTATTTGACGAAGTTGCTGAAAAATACATGTAAAGCGTTTATTTTTGGTCTTTTGTGAAAGTCAGAAAATAACGCTAATTTTTTATAAAATATTTTTTTATCTTGTATGTAAAGACAGATATGTCAACAACAGAGAACACAACAACTGCTATCGTTCATGAAGCTATAAATGAAGAATACGAGTACATACAGTTTAACAAACAACTCCGTCTCATTCGTTCGGTCAAAGACGATATGTACCAAATGCAAAGTATTTTGAATGCTCTTCGTTCTACAAAGCAAGCATATCATTGGTTTGAAAACCAACAGACAAAAGAACTTTTAGAAGAATTTCCTCATATGATTGCTTCCCTCGGAAAACCGAGGGAAGAGATTCCGTATGAAAATCGTGAAAAATTGCCAAATGGTTTGAGAGGATATTATGTACATAGACTTCTTGTAAATGCTGTTGCAATGTGGGCTTCGCCTCGTTATGCTTGGAATATTTACAGACTTCTTGACGAAATTCATAGACAAGAACGTGAAGAGATGGAAAACAAGCTTGAAGCAAAAGACAAAAGCATTCAGAAAAGAATACCACGTTCGGTACCAAAAGGAAAGGAAAAGAACTATAAGTATATGATTTATACTGAAGAGATGGAAAATGAAGAAGATAAAGATATGGTTATGTTGCATTTAGTCAGAAGAAACAACAAAAGCTTTTACGACCTTGCTAAGATTTACAAATCTGACAGAAATTGGTTCTATCGCGAAAACTTACCGATTTCAATGACACCGAATGAAGATGTGAAACAAATAGTTCAAGATACGTTACCTCAAACACACTATGATATGAAAGGTTGTACAATACTTACCTTCAAAGAAGACTTACCGCTACTGAAGGAAAAAATAACAGAGTATTTTGACAACTTCAAACAAGTAGAGTAAATGAACTCTTTATTTTTCAAGCTTGACTTTTTACAATTTGAACTTTGTTTGCGTAGATATGAATTCTGAAAGAAGTATGAGGGTCTTGTATGACTTTGTACTTCTCCCATAGTTCATGTCTGTCAAACTTACCTGCCATGGACTCTTTCATAAGTTCCATGAAATCGTCTTCGGACAATCCGGGAAAAGTATAATGTCAGTAAGTATTCTTTTAACATCCTTACTTAAACTCTTTGCTGTCTGTACACAAATGACAACTGAGATGTTAAAGTGTCTGAGCTTCTTAAGAATTCGACACATATCTTGTTCTCTATTCTTTAACAAAGGATGAGAGGCGAAATCATCTAAGATAAGAAGACACCTATGAGGGTATGTCTTCCAATCGTAAGATTGCAATTTCTTCGAAATGTATTCTATCTCTTTCTGTTTGTTTCTGAAGTGTTTCTTCTCTAATATTCTCTGCATTTCCTCATTTGGGTCTTTAAACTTAGAATTTATATACTCATTTATAGCATTATACTTCAAAACTCTTCTTTGGTACTTCTTTATCCAATCTAACAACTCAGAGTCTTTTATACATACTAACTTAGACTTCTTTATAATATCTTTGAACGAATTGACGGTTTGGTCAAATTGACCAGAAGTACTACAAATGACAACTAACTCATAGAATGGGTTCTTCTCATCTAGTTCTTGTTGTTGTGCAGCCATTTTAAGATAAGTGAAAGTCTTACCCGACCCAGGTGGTGCAATTAGACCTGTTATACCATTCTGAGCAAATAAGAACTTGTCATGTATGGGTTTTATCTGAGCATTTTCTAACTTCCTCTTGTTCTTGTTTAAAACATTCTCAAATTTTTTGTCAATGTCAGCAAACTTTTTTTCTAACATATTTTTAGAAAAATTAAAATTTTTATCTTTTAGAAAATGTCTAGCGATTTCGCTATCTATATTCGAGACAAGCTTTTCGACAGCAAAACATCTGTCGACCATAAAATCTTACATAGTGTAAACAAGAAAGGTGAATTTGTTCTAAAGTTCTGTTTCTGGGAATATGACAAGAACCATAAAACATTAAGCAGAGCAGTCTTAAAATTTGTCAATGACAGACTTGTTGACAGAGATGACGCCGATTGGAAAGATGAAGTCCAACAAAAGTTCTTAGAATGCAAAGAAGACACATGCGCCGTTCTTGAAGATGAAATAGAAAACAGAATAGATGAGCTATTAAAGGACAAAGAACTTTTACATAAATATAGTTGCGCCAAATTTGACATAACTCCACCAGAAAAGAAGAAGAAAGAAAAGAAAGAAAAGAAAGTAGAAGAAGAGAAGAAAGAACCTGAACCAGTTCCAGAGAAAAAGAAATTTGACATGTAAAAATAAAATTTTATTTTTAGAACATTTCTGGGTCAATGTCAATGTTCTCTTCCTCTTTAGGAGTAAACACTGGCTTAGACTCTAAAATCTTTTTACCCAATTTACCTTGAACTTCTACAACTTTAGACTCATAATATTCATAGTCGTCTGCTTTCTTTGGTTCATAAGGTATAACAAGTTTGTATGCTTTGCCTTCTTTAAGGTTTGAAAACCTTCTGTCAAAACTTTCTTTGACTGCTAACAAACCTTCTATGTCTAAGTCTTCAAATTTCGCACCATTTTTAGTCACAATAGCAAACTTAACTGGTTCGATGTTCCAAACTTTGCTGAATGAAGACTTTTCAAAATGGTAGAAGTAAACATTCAAATATGTGAATGGGTCTAGTTCTTCTTTAAGTCCTGACATGTACTTGTTTACTGAGATGAATTTTGCCATCTTTTCTATCGGATAAAAAAATATTTTTTTTAAAATTTACTCATAAAAATTTTTCTTTGTATATACACCATTCTGAACATCTAAAAGACTTTTGACATTTGCCAAGAATGTTCGTTTAGACGCTGTCATATAACCATATTCTTGACAATATTGTTTATACGAATCGTACAATGACCTTTCATCTAAACACTCAAAGTCAGTTTCATCTATGAACAGTTCATATACACTCTTGTTTGCTTCTAACAATGTTTGTCTCTCTTCGGTATGTGGAATTTGTCTTGGATTGAACTTAGAAATATCTAATGTCATAAAATATGAGAACAAGTGGTTGTAAAAGTCAGATGTCAAAGTTTCTGCTAAGTCGTCAAAATATTCTGTATCTTGCATATGAGCTTCTGACGTTCTGACAACTACATATCTTCTGTCAGAACTTTCTAACTTCATCGGAACAGCATTGTTTGAAACCATAATGAAATTTGCAACATTTTCACAAACTCTTTGGTCTTTATACTTTCTTTCAACAACTCCAACTTTGTCTGTTATAAGACTCTTCAAAGCATCTGAGTTCAAAACTTTTGTTGTATCTATACTTTGAAGTTCGTTACATACTATAAGTTTCATATTCTCTATTGAGGAGTTAAACTTGCCACAGATGTTTTCTAAGTTTGTCATATTCGGATTCGAATAGCCCTCTAATAGTTTGCATAAGATATCTGTAAAGAAAGTATTCTTACCTGTTCCTTGTTTTCCAATTATAATGAGAGCAGTTTCATTTTTAGCACTTGGATGTTGTAAGATGTTTGCAAACCAACATAAGATATACTCATAGACTCTTTCGTTTCCATTGCATATAATTTCTTTGACATGGTCTAACCAAGCTTCTATAATATTTTCTTTCCATTCTACTTGTTCATATTTATATCCAGTGAAGATAGAATAGAAGTTTGGAGAAGGTGTATAGAACTTTATACCACGAACTGAAAAATCTTCTAACTTTGACAATAAGATATCCCAAGCATCTAACATCTTCATGCCAACTTGTACGACTTTTATTTTCTTAAGTTTCTGTCTACATTCTTGTTCTGAAACTATTGTCGCTTTAGGTTTGTTAAAGACTACATCCCATTCTTTCATAACATAACATTCTGGGGCAGAGTCGACATAAATGACTAAACGTTTCAAATTCTCGACTGCTTTGTTATAGTCTCGAAATGGACACATATTTCTGAATGCTTGGAAGTCATAAAAATCTGAAACATCTATTCTGTACATTTTTATAAAAATAAAAAAATATTTTTTTTATTCTTGACTTTGTTGTTGCATTTGTTGCATTTGTTGTTCTTGAGCTATTTGTTGTTGAAGTTGTTCTTGTAATACAATACTTTCACCAGTTGCATCTTCCAATTCGAAACTTTCTGCCGTCATTGACAAATACATAGGACATAAAAGTTTTACAGGAACAAAGTTTGCGTCAACTAATGTCAACGTTATACTTGCCAAAGTGTTTGAGTTCACTAAGGTTGAAAATTCTGCATTCGAATGAACAATAGGCAAACCAGCAGAGAAAGTATTGTTTATACGCATAAGTATCTTTTGGTCATAATAGTTTCTGTCGACATTCGAATAACACTTTGAACCTAAGTTTGAAACAATATATAAGATTGGTGTGCTTAATGTCAATGGAATAGACATTCCTTGTATGACACCTTTTCCTGTTATAGGAAAACTGTTGTAGTAAAAACCAGAAATAAGTTTTGTATATATAGCTCATATCGTTTATAGTAAACTCAGTCGGACATCCAAACATAATGAAACCTGCTCTAGTTGCAGCACATGTTACACCCGTACTTAAAGTATTAAATAAGTCAACAAAACCTGTTGGTGGTATATCTGAGTAAGTATCTTCAAAGGAGTATTTTTTACCATTCACAACAATAAAGTCTTCTGGTGTCAAAGAGCAAAACAGGCTTTAGTCGTCATTGTGTTTAAAGTTAGTTTACAATACCGTCCTTGAGGACTTTGTAAGTTTGTTGTTATAGAATTATATGACTCAGGGGTTTTTAGTCGTAATAGTATAAACCATTATATCTTCTGCCATTTACTTAGCAAATAAATTTTAATGAAATGTTGTGGTCGTCAAATATTTTTATGACGTCTGGGAAACTATACTTTAAGTTCAACGTTTCACCTCCTTTCATAACGTATATCTTGTCAATGACATTATATGAAACACCACAGCAACCAATGTCGGGTTCTATTTCTTTGATGTTATATCGTCTGCCTCTGTCAAAAGTTTCAATAGTTCTTTCAAAACTTCATGAGGTGCAATGACATATGAGTTCACTTTTACAGGGTTGTGTTCAACCAAGTTTAACATTATACTTAAAGCTTGACAAATCTTCTCCTGAGTTTTGAAGTTTGTCTTTCAGTTGTTGGTAGTCGTTTCGAATATCTGCAACAGAACTTAAGTCTCTGCTAACTTCAGGATATGTTGGTTCTTTTACAGGAACAATTGTTATACCATCTTTGTCTTCGTATGGTTTCCCCACTTCAACATCTCTGTCTTTTGACATTGACAACAACACTTTGACTGTTTGTTTGAGTTGGTGAATTTAACTTTCACATCTGCCACCGCCATTAAACCTTTTGAAACACTCACGCTTCTATTTTTTCGGAAATGACATTTTACTTAGAATAAAAAGATGGACGTATTCGAGTATCTCTTCGAATTGAAGCAGAACAAAGTTTACACACACAAACAATACAAATACATTGACAGAATAGTTCTTTATACAAACAATGGTAAATGTTATAGAATAGCAGTCTTTTGCTGAACCAAAATATTTCCATAAAGCAAAGAAAGTTGGTATAACTGAAATGGTGAAAGTTCTTGACGTTGACAAAAATATAACAACAAAACTTACAGATATTCTAAAGGAAAGTTTATAATACAATATTATGTCAAAACTGGCGTACTGTCAATATTTGACGGAGAGAAGTCAGTTCAGAAACAACTTACTGACCTGCTGCCAAAATCTGCTCGATGGAAGCTGTCGTTATGCCAATCTGAGGAGCCCCAGCAGGTTTTCATCGAACGAATCTCAAAAGAGCATCTTCCGTGAAAAGTGCTATTGGTTTTTGTAAAACTTCTTTGCTCTCAGTTCATCTGGACCGTCTCTGTCACCAGTATATTGTATTTGTACAGTACCAACAGTTGAAAATACCACCCATAAAGTCTTCTGAGTCAGCAAATGGAATGCCAAGCCAAAAGTTTTGAACGGTCTCCATTTGTATATGAGTTTTTTGACCTCCTGTATGAGTCCATACTTTCACATATGGCATAATAGAACTTTGCATTTCAGGTTAATGGTTGTTGTGAAGTTGTTGTTAAAGTTCATAGCATCTAATGTCAAGTTGTATGACCTCATATCCTCAACTGTAGAATATTCTTCTCTTGGATAAATATTGCCATCTATGTTTATATGATATTTAATACCGGGTTGTAGAAACAAGAATAGTCATTTATAGTTCGTCTGAAACAGTACAAACATAGTATCTGCATGTTTCATTGCAGTTGTTAAAGCAATATCTGTTCTTGCACCTGGGTCAGCACTTTGGTTTCCAAACTTCACCTGCAAAGTCTTCTGACAGATATTTGGTGTATAGGGAACATAAGTGGAACTGCAATATATTTGCAGCTAAAGCATTTGAAATATCTGGGGTCCAACATATAGACTGCAAGTCTGCTTTCTATTCTCTTGCATTTCAAACTTTTCGCATGTGAACTTAACTGGGGTCCCAAGCAGTTCCAGCAGCATTGAAATAATAGTTTACTTCATTGTTGAAGTTTGAGAAACCAAAGTCTAAGTCAACTTTGTCTTTGCAAAATTCGGCGAATGACGTTTGATTTGTTCCCTTTACGTCTGTAATAGTGAATGGGTCTTGTGTTGGTGCAATGACTAAGTTATTTTTGCTTGGAGTAAGTTCGATAGAAATTTTTCCTGCCCAGTTTTGGCAAGTATCTTAAAAACCTGAAGATGAGGAAAGATGACAAAGGAACTCTAAGTTTCAGTTTTACTTTGGTTACTGCTGCTGCAGTTTGTCCAGAAAGGTTAACATAAACTCCTGGAAACGTTAGGGTCAATCTTATTTTCTCAATATTTGCATACTGGTCTGTTTGTTCTCTAGCTTGTGGTTGTACTGAGTTTCTCAAAGCGAACCATTCATAGTTTGCCCATGTTACTGTTTGAACTAAGTCAGAGTTAGAATATATCTTATATCCCATGAAAACTTCTGGAGCATATTGGTATCCGACATAGAAAATTCCATTGCAACCTTTCTTGTCAGACAACTTGGCAGAAGGTTTTATTTCAATGTCTTGTTCCACGTATAAGAATGAGTTGTCAATAGAAATAATATGAAACCTGTCGCAAGCAATATCTACTGTTGTTGAAGAACCTTCTCCAAACTCACCTACGTTTCCATAAGAAACAGCAGTTGTATATTCGTAAGTTCCAGAGAACTATTTCTGACCTTCTAATGGCATTGTCGCATTCGTTATACCATTCGGAACATTTCCGTTCATGGCATCCAAAACTGTTGGCGTTATATTCTGAGCGCGTACATTTCATATGGGTAAAAATATGAAGGTTTGTTTTTGGAACCAATTCCAGATGACAAGCTGACAGAAACTTTTGTACCAAAAGACGAAACAAACTTTTCACTGTTAGCAAGACCAAAAGTTTGTTCCAGACAAAGTTCTAGTACAAAAGAAGTACACAATTCCACAAGGAGTTGGATTGTTCGGATACAACCTTGAACCAGATG